ATTACCCTGTGTGGCAGCCAATGAGCCAAAACATTGGCTTCGATCGAACAACGCTAAACCCGGCGGGCATCTACCCGAAAGAATTTTGCAAGCAGGTCTTATCTACGCCATAAAGCGATTGCCTCAAAATTACACTGGTCCTCAAGATGCCCGGTTTGACATTTTCTTGGAGGAAACTTCAAATCACATCAGATTTGGCTATCCAACCGGGGAGAATTTCGCGTGGCACTCCAAAAGAAGGGCTCTCCGAGCTTTAGACCACGGAAGGCGTTCTATTGTCCGAATCCCAGTATATCTTTCTCATAGCGATATTGAAGTTGGACTTTGGATAGTCCGTGAAGCCATTGACCGGGAGCTCGGGGTACGGTCCAAGCTGACCCATGTAGGCCTGGTACCGTCTTGGGAGTATTTTAAATTCTCTCCTGGTGGCAACAAGCTTCGTCACTATTATGGGTTCCTAAGTCGGAATAATGCGAATCTATATAACGACCGGAGTAATTTGGATTAATCAAAGTTCCCGCTAGATATTCCATTTTCGAATGCGCTGCGAAATACTGATATGGATTCTCCTGTACTTAATATTTTAGTGCAAGAAACTGCTGAGGGAGAAGATCATATTTACTCTATATTTACAAGAATCGAGCCCTCTTCCCTCAATGCATTTGGGGATTTGATAGCGGCATTAAAGACTCAGAGGGAGATCATGATGGAAGATATCAGAATAGAAAGGGAAGGTATGACGGAAGATATTGGAATGAAAGGGGATGATAAAAGAAAGATGAAGTGGTGGAAAAGGTCGATTTAGAGACGCGGCGAAATACGATTTGCCAGCAACAAAATAATGAATGCTGATAGGTGGACCATCGCAAACAGACCACATTCAATAGAAACCATCACAACAATGTTCGCAGGTGTCCTTATCAAAAGAAGATTCTGAATTCACGACTCTTCGCTACCGCTCGCGTGAGGATCTGTAAAATCGTGTGTTTGTTGTATTTATCTAGGTCTGTACCCGTGGGTAAATCTTTTCGTTGATGTCTAATTTATTTAACAAGAATGAAGGAGAATTGCGTGTGATATAAGGAATGCACGGTTGACAATGGAATGGAACTTCATTAATTACAGAAGTGCAGATGTTTTTCGTAGATTAAATAAAAGGAGTTTATACAACAATATAAATTCTTGATTGATGACATTACATGGACCATTTTGAAGATAGGTTTCTGCTGCCTGCACTTTTATCTCTCCACCGTTCCGTTTCTTGCATGGACTGTGGATCTGCCATGAGATCAGAAGCCGCCGATTTGGACAAAACTTTCGATTCCAAGGCTACCAGCTCAACATCGCTCCCATTGCTGTTGCGGTCACCAACAACGACCCACTCGTTCTTGATCATGATGTTCTTGGAGCTGGCGTCCGTACTACTAAGCGGCTTGGCTTTGTCACCACGGCTGATTCCGTATCGATCGCTCTTGGTCGGATGGGAGGCGATGCCACTGCCATATATCTGTGAGCCAAAGACGGCGGGGAGGGCTTGCACCAACAGAGCCCGGATGGCGGGCATGCTGGCGCATAGTATTCCGACGCAGAGCTCAATCATGGACCAATACGCAGCTTCGACATAGTCCTCTGTGATTACAACTCGATGTCAGCTTCATGATTTCCCTTCAAATAAACACTGAATCCACAAAAGCGTATACTACATCATGGAAAGATTGACTCACGAGTAGGGTTTTTGGTGGAGCCGAACTCGATTAATGATTTTAAACGCAGTATGCTAATTAGTGTAACACTGAGGTAGTCATCAAGTTAGTGTCGTGTCGGTGTTTGTTGGAGCACCCAGTGACTTACAAGAAACCAACTGCAAACATGGCAAGGACCTGAATCTTTTTCCTCAACCCCATGCGAAGTTTTGTTACGTCGTGGAGTGGCAGTGTCAAGGTAGCGACATCGAGTACAATATTCACACCGGCTGCGGCGAACCCCATGGAATTCGTGTCGAGGCAGGTGGCGGGATGTTGCCCGTCCCAGGCTTCCCAGGCACCGCGAATGGGGTTGCATTGAAAAATTAGAGCAATGCTGAATGCTGCTGCATAGCCGATGTTCAACAGTATCAGGATGTACACAAGGATGCGAATCAAGCGCTTAGGGAATACGCGCAGATAAAACAACAAGATGGAAATCTTGATGAGTGCCAGAGCACAAGGATAAAAAACCTCCTCGAAGAAAAAGAGCTGTGGAATAAAAGCGACGTATCAGTGTCTTAGTTGAGTGCAGACTATGTTGGAAGCGAATGAACACGGACAGACTTACGAACAAAACTCTCTCAATGTCATCGCCAGAGATATTCCATGCATCCAGCCCGAGTCCAGCCTGCGATAGGAGAATCATAAAGGTCGTGATGGGCACCATCATGATTGTCACCAGAGTCAAGGCCCAGTCATCGGCGCCCCACATGCGCGATCGTATCCTTTCCAGACACCGGAGCCCGAAAGCGACGACAGCAACCGCAAAGAAGGCTACTGATATGCTCCATATTAACCCCGTCCGATCCTCACCAACGACTCCACATGTATCATATGCGTATTTCTCGGATTCTGTCGTATATCCATGTCAGACTTGAAAGTCGCCGGGTCACTGGATTTCAACGAAGGCAAGGGAAAGGAATAGAAAACGTTCAGCACTTACCGAGTGCCTCCCTTATTGTGCAACTGGATGCGACACATGTTTTGATCTCGTTTTGGATATCGTCGTTTGCGCAGATACACGTAATGTTGAAGCCGCATATCGAGTCAAGGGCCACCGACTGAATGCATTGCAACTATAGTAAAAAGCCCTGAAGTCAGTCGCCTTCTCCAAATTAACTGTTGAAATCTGGGATATATAACAACTTACACCGCAAGCGGGAACTGCTGTCGACGATGAGGATGTAGCGCTTGATGCGGCGCCCACGACGACTATGCTATGCAGCAGTACAGCTGCACATGCCAAGAACCTCATCTCGATGTCGATACCAAGTACCAGGACTGCTCAGCCGACTTCACTATACCAAGCGCCAAGAATAAAAGAGTGACTGATTTACGAGGAACAGTGGTGGGATCAAGGCACGCAATCATGTTTATAACACAATCGGACGATGTTTCAAGGTCACTCAAAAACATGAACACTAGGCGAGTACATGGGCACCAAACGCCGGCGGGATGTCGGGTCAAGGAGTTGAAGGCTTCAGTTCCCAGTCCGGCCCTACGCCTTGTAAGACGCCTGGTACGATCTTTGTGCTTGATGGTGGGAAACAAGTCGGAAACCTAAATTGGCTCATTCACTAATGGATCGCCCGGAATGGAGGTCCGAGTGCGTCCATTGACAAATTCGGTTACTTGCTTTGCATAACACATGAACCTGCGACTGGACAAAGATGATAGGGCTGTACCTGAGCCAGATATTCTGTCCTGGGGATTGGCTAATGGCAGAGCTGAATCTCAGTATCCATATGGGTGCAGCAGATGTGGCGGCGTTAGAGCACGTCCGGTCCGCTTAGTGCAGCATCTAAAAGAGGTGTCTCTGGCGACCGTCGCGGCAGATTGAGCTGACATGGCGCCTGATCCGACGATTCTCATTGCCCGGAAAGGGCACTATTTGCAGATCCGGCTGCTCCCTTTCGGGCGCGAATTGGCCATAGGCCAAGACTATGCCTTTGGCTTCAGCGCTACATCCCAAGATTAATGCAGATGAACCTATCATGATTAGTAGCACAATGGTTCTTGAGATCAAGTCAGTGAAGGCAGCGCGGTGGCAGGTTTTCGAAGCCATCAGGTCGACCGTTTCCTGCCACAAAGCGCGATGCCGTCGACGGATCCGGCACACTGGGAAGCTATTGCTCTTCTTCACGGCTAGGGATATAGGCGAGCTCTCTAGCGGGAGTAGAATCGTATCATCACGCTAGCAAGGCAAGTATAACCGGGCTGAACTTTAATGTATTGAGATGGCCAAAGAAGAGATTCAATTGCATCTAGAGGAACCTTTTGCACATCAAGCCTGAGTTATAAAGCCTCACGGAGCACCCGATCACGGCCGTCAAGCGCTACACGATATTCTTCTTGTGCGATAGTGTCTACCAGTGGTGGTTCTAGTTTGAGTCATGAAGCTCTTATTTCCAATCCGAATAGAGTTCTTATCGAAGATAGCCCTGTAGGAGTTCTTACATCGCGACCTGATCGCGACACTGGACAGTGTTCACGGGCGATGTGCGCGGAGATTGCCCCAGTCTACATTACTCATATGTGGATATAGAAAGAAAAGAAAATGTGTTTTCTAAACCTTCAAGTCGTGACAACATTCTGGTATACCTAGAAGCGTATGAGAAATGAGGTCGATCTCAATGGATACAGCCGAGATAATTTCCCCGAGGATTTCAGCAACGGAATAAGTCATTGAGTTGCCCTCTTCTACCTCTTTCACATCAGCCCACCACCAAAAAGCCTGGTCAAGCCACAAGTCTGAATACTAGCTTATAAAGTCAGCCCATTCCACGTGGTCACAGATTGGGCACAAACTCGGCCGTGATCCGGGCAATCAAACCTGCAAAGGCTTAGAGTGTTGCGCTTCCATGATCTAGTATACCGTCATTGGTATTTCAAAGGGAAACATGGATAATTCATCTTCCCCTTGCTTGGAGAAAAAGCTTGATGGGATGTCGCACACAATTGAACACTCGGCACTCTTATTCGCCCTACGGTCAAGAGCCGGCATTATTCATGTCCGGTATACCAAAAGTACCTATGTGACTTCCAAGTATTAATGGATGTTAGCTCAAGACCAACGGCTTGCTTGGCCGTGTTTTGAGCCAATTGCAAATAGGTACTCAGCTGTGTCTATCCGCATATATGTTTATGTGAGAGTGCGCAGGGCCATCGAAATTGTCTTATCATCTAAGTCGTAGTCATAGCCACCTTGCCTGGAGGCGAATCTATATCTAATCGTATTCTTCGGACATTCACAGTCTACTGCTGAGCCTTCTTGAGTTTCTCGTATCCCTCCTGTCCGCCTACGTCCTTTTCAAACACGGGCCGTGGAATCTCCATGGCCTCGGTCAGTCTGCCATATGTAATGCCGCCGAGCCTGCTAATGGGCCGCAGGATGGAGGGGTCGACCAGGTTGCGCTCCTCATTGACGGCGTCCTCGCGGACCCAAAAGTTTGTGCCCTCGAGCACGACCAGGCAGCCCGTCTTCTTGCCGGGCGTGGCGCGGCTCTCGAACTCGCGCACGCTCTCAAGGCGGCACTCGACGGAGAAGACGGCCTCGCCGACGCGGGCGGCCTTGACGTCGCGGCAGTCCCGCACGGGGGTCAGCCCGCTCACGTCCCACTCGCTGGCGCCGTAGGGGGCGTCGACGCTGGTCGCGTTGGCCGCCTCGACAAACCCTTCGCTGATGATGTTGACGGTGCACTCTTTGCTCTCGAGCAGGTTCTTGAGCGTGTCCTTGGGCCGCTCAATGCCGCTGGCGAACCCGAGCACAAACAGCGGCGGGTCGTGGTTCACCATGTTGAAGTAGCTAAACGGCGCCAGATTCGAGACGGTGCCGTCGGGGCTGGTGGTGCTCACGAATCCAATCGGGCGCGGCACGATGCTCGAAATGAGCAGCTTGTAGTTGAAGGGCGCCGGGCGACCGGGCTCGTACGGGTCAATGTTGACGTGCTTTGCGTTTGCGCCATCGTGCAGCTTGTTGGCGCCGCCGCCAAACTTCCACTCGGGCTCGGCCGTCTTGGTGTAGTGGAACGAGGCATTCGTGTCCCAGTCGGGGCGCGAGGCCTCGACCTTTTTGAAGTCGGGGTGCGGGTTGCGCTTGATCTCGGCCTCGGAGGCCGTCGACACAGACATGGTGCTGGCTTGGAGTTTGGCTGCGATGCGGTGCGAAATGAGGGGCGGTAGAGGGGTCGTGAGGACGTTCAGCGGCGGGGCTCTGGCAGTTGAGCTCTGAAGGAGGCGGATAGCGGAAGACTTGTGGATCGGCATCAGCTGCGGTTTGGAAGGAATTGATTAGAAATATGTCAAAGAATGCGGATCAAGAAGAGATCCGCCAGTCCGGATCATCATTGCTTAGTATAGAATGACTAATATGGAAACATCACATAACTAAAAGAGTCGTTGCCAGGGACTGCCGGTATATTTCGCTAGAGTTGCGCTACTAGCTTCAGCAATATGGCGGCGGTCCGGTTCGGCATCTCGGTAAGTGGAATCATGATGTAATGGACCAGCGATTGCCCATGCCCATGCGCACTATGAGCTTTAGGCATGCAGGGACAGTAGCGAAGTTCTTGGCTGCTTGATTATACTACAGCTAAATCTGCCACTACCTTCAACAACAATTTAAATAGGATATTGGGCTCATGTTTTCTTTTAAACACTAATTGTGTTGGTTCTTGATGCATCGATGTTCTTGACCCAAGTGTTACCAGCCTCAATTTGGTGCTTATTGGCCCGCCCTACGGATTGTAAGTGAGGACCTCGAGGTTGCGCACTTGGTACAATGTATCTGAGCTGATTATTAGTGCTACATTTTGATTAGAAGTGTCTTGGAATAGAAAGCTCACCACTCGTCGGGCCAGGCGACCCGGAGGACCCTTCCATTTGCAAATTGATAATACTAAAAAACACGACTGTCAGTAGTGTTCATTGTGAAAATTGCTATTTCATGGTGAACTACGAAATACTAGGCGAGGTACTCACAGATACATTGGCTTCCCAAAGAAACCACCACCGACCTGTGTCGCCTGGAGCACGCCGTCCATGTAGAATTTGACTTGGACGTCCTTTTGGTTAATGTCGCGCAGTTCGCATTTGATCGAGTGCCAATCGCCGGGGCTCGGGTAGGTGACATCCTTCCAACTCAATACGCTCGACGTCTAATTTTTTGCACGCAGGGACTTCGTCAGCCCAGGAACCAGCCTATAGTCGAGAAATGGAACGCGGTCCTTAGAAAGAAAACCCACATTGAACGTGTTGAAGCTAATCTTGCCGCTCCCCTTCCACTCGGCCATGTCAATCTCGGGCGGCCACCCGTCGACTGCAGTAAGCCAAAAGGCCGGCCAGGTGCCCTTGGTCGTGGTGGCGCGGAACTCGCCGGCAAAGTCGTATCCTCCGCCCCGCGACACGTTGAAGTGCTCCCGCGCGTGAATGGCACCGCTCAGGTAGTGGATGGCAATGGCCTTGCCGCCGTGGCTCGCGTCTGGCTGCCCGCTCACCTTTTTCGCCGTCAGTGTGAGCTGGCCTGACCCAAACGAGACCTGGGACTTGGCCATTCGCGCGCCGCCGTTGTGGTCGCTGCCCCACTGGAAAAGAAAGTCTTCATGTTAGCTGTCGGTGACTTTGAATAAGATGACATGGAACCGGCACCTGCCTTGGCGCGGGGGTTCTTTTGGAAGGCATATGCCATTAGGCACTCACCGGGTAGAGGTAATCCCAGTCGGCATCAAAGTCGGCTTGGGAGTTGAACGACGTCTTTGGAATCATCGTTCGGACTGCACGAGCCGGCCATGGCGAAGATATCAAAACAATAAATAGGGAAGAGATCAAGAGATATCGCATCTTGGTTGGCCAAGTCTCAATTCCGAGAGCTCATATGTACAAGTCCTTCTAGTGAACGATAGATAGCCTCCAAGGATGACCTTGTAGAACCAAGGGAGATTTTAATCGTTTCAATGGACTGCTTTCGATCGATACATAGTATTTTCATGTTACTATGCTACGCGTACAAGTGGTTGTAATGAGGTTGCGAAATACACCATCGCCCATTTATAATAATTACAGGTATTATCATTCTGCTTTGCCGAATTTGGAATCCTCCATCCCAGCGGAAACAGTCATATGTTCCAAAGTCAATGAGCCAAGAAACTATTCAACATGATGCAACTTGCCATAAAACATGTCATGGAAAGCGCACCAATCAAGGCAACGGTTTGGGTCACATTCTGCGGTTCTCCGCTCTTTTGTCGTATTCAAGGTACCGTGACACTGTTCGGCATTTTGTTCAACATCACTTAGCCGGCGTATAGGAAGGTGGCAGATTTTGGGGTAAATTACAGCTGATCAATGTTGTATATACTTTTGATTGGATTTTGTTCTTCCTTTCAAGACAATGATCCACCATCTATAATTGCAGGATTAGATCCGCTGAAGTTTGTTCCGCTACTCCTCAGCATCATCTAGTAACCTCTGGATGCTTGGCAGGAATGCCTGTGCCTTTCTAAAATCTCCCAGTTTGACGCGCATATAGTCAAATGCGGCCAAGATGACCTCATCCAACTTGGCCTTCTCACGAGCATTGACTTCCCCATCGACCTTGATCTCCATGGTCTCATCGAGGGCAGAGATCTTTTGGTAACGTTGTGAGAAGTGCGTCAGCATAATTCTTCTTGCACCCATTCTCCTGCCTACGCCAATGGCTTCGGACATGGTAGAGTGCTTCTTTGCAATGGCGTCCCCTCTAAGTTCGTCGTCGAAAGTGCTCTCGTGGATGAGCAGAGTCACGCCCTGTCCTATTTGGACAAAGGCATCGCTTGGTCGGCAGTCACCAGAATATGCAATCTTCAACCCAGATGGCCAAGTGAAGACGGTTGCAAGCGCGCCGTGGCAGTGGTCAACATAGCATGCATCGATCTTCTCCAGTCCATATGCTTGTTGTTGGTCCGCTGTCATACGCCCAGTCTCGCATATTCTCGTCTTTGCGTCAAACTGCTTTATCGATGTGAACGTGAGGCGATCGTAACCGATATCTTCGATTTGAGAATACTCGCGGATCCAGTCGATCATGTGGACATGAGAGGCGACATGGAGCTTCGCCATAGGGTTTGACTCTCGTGTCTCATTGTGCCAAGTCTTAATGACACTGGCAGTACCAAGATGGTGATCTGCGTGGAGATGACTAATCCAAATTACCTTCAGGTCACGGATGACTGAAGGGAGTTCATCGCCAAACGTACGTCGAAGTTGTCCCATTGTGTTCTCTCCGGCGTCAAACAGGTAGTTACCGTAGCCCGGAACCCTGACCAAGGTGGCCGAAACATTGCGGTACTTTGACGGAAGCGCAGAACCGGTACCCAAGGTAATGACCTCTGCGTCGCGATTCGGGATGTCGGACTCGACTTGCTCGATCATGGCCAGAAACTCGGGATTGCTACATTTTTGTCTTGCTGTTTCTATGAGAGGGAGTAGCTCAGACTCTGGCACTTCCTTTTTCTTCGCAAGAGCGGGAATGTCGGGAAATTGAATAATTTTGTCGTCTTGGTGAAGATAGCGGGGAGAAAGTTGAATAGTCTTCCCAGTCCTACCAGTCTCCAGAGGACTAGGCAACGATTCCGCCGGTGATTTTGACAGGGTTTCAACATTACTGAAATGGGGGAGGGGAAATCTTTCTGGGTCGATCTGATGCAGTTTGTATGTTTGAGCGGCGGCTGATTCAAGGGCCAACATGTTGGGAGAAGAGTCGCCAGAGCAGATGATGTGCTTGACAGAGCTCATCTTTTGCATAAAGGCTTGCAGGCGGGGATCGTCGATAAGTCCAGGTCCAATGATCCAAAAGAAGACATTGATCCCACCAAGTATTTCCTCATTTGACCATTCGGGCCGTTTGATGAACGGCTCAATAAAGGCCACTTCTGGGACATCCAGTACGGCAAAACCAAGTCCCTTGACAGTCTCTCCCAGAACCATTTCCGGGGTGACAACAACTCCATCGCTAGCAGTCACGGTGCCACCGGCAACGAGTACCTTATAGTCAACCTTTTGAATGGCATACTTTTGTGCCTCCTTGACATTGAATTTACCTCTTTGGTCATGACTCTTGACAATATAGGACATTGATTGTCTTGAAGGTGTCGTAGGTGGAAGATTCGGGATCATCGCAGCAGGCCATGGCTGGCGCACCAGGACAGGAATATCGGGCACATTTTCGGCTTGTCCTGGCAGCGGTCCCTTGTAGACTTGGATGTGCCCCTTTGCGTTCCGGACAAAGAGTTTAGCTGGCAACCTTGCTTGGTGCAAAGTAGTTTCGACTAACGCATCGAGCTTCCAATTGGAATCAAACATTTGTGTCACAATCTCCGAGAGGGCTTTCTGGTTGGTTTCTTCGGCGGAGGGGTGTTGCTGCGTCGGTGCTGGGGCGGTGTCCTCGTGGACCATCTCTTCGTGGCTTCTCTTTCTCGATGATGCTATTGATTGCACGCCTTCCGCTTCAACCGGCATATGCCAGACCTTGATATTGCTATCTTGCCAGTCGGGGTTCGCGCCCGGGTTCGATGCTCGAGGGTCGTTCCTGATCTCGTTTGGGCGTAGAGGCATGCCCTTCCGGAATATGAAGCGCCTCGCGGTGGTGAGAAATTGTGTAAGATTCTTTCCGCCATGGAGTCGCAGATTCGTCAGTGTGCCATTGTCAGGCTCGGGCACACCCTTCTTAGTTCTCTCCTCCTTTTGCGTAGCAAGGACGTCGGCCAGGGTCAGGATCATGCCTAGCATGCCTCCCGCGTTATGCCAATTAACCTGACCAGTCATGAAAACATCTCCTGTCTTGCTAAGCGCGACTTTGCGCTGGACCATGGCACGTTGGGTGCCCTCGGAAATATTGCCAAAGACATAGCGCTGGGTGTCGAAGTGGAGGATCAGACAGGTTCCGGGCGTATCGGCCGTCGGCGTCGTGACAATTTGAATGTAGCTCAACATCTTGCTGGCGAATCCTTTTGCCGCTGCTTGCTCGTCCGCTGTGGGCGCCGTATTCTTAGGCTTGTGGAGGAGGAAGAACCAGGGATTACCGGGAACAGCACGACCTTTCACGGTATGCCGCTTCCTTCGAGTCCACGCAGGTGCCGGTACGATAGCGAGATTCTCACTGGATTCTCCTTTCTCATGAACGATATCGCCAGGTACTACCGTGCCTGCAAAGGGTGATTTCGACTTGGGCGAACGTCTTGTCGCGGGTTGTCGTCGTAATGTTGACACTGGGGCAGAAAGACCGTGTGCTGCTTTTAGGAGGGGCAACTGGACCTTGGTAGGTGGAGACCAGCTCGCGAATCTGTAGAGAAATCTGCGGCTATGCATGAAGCTGTAAAAGGGCCGGCCGGGTGACTCAAAGGGCTTGTGACATGGCCGCGCTCGATCGGCACAGTCACGATCATATGTCTTGTCGTTGGTTAATTGCAAATATCTGTGACTCCCTCGCTGAGACTTTAGTTTGACCTAGAAATTATTTCTTATCGATAAGGGGGCCTAGGTACAGAGTACCTAATGTACCTTACAGCGTGTTGCTGCTGGGCCTCTAGTGCCTCTGCCCCCCGGGCCAAGGCGGTTATGCTCCGCTATGCAACGGAACACAGGCGCGGGGTTAATAGGAAGAGCTCCTTAACATTGGACGGGTGAGAACAAGAGTCCCTGTAGCGGACATTGCAAGTGTGTTTATTATACATTACGACATGTCTTTAGGTTTTACCTCTCGCTTCCAGGATATAGATAAACCTTATTGTGAATTGTTTGTTGCAGCCATCTTGCTCACTACATCAAAGTTTAGTGCGTAGTTGCCTTCAGTTACTCCTTATACAAAATCGCACATCTTGTCAAGGTTGATTTGAGCAATCTTTCTTATTGCTTTGCAGTTTGCGCGCATTTCTTCAGAGTCCTTAGATCGCGTCATCTGCACTTCATTCTCGGCATCACAGGTGAGTTGAGTTCATGCATTCTCGGGCGGATGCACCTAACAGTGATTATAGCGAGCCAACAAGCCACCCGATTTGAATTTTAGGAACAAGCCATCTCAACTCGTCTCATAATGCAACCCGTTGTTCAATCCAATGAATTAGGAACACTGAAAGGTGTCGAGGTGCGGTCAAAGGATTCCGGCAAGAGTATCTACTATTTCGGAGGTGTTCCGTACGCCCTGCCCCCGCTGGGTCAATGGCGCTTTCGGCGCCCCAGGCCTCTACCCGGAGGCCACCGTTACGACGGAGTCTATGCCAGCAAGACACCCGTCTGCCCGCAACCAGAATGGCTCGGAACACGACATGAATCGCTTTGGGGCGAAGACTGTCTGCGAGTAAACATTTATGTTCCTGCCGAAACGGCGCCCGCCGGTGGATGGCCGGTTTTCTTTTATATCCATGGCGGCTTTCTGCAGTTTGGATCGCCGAACATGGCGCCCGAAGCCCTTGCGCCTCTCTTGACCGAAACGGCGTTCCGCGGTATTATTGTACAACCGGGCTACCGACTCAATGCGTTTGGTTTCCTTGCCAGCAAGGAGTTGCAAGCGGAAGCCACCGCTGACGGCCAAGCATCTGGTAATATGGGGTTTCTGGGACCAGAGGCTGGCGCTAGAGTGGACGTACAAGCACATTGGGGCATTCGGCGGCAATGCGAACAATATCACGGTTGGAGGGTACTCGGCGGGTTCCCACAGTACTTTTCAACAACTTGCCCACGAGCTTTTCCACGTCCCGCCGGAGCAGGCCATCATAAAGCGTGCCATCATGTGGAGCAATAGCCCCGGCATCCAACCGAAAGGGATCGAGGAGCAACAAAAGCAGTTTGATGAGCTGCTGTCAGTGCTCGGCATCCCCGACTCGCTGTCTGGACAAGAAAAGTTGGAGAGGCTGCGGCGTGTCCCTGCCCGCGACATTGTTGATGTTCAAGCCAAGATGAAAATTACGGAATTCCGTGCGACAACAGATGACTCCTTCATTTGTCCAGATCATATTGCGCACATCACCTCTGGTGAATTCGCCCGACGAATGAAGAGCCGTGGCATCAAACTGATGAATGGCGAGTGTCGAGACGAGCACAATCTGTACCGGGCCTGGAGGACCTCCGAAGACTCGTATGAAGGCGTTCATGTCAGACTTTGCGCCGATTATCCCGAGATCGTGGTCCAAAAGACACTTCGTCACTATTGCGGGCGATCCAAGTCTCTGCCTCGTGGCTACAAAAGCTGGCAGGACCTATTTGGGCATATTTATGCCGACTTGCAGGTGCACCTTCTTGAACGCGGATTCCACAATACGCTGGCGCCCCTGTTGCAGCCTGGGGTTGATCTCTTGCGGTACAGGATCGAATGGCGTGCTGCATGCTCTCCCTACCCTCCTGAGTGGGAAGTCACTCATGCGACTGACATGGCCATCTGGTTCTGGTACCCAGGATTGACAGAACAAGACAAACAAATCCTGAGACCATGGAACAAGGCATTTGCGCAGTTTGTCCAAGGAGGCGCCGTCGAGTGGGGCACCGCAGCACTGAGTGATATCAAACGTCTTCGCCCAGATGGGCAAACTGATGTTGTCCATGTCGATGAGAGATGGGATGAAGGTCTACATGTCTGGAAATTACTGAATGAGAGCGATAATAATGGTAAACTATAAAGGCTGGCTATTGTTTCAATCACCAAAGATTCATGCAAGCGTTAGATTGAATATGTAGTATTGAATCAAGTATATACAGTCTGAATTCGAACGTCAAACGGCTTTCTGTCAAGCAACAGCGAGATTCTTTCAAGAGCCATTGACTCAGGGTCCAGCAGTTTACGACACTGTAATGGTCGCGCTGCCGGAAGAGTAGTAGCCCTCGGTGGCGACGATCTGGTAGTTGTGTGTACCAAGAGTCATGCCCAGCTTGGACCAAGCAGTGAAGTGGTTGGAAGTTGTGACGGTGCCGCTGCTGCGCTTGCTCTGGCGAACACTCCAGAACTGTGTGAAAGTGGCTGTGCCCTCGATGGAGGGGGCGTTGACGCGCTGGGCCGTGTAGATATCGTAGGTTGCACCGTCGCTCGTCACCTGGCCCTTGTAGGTGGCGCCCGTCGAGGGGTTGTACGTGCCGTACGACTCGACAATATAGTACTCAATCAGCGGCGACGTGGTCCAGCCATAGACGGACAGGTATGAGTTGCCGTTGGGGTTGTAGGAGCCGGAGAATGTGATGGCACTGAGCTAATGTCAGTATATACGGCATTACCGCAACGATCATATAGTCCATGACTTACCGGGTGCTTCCAGTGCTCCAGCCCTTCCCACCAACAAAGTTTCCGGAGCCATTCCAGGTCACCGAGTATTTGCCAGCATCGCCGTTGGTATAGGTGACTATGCTCTCATTGTCCGTCCAGAATGAGTAGTAGTATCCTCCACTGGTGCCGGTCGAGCTGGCAGTCCTAGCGACAAGCTCACCCGGAGCCCGGACAGCGAGTGAAGTTGGTGCAGCGAACACGCTGGAAAAGGTGGCAGCAGCCGCGAGCAAGACCGAGGTGAAGGAAACCATTTTGACAGTCCGTGAGTTCAAGGTGGATCGTCGTTAGAGAAGGTAAAAGGTTATTTGAGCCTCAAATTGTCAGGAACCCAAACTAGTCATTGAAGAGCGCATCCTTTTATATATTGCAGGGCACCACGACGATGTCATGGTCATACCCCTTTCTCATTGCGTGGTTGCATCTATTTTGTACGTATTTCCCTTTAACCGGCACTGGACTCCATCTTTACGAAGTTTGGACGCCATGTTTGAAACTAATCGTCAGCGATGTAACCCTCGTCCGTAGAGAAACCCGGTACGATGGCAGGACGGGGAGGAATTCGCAGTCAAGATCCCATCAATCCGGATTCGCGCCACGAGGAAACGGGAAATTTCAGTCCACACAGGACCACGCAAACCCAGGCCAAATGCCCAATGCAGGCCGGAGGCAGGGGTCTCATTGCCGAATTGGTGCAGTCAGGGGTTGAAAATCTGGGGCACCGCCGCCCCAGATTGATTGACGGAGGCTCAGTCGACGTCCTGCATAATGGGGACTGCCGTCACCCTGTCTGTAACCCTCATTTTGACTGAATGCTCATTTGTCGACGACAAAGGTCATGTTTGTACTGCGCTTGGCATTTAATCAAGCGCTTCCAAAAATTCGGATCATTGAATTGAAATTTGGGGTGGTGTTTTGGCGCCATCTGAATTGATGCGACGAAGTTGTTGGTGAGTCTCCGCTCTTCCCCAAAGGGTCAAGTCGTTTACGGCAACCTCGGAATACTAACAGAGTGGACTCAATTGGGGCCGACTCAAACACACTTGATTCATCGCCACTTTTTTCCTTTTTTGTTTTTATTCTGCCAAAGACACCAACATGGAAAAGCATCAAAACACAAACTCGATATTTTCTATTCTATCGGTACCGTTCAGTACTCGTCGTAACCCAACCTCAAGCTATGTGATTTCAAGAGCAAAATATATTCAACGGCATAAATTCGGAAATGCCGGGGCGGCAATGCGAAGAGATCGACAGTGAACTTGGGAACTACTGTCTAGTCTGTTCTTTGCAAAGCTGAGGAACATGTGATTGAACGTACGGGACTTTGGTGGGATGATCACCAAAATGCGATTCGCAGATCTAGGCAGATTTGCATTCAAGGAAACTCGACATTGTTGCCTCGGCTTGCACTCCACAAATACATGCGGGTGCAACCTCCGTCTGGACCACCGATATGCAGAACAAAATTATAAGGCACATTTCATGATTACTTTACGGAAAGACGTCTTAGGTTCTTCAAGATGGGATTAACGCTGACAGCAGATTGATTTGCTCAGTCGTGTCATGGTAGATGGTACTGCTCGGCGATGCTGCCTTACCGTACATGGTGTTGAGACTTCAAGTCCAAGCAATGACTTTGTTCACCAGAATTCATTGAACGGAAGAATGTGGACTGCTGCACTGAAGATGGCATCATCAAAGGTCGTGTAAGTTATGCATGTAGGCTACATGCCGCAGTATGGACCAAGAGCGCGTCCCCTCCCAGATCAGCTGTGTTGATCTCCCAAGTAATTGTTCAAGTATATCGCAAGCACATTTCGGCATAGAATGTGACTTAAGAAAAGAAAATCAAAAGATTCTTGCCGGAGAGCCTTCCGATGGCTTCGATGCTAGTTCGTCCGAAATCCACGTGGGTTAGCTGCTGCTTTATCGCTTCGTCATCTTCAGTAGCATACGGCTTCTTTACACAATGATTTTGTTGAACTGCCGGGTTTGATCGCACCGATGACGGTTTCCCGGATCCGACCCGTTGCTGATCTAGCAATCCATTTCTCTCCTGATCGAGTCATGAAGGAGGCGGCTAAGCAATGACCGCACCGTTCGCTTGGGTGATATGGAAATGCAAGAAGGCGCTAGAGCTGCAACTGAGATGATCATCTCATTAGTGATTATTTCCGTTCGTGGTTCCTGAAGCCCCTTGGCGCTAAGTGCTGCTTGGTACTATTGAGCTTGCAAGTTTTACGCGTCTTGGTGTGTATGAATTAGTGCAGGTGCACCTGTTCGCCTCAACGTTGATTGGAGGCGGAATTGAGCCGCAAAAAGTGACAGCTTGGCTATGGTTGAACTCTCGTATAGTGCTGCTTAGTGTCAGGATAGAGTTCAGCGCCATGGCTTAGGTGATGCGCTACCAGGTGCGTAGAGGAACCTTTGGGCATCCTAGGGGTCAGGAACAATTGACGTTGATATATATCGGATGGAGTAGGCAGCTTTGTGGCGTTCAGCCCTGTTCGGACAAACTTCCAAATGTGATTCTCTACTTTCTTTAACTCTACTTCGTCCAGAAGAGTGATGTATCCATATCTTGCGATTCTGCTCTTTTCACTATGAGCTCCATTGGGCACTGCGCAAGTCACTTACCATGATCTGCCATCTTGTGCTGTAGGTGAAGCCTTCACGATAATTGCAGCAGATAAGCTCAATTTGAATTCGCGACTAATGTTGTTATAGCTCGACTGCTTTCAAAATAGTTTTCCGAGCAATTCATCGTCACCCTCTTGCAGTATAGATTCGCATTCCGACTTCGAACAGACATTTTCGCCATGCTTCTATTCTTCTTGCTCCGTATACGATGCTCTATCGGCGCTGAACGTGACGTCTATTATTTGTGATCAACCAGTGCGAGACATTTCTTGGGCGATTCGCGGTTTCGTCATCGCTTCCACTACCGTTGCCTCTGGCGTCATTGGGCTTCGGGTGCTTTACAAGATAAGAGGCCAGGCGGGAGGGATTGGCTGGGATGACTATACCATTGTCATTGGCGTGGTAAGATACATTCACAGCCCAACTCATGCGGCATCTTGCTAATATGTTATGGCAGGTTGTCACCTTGATTGCAGCGATTGGGCAATTCTTGAGTATGACTTTGCTACCCAGCCTTCCTTTCAACACATATGCTAACTCCATGTCTAGCTGCTTGGTATGGAATGGGCCGCGATCAATGGAAGGTCCCAACCGAGCATGTCACCAAAGTGTACAAGGTTAGTAATGCTCCTGTTTCTTCCGTGCTCGATCCATAGACTAAGGCGACCACAGTGTTTCTTTGTCTCTGCCGTAGGCTACAAACTCGGTAATGCAGCGACGCGTGTCTCGCTCCTCTGTTTCTATTTGCGAATATTTGGAAAGGGCATTGCCTATATCATCATTTGGGTCTGCATAGCTTTGACGATTATTATCGGCATTGTGTTTGCCCTTGCTGATGCACTCCAGTGTAAGCCCGCTCGAGCCTTCTGGGAGGGCTGGGATGGCGAGCTTTGGGGACAGTGTGGCAGCTTAAGTGCCATCTCCTGGGCTCACTCCATACTAAACATTGTGATGGATGTCGCGACCTTGGGCTTGGCATTCTGGATTGTTCATAAACTGAACATGAACTGGCGAAAGAAGGTTGCTGTGATAGCAATGTTTCTTCTCGGATCAGCGTGAGTCCACTCTTTTCTCCCCGGAGGTATTGGCAGACGACTGACATTTCTTCTTGCAGAATCACGCTCGTATCGTTTCTCCGCCTCCAAGCCCTTCCACCATTGTCGAATACACGTAACCGAACCTGGAATCTGGCACCGGTGGCATACTGGTCGGCTATAGAGATGTTCTTTGGCATGGTCTGTGCCTGTCTGCCTGCGCTCAAGAAATTGGGTGATGCAACGTGCGGCTCTGGCAGAACCACCGCGCGTACTACTGGCTACGAACAACAGCCTCCCAGTTACCCCAGTCAGGGACACAGTAAAAACAGCAGAACTGACCCAACCATGACCTTTTCCGAGTGGAATGACTTGGGCAATCCTGCGAGTCGTGACGGTGGGGTCAGTGATACTGAGATGGCGACCTTGGCGGAAAGAAAAGACGATGTCTTTGTTGTCGAGACACAACAGACTTGGGATGCGACAAAAACAAATAACTAGATTCCAATAGTACAAATATACTCTGATTTGTCAAGTACTGCGTAAAGACATAAGAACGACTTGGAATGACTGTTCACAAAGACGCAAGACTAATTACACGGAACCTCTACAGCAGCAAAACACTATTTTTATGAACTGCTATCCGTTTAAATCAAATGACGTGCGAATCGAGTTATCGAAAAATTGATGTTCGGGGCAAAAGACGGATGCGGTTTGCTGACGCTGCTTTATTATAAGAATTGGGATTGAGCAAAAGCCTTAGGACGATGCGTGTGAAAAGTCGCCGAGCTCCCATGATGGCGGAAACTTTTTATTCTAGCAATTTGGACTCAATCTTGACCTTGATTTGATGGTGTCTAGACCTATCGATCTCACTTTTATTGGAAACATTGGCTTATCATAGATATTCCAGGTGATCGCGACATTCATAGCCATCAAGATACTTCCCCGGGATCTGGTTGTGCCTTGACTATAAATATGTCCGAGGTGGAGTTTGCACTGAAACACAATGTCTCCGGTCCCCCAATCACATACTTTGTGCGAATGGACAACGTAAGTCACCGGCGACATGTTCGGAAACATCTCGAGTCTCTTTCGATGTTTCACGTTAAGATAAAAGGTCGGCTTCTACCCAAAGGAGGTCACACAATCACACATTCCTCTAGCTATAACTGAATTGCATCCATGCACAACTTCCTGCTAGAAGTGCTGCAACAAAACTTTTGACTCATACCATTTCATCATGAGCGAACAACTTCAACATACTCTATGGCTATGGCCGGAGGGTATGTACCCTCGACGGGTCACATACTGGCTCATGATAAAGGGGCTAGTGGCACATACCGCCGACGTCAAAGCAGGCATGACTACAAAGACAAATTTACGCATCAGTCTAATCCAACTCGATATGAAAAAGGGCTTCGTGTACGTGGACGCTGAGGATCCAGCGCCAAAGGGAGCGAGCACACCATGTCTCCGCATCACCAACACGACCACCAACACTACTGACTACATCCACGAAAGCTCAGCCATCCTTTCTTATCTCGAGAAGACTTACTCAACCTGCGGTCCGACCCTAGTCCCGCTTGACCCCTTGGGTTCTGCGCTGGTTGACGACCTCGTCGGCGCCATTAATCTGGCCATCTGTGAGGGCGGCACCTACCTCAAACACGCCGTGCCGCAGGCGACCATGTGGTCAATGCTCAAGAATGAGGACCGCAGCCATGCCGCCGCTCTTAATGGCCAGGCCTTCATGGTGAAAGGTCTTTTGAAGGTCCAGCAGTGGGCCGAGGAAACTCTGCGCACAACCGGGTGGCTGACGCCTGGAATTACGGGGCCCGGAGTCGTTGACGCCAACCTTGCTGCCGCACGACGGTATCTGGAGCTGACTTATGAGTGGGACATTTTCGAAAACAAGGAGCTTGGTCCGTTGGCCAAATGGTATTCGAGATTTCGCATTCTTCCGTGGTGGGACGAGCTCGAGGAGAGGGATGATGTCCACCCACGAGAAATGATGTTTGGCAAAGAGTGTCGTGAGGTTTAGCAATGTCTACTGGGTGGGATTCTCACATGAGCCAACGTAAATGGTAAAGGCAAACGAAGGATGGTCTCAGAGTTGTCTAGGTGGATTTTACTGTGCAACAAAAGAGATGTATTGAGCAACCATCTAATATGCCCGAGCATTTGATCTGCAGTGAATACTATCTACGCCAATGGCCCAATCTCTCTCCTCTACATCGCTGCTTCATGAGGACCAAGTGCCATCCCATGTCGTATCATAGCCATGTAACTCCTGTTGATGAGCCTTGGCGATGAGGAATGAAGCTTCGTAATCGGACTCCGACATCGCAAACGAGTTAGTGGTCTCTGAAGACGACTCCATCTGTGCCTCTGTCACGGTTCCACCGTAAGGGGAAAAGCCGTCTGGAACTTGCGAACACGAGACCAATGGTTTATCCCATGCCTCATAACAGCAGCAAGGCCAAGTCGAACAGCGGTTATCCAGCTCCTCGTACTGATGGGCGTGATGGATCACATCCAGACCGCATACAGGTATGCCGCTGATGAAACCGGGTGTTTTGACGTCTTCCTCGTAGAAGAAACCGCTGGGGCCTGCCTTCTTCACTACACTGTAGTCCTGCGCCCTGTCCGCTGCGCGCCAGCCCTCAAACGCCGAGACGGCAATGTCTTGCCAGACGGCACCATTATAGTCGGTGTTATCGGGACCGAGCTTGTCAAAGCCCTTGGGCTCACGGAACGTCCACCTAGGATCTTCTTCCGACTTCTTGGGGATGTTAAAGTAGACCACGAGCCACAACAGCCATCCGTCGTGGTCGATAAGTGTAGCGCGTGCCGTTTCATCGCTGATCCATCCCCAGGCTGTGTTTTCTTCTTCGCCCGTCAGCGGACCCCAAGGCCACAGGTGAATCGGTGATTCCGATCTTCCGGTTTCACCTGTATCCTCCCAGGCAATGACCACGGGTGTAAGATCAGAGTTAGACGCCCAAGCCGCAGGGATGAGTCGGTGTCTCATGGCTGCCTCGAGGTTCTTTGTGATGTTGAATGCCGAGGGCGAGGACCGGTATGGCAGGAGGAACGCTCCATCTTTGATCAGAGCATTAAGCTGTTCTGTACCGTCATCAGACCCGTCAAAAAGGTGCACGAGAGCAGCATCAGCGACCCCTTTGCCTGTCTCAATGAACAAGTTGACGGCATTATCAAGGTTTTTCTCGCCTTCCATCTCCTTTTCCTTTCTGTAGTAAAAGTTAGTAAACCTTGCTTGAAAGACGAATTACATAGACTTGTCGCTACAAGATCTAGTGTAACATACCCTTCTGCCGCTTCGCCGGCAATGGTCTCATACAGGCCGACGAAGAAATTCGCATTCTCGCTAATATCCCCGCCAAGGTCGACTATTCTCTGTATACTATCTTTCCAGGTTTTCATGCCAGCAAAGCCGAGGATTATGTCGAACCACTCAAGCGCTGTCTTTATGGTCGCAAGGTCCCCCTCGTCGTCGTCGGGGCCAAAGTCTTCAGAGAGCTAAAACCATGGATCCGTCAGCACCGTAGTTCTCTGGTAGACGAGTCTAAAATACGTGGCAGCACTTACCTTGTTGACAATACCTTTGATGTTGACATCATTGAAAGTGTCGTACAGTGCTTTGAAAGCTTGATTGACGTGAGAAAATGATATCAGCATGAGGTCTAGCGCAACATAGTCCGTCAATCCACAGTATATCTGTGCGGTTGTGCAGGATCCTTCAGAGAGGGACTGGCATTGGAATGGATGGGGTCCCAGCCATCTCTGCGTGATATCGTCCTGGCCACCGTACCTGACAGAAGCGTACTCTGAAAAGATATAGTCGTTTTGGCTATTCGGCAAGCCAACGCCAGCTTTCCAATCGCTTTGAATGTCTGAGAGGACCAAGCCAGCGTCAACATAGTCCCACCTCTCTTTGGGCTCTCTGAATATATCATCAGACACGCCGCATGAGTCGACCGAGTGGCACTGCCACTTGCGCTTATCACAATTGGGTAGCTCAATGAAACCGCCACCTGGGAAGAAGGATTGGCAGACGTAGTCAGGACACAGGCCACGGCTGCAGGAGAAACCACATAGATCTGCATAGCTCAGATCGTGGTCGTTGGCCGGATACCCAATGGTGTCCGATGCTTCCGGCATAGCTTCTGGAGTTCCGTATCTAGTGCAGGTGCAGGGCGGCGGACAATAGCCAAACTTGCAGCTAAAGCCGCAGAGTTCCTCAAAGTCGCCGGGACCTGTGCCAGCAGCGCATTCGTCACTATTACCACTGTCGCCGCCGCTTTCACCGGGGGTGGTGCCTGGCATGTAAGGAAGGCTTGGGCTCTGCGCCGCGGAGTCGTCTGAGCTGTCACCTCCTCCACCACAAAGGTTGAGTGAAGTCTCAGCTTGGTTGGTAAATGTGCCCAGGATGGAATGTTGGTCCGCTCTGCCATCTCCGTCCATGTCGACATAATAGGTACAGGTGCCAGCTTTGTAGCCAGAATACGCGGCCTCGCTGGGTTTGCGCCAGGTGAAGTCGGAGCCACCAGCTGGGATGCGTCCTTCGTTGTACCATACCCATCCTTCACCATTGAACTTGTCGACCCAAATCATGTCTGCTCTGCCGTCACCGTTGGCATCTGCGAAGCGAAGGTTGGCGCGGTCTTTTCCCTCGGTGAATTTGAACTGGTTGATGCGCTCCCAGGCTCCAGCATCATTGTGAACCCAGCCTGAGCTCCGCCCATCCGGCTCCATGCAGAGGTAGTCTCCACGGCCGTTTCCTGTCACGTCTGCAAAGCGGATGGGCACGTCATGAATACCGAGTCCTCGTTTCTGCCCACATGTCAACTCGGGCGCTGGGTTGGCGTAATGATCCCATTCCCATCGCCCGGTGTCCGGATACTTGTTGCGCCAGACCTGCACACGATTACCGTTGTTAGAATCGGCCCAGACGATGTCGCAGGCCCCGTCGCCATCCCAGTCGGTAAGATGCAGGTCGCGACGGTCGATATCAAAGGGCGGCGTCCATATCGGGTCAACAACCGGACCCCACCAGGATTCACCGGGCGAGATACGTCCGACACCGCGACTGGGATACATGAGCATTTGTCCCTTTGACCATGTCCAGACGTAATCTTCATTGCCGTTGGGGTGGCCCATCATGTTGCAGTACTTGACGCCATCGGCCTTGAGTTTGGTGCCGCCTCCGCCTACATTCTTCCAGACCCGGACGTTGAACTTGTGGCGATCACCGTCCGCGACGTGTTCCATGAAAACGTAGTCTAGCTTGCCGAGAAGACCGAAGTCCTGGGGCTCGCCGAAGATTCTAGCGAAGTGAATCCTGTCACGAAGGCCTGTGCTTGCAAAGCTGCCCATGCCGTTATGAGTCGGGCCTTCGGATGCGCCCCGGTAGAAACCCTGCCTCCAGGCGACATTGAGCCCGTCACCTTCACGGCCAGAGGCACAACTGCGCGCATTGGTCCAAGTTGTGGTCTGGCCATCGTCGCGGACCCACAACCAATCATCTCGACCATCGCCGTTTATGTCTTCAAAACGGACACCGTGTGCATCGCCCATGCCCTTGGCAGGAAACCGCATTCCGAGATTCTGCCAGTACTTGGGTACGTCGTCGATCCATCCGTTACGCCAGCACCAGATGTTGCCACCATCGTCCCAGTAGCAATAGTCGGCTCGTCCGTCGCCGTCGATATCTGCAAGAACGATGTGCTCCTGTGTCCAGCCGACATTTTCTTTCCAAAGACCGATGCTGTGGAACGTCGGAGGTGTGTTGGCGTTACCATTACCCTCATTGATTGACGCGAAGGCATCACCATTCGGTGCAATACAAACGAAATCATCCAGACCTTTGAGAGACCTCTAGTCAGCAATTATCTCTCACGCGAGGTTCGTCATGGCGAGAAAGATGAGGAATTTGATCTTGCCAGGAGATTTACTTACCATCGCCATTGATATCGATGAAACGTACACCGCGAGGAATACAGTTGTCATCAACAGTCATGTCCGCAATCTTGTCGAAACGAGCAGTGTTGTAGTCTCCGTTGTTTTTCCAAACGCCGTATGCGGCAACACTAGGCGACTGTTCAAACCAGCCAACGAGATCGTCCTTGGCTCTGCTGAAAAGACGGGCGAATCGCCATTGGTTGCGATCCCATCCGGATGAAATGGTCAAGACTATGTCTTTTGGCACACTCTCGTGATAATAGATTCCATCGTCGACGCCGCTGCCCTGCTGCGTCAGGCCGCCCGCGTAGACTCCGTCGCCGGCCTTCTTTTCGCAGCCTGGTTTGGCGACGCTAAAATCAACGTCATTCTATAATATCATGTAAGCGTCTTTCTGATAGTGCCTCGGAGACTTCCGCAGGAGCGAGGCCAGGTCACAGATTCGGAGGTAATCGCACTCACAGGGGCTTCAAGTTTTCCCTCATTCTTCGCGACTTCAATAGCGCTCCAGTAGACATAGGCCATCTTTTTGAATCCGGCGTCATTAGGGTGTGTGTTATCAGACATGTCGTCTCGCGTGATCCACCCATTTCCCGGATGAGGTGCGACAGGATTCATTTCAGCAAGGACGACTTTCTTTCCCTCCACGCGAAGAGCGCTAGCAAGTGCGCGGTATTGTGCATTGACACCTCCGCCGGGAGCATTGCTGTCGTCCTCGCAATAACGAATGTTGTTGTCAAAGTTGGGAATGAGCGTACCAAGGATGATGGTAGTTTTTTCCAGCCCCGGGGTAGCGAAGATTTGCTCAATCAGCTTGCGCATACGGACGCCGGCATTACCAGTGTCAATGTTCTGGGCGCAGTCATTGCTACCAGCTTGAATCAATACGACATTGGGCTGGTAGGCCATCGAATTTCTCGATGCCGTAGCAACCTGGTCCACAGTGTCACCTGGGTTTGCTTCCACATCCTGAGAGAGCAGGTTAGTGACTTCTACCAAGAATGAAAATAAAATGTATACTCACATTATCTTTCATATCGCCGTTACGCTTACTTCCCACCATATTAACATTCCAGCCAGTGCTTCGCAATTGGTCCCTCAAAAAAGAGCGATAACTGTAGAGAGAGTAATTAAAAACAGAGCTTCCAATGGCGTCGGGGGTGACTTTTCTTCACCAAGAGTGCAAACAGATGAAACTTACCCGTTACCAGTAGAAGACCCGACACCATACACAATCGATGCACCAAGGTTCAGAATCCGGAGGTCAACCATTCCATCTTGACGTCTAGACAACTCAAGAGGGCTTTCCAACATAGATGAGACATTGAAAACATCTTCAGGTGGAGGGAATGAATCACTATGAGAAGGAATAGTTGCTGGTGGTTGTGAGGGTCGAGCAGTCGTTGGCAGAACAACTGCAGCTAGTACAAAGCCGAGTGCCCGATGGAAATGACCAACGCGCATGTTGACCACGATTGTACCCTACGAAGGGCCGAAACGAGAGGATTGAAGTGAGATGATGTTTTTTTTCTTCAACTAACAGCCGGCGACATCGTCCAATATATGCTTCACATTCTTGAAAGACGGTCGACTTCATTCCAGGTCCATCGGAGATGAGAACCTGGACCATGATGTGCCAAGGCCTATAGGTCCAACATAACGCGGCAAACTCGGTGGGCTCAATGTATGATATGATTTGAGTTCTTCATAGTCATAACAAGAGCTACAAGCTCATGTGAAGTAACTTATCCCGGCTAGGACCAAGGGAGCTGAGAGATACCCTGGACATTGGCTCATGAACCCAAGTAGATTTTTCGTATCTAAGCGTATAGACATGGAGGGGAAGAAGTCGAAAATATCTCTCGAGGGGTTGTACTATTTTACTACCGATAAGGTGTCACTCGGTAGTCCAGAGTTGTCTTGTTTATTCTATTCTTTTAACCAGATAATTAATTGCAACTTCTCCTCAAGCAAGGCTCCCACAAGGCTGTTCAAAATACTTCAAGTACAGTAGATGGGAACATAAATATGTTCTTTCCACAGGATATTCTTTGTTATTTTTGCAATGCGTGATTAAAGGTGACCCAATTAAAACGACTTCATCCTCACTAGCCATGACACACGGAGGACTAACTACAAGGTGCATGCAAGGTACGCGCTCAAAGTGTTCCTGCAGGAATCCATTACAGCAGGGAACTAGAATCACCAGGCCCCTCATTTGTTGGTCATGCTTCTTATTAGACCCCATATCATACCTCGTCTTTGGGTATAAGTTGACTCTTGGTATAGATTAGTCTATGCCGAGATATGCATTGATGCGGCAAAGACGCTCGCTTGCGTGAAAAGACCTGGCTGGAGCGAGTCCATCTTTTTTTACATAGTACATAGTATACTGCAGAGGATCGCGGAGCTGAGAATCTGGGTCTATTGTACGCTTGCTCCGCCTCTTACACTTAGTGCTACTTGGCGGCGTGCGGCACCAACATGGAATCTTAAGAAGGCAAGTCCAATAGCCAAGTTTGTTGCGATGGAGTCACGAGAGATGATGCCAAATTTGGTTTGTCGTTATGGTTCTCTTGGATGAGCTCGAGGCTAGTTACCGTCTGCCCTGTACGTTGCAGCGGAAGAAACAAACCATATCACATGCTCGTACGAGATTGTGGACTGTCCAGCCGCCAAGCGAGTTGTGGATCGGACTAGGACATGGCTGGATAAGATTTACAACTATCTTCAAACTTTGTTGATATTGACGGATAATCTTCGCGCGGGTTGAGTTTCCCGACAAGCAAGTGGATTTGCGGGACTATAACAGCTGGGTCGAGATGATCGAATTCACTTGGCGCAATTCCTCGTCTTTCGCAGCAATGTCTATTCTTGTCAAAGAGAGTTTTTCATGTCGTTTGTATCGCTGGACGAAGACCTTGGAGCAACTTCACCAATTCACGAGTCCAAGTGACAACGTACATTGGTATTGGTTTGCATGATAGCCCAAATCACTTCACAATGTTGACACTGGCTTGCTTGGACTGGCTAACATTGTTGGTCAACTCAGTCAGTCAATTGGACTGCTTTGAGCCCTCCTCAGCATTGCTTTGCCTTGCAGGCCTGGTCCGGACCGTGAAGTGCCTCGTCTGATCGATTCAACAAAAGAATCCCTGTCAAACCTATAAAAAGATTCTAGGGTCCAACTGTGCGGCAAGCTATTCTCTACAAACACCGTCTCGGACTATTCGGAATGCAGGCGGATGCCAATCGGAAAAAAAAAATAGACTTAAATCAAATGACTCAGTTATCCTAAATTAATAGCAGATCCATTATTCGAAACTATTGCGCAATATCCCGAGCTATCTACTTTCTTCAGCATAGCAGTGCAGGCAAACATGGATTTGACGAGAATTTCAACCGCTCCATAATTGGCCAAGAGCAATAATTTTCTACATGTTCTGACATTGGCTCCATAAATGCTTGTGTTTTTAACTTTAAATGGTATAACCCGTTAGGATACTGTGGTGGATTGATTATCCCAAACTATGGGAGCCTTGGCATTCGAGCAGTATTCATCGATCTGCCCAATAAGACTTGAGAGTTTTGGCACGTGGCATGCTGCCCAGAACAGGTTCCGGGTGCGACCTGAGCCGCGGCCTGGCGGAGCGCGTTGGCTTGGCGTTGCTGCCGAGAAGCTTGGCAGCGGGAGTTGCTACATTTTGGATAGTGATCCCGCAAGGCTCGAGAAGAGGAATGGTTAAAGAGGGACTCTACCAGCACCTCGGAACCTCCGCGACTTGCGAGATCCATGCTTCCTAGGCACCTAAGGGAAACACGGGAACCATGATATCTCCCTCGAAGATTTGTGCACTCCTTCTAGTCTCAAGTGCAACTGCCCATTACCCACCGGTTTCTGGCCACGACTTTGACTTTGACGTGGTCTACCCTTCGGGCTTGTCATTCTCAACTTCCAACCCACCCACAGAACCTCTGCCACTCAACGAGATTCAAAACAATGCCACCCTTCCTCAGATAACCCTGCGAAATGTTGAGAGTGCGAGCAGCAACGAGCTGACCCGTTACATCTCATTCGCAGTGGTCACCTACGTCAGGCCTCGCCTAGATAACTCTTCCGTGAATCTCAGAACCCCCTACTTTGCCTGGGTACGTGCAAACCAGACCGTATCCGAGAATGGCCTGTTGGGCGGCGGCGGGAGCGACGCGAACAATGGGCAGTCGGACCAACGGGATATGGGGGATTTCAAGAACGCGTCGCTACACGTGTGGCAGCAGACGGACAATGTGACGGATTACCTGTTCAAGAACAACGTTGCGGGGACCTTATGGTGGGAGCTCGGCGACATCTGGGCCAATGCCACCAGGATTGACGGCAAACCACCGTCCCTTGTCGGATATGACTTTCTGCGGGCAACCGTCGATTTCAACTTGCGCAACGACACAACCAACACGACGACAGGAGACGATGAAAGCAGTACAGCTACTCGGTCAATCTCATCAGGGGCAGTCATGGCATTTTGCATCATTGCAATACTCTTTGGTATATAGCTGAGCCGCTGTCATGGGAACAGGTTGTAGCTTCTCAGCTGGGTGTCCTGTGACTTTCGGGAATGCAGTCACATGCCTAAACTAGTTGTTATTGTGCTGTTATGTTCGAGCACAGTTGATCAACGTGTCCTCAAAATAACTATCAGTAATTATGTGGTTCATTCCAGATCCGGTACAGAAGATTTTGAAGTAAATAATGTTATTGCGGTCAAGCTATTGGATGCGCTCTCAAGAAATATCATGGACGGTGCTGGGTGAAACGATTACCACGCGATCAGGTACTGTACCTAGGTATGGGCAAATTAGTAGTATATTGAGAGATGCTGACTGCTGACTACTGGCCGGTTATGACCACTTTAAAAAAAAAGAAAAAAAAGGAGTAGATGCTAGTGCTTCTTGGCCGGAAATAGCTGTGGCCTAGAATATGTATCTGAAAGACGAGGTGGCCTAGAACACTTCTTCCTATACGGATACGGTTGGTTCCAAGCGGACGGGTTCGCCCCGCCAAATTGGATTAGGGTCAAAATTAAGGTTTTCGGATCGACTGAGGAGGCCGCCACCGTATTCTGGCCGAATCACAACAACGCTTATGTGCATGGGTCAAGGTATTCGGTTCTAGAGTATTAACCTTAACCCAATATAAACCAGCTATATTAGTTCTTATAGTGGATGGATACCAGCTCTTGGTATTGGAATGCAGGTACACTAGATATGCACGCGGCGCGCGGGATCTCCCGATTCAGGCACCTTGCCTCATGTCAACCACTTTCTTTCCGACGTCTGTTTCGGCAAGCAGCGAGGCCAGACGTTTGGTAGCATGCCCATTGCATTCATCTGTCCCATCAGCAAATTGTTTCATCCTCTAGTGCCGCCCGCTATTGCATTATGCATGAGCTACAAATCTGCCAATACCTTCGATTCACTTTTATCTCTTGGTGGCCGACTGGATTCACAAGATAGCGTGGTTCAGCAAGTAGCTTTGTTGACTCGAGCCTAGTTCGGCATCAGCACCCAGACAGATAGAGTCGTCCTTGATTGATTTCCATTCGTCAAACATGGCACGGGTGTTATGGACAACGCTATGATCCAAAATCCAAACCCCAGTCGAATACCTACCGAAAGGGTGTGTCTACTAAAGGAGAATATCAGATCAATCCCTTTACGTGTTGCCACTTCATGTGATGCACAGTCCTCTCGTTTCACAAATATTGGAGAAATATCATATATTCCATGCCGGACGAGCAATGAGCGGACATCATTATTAGATTTTCTATTGGTCCGTGATTGACCGGAGGAAGTCCTTCATCAGATTCTATGCAGCACTGTGCACACAGGTTCTTCACTTGTCCAATTCTCATATGAGCCAATGTGTGACGGGGAAGATGAAGACGAGATGATGAGGAAGCATGAAAAGATTTCTGAGTTGATCTCTGATATATAAAAGAGAGGTGCTGAAGAGCTATTTACTATACCCGAGCAGGTGATCCGGGAATAATCGGGCAAACCTATACTATACGATCTGCTGGAATATATGTTCTGTGTTATCTTATGGAAATAATCGATACAGACAGACTGCCTGCGTCTCGCTACCTGAAACAGCCATAAGAACGATAACATTGTGTTACAAACTGTGTGTTGCACTGACGTATTTGATTACCACTGCATATCACCTTCTCGAGTATGTTACATAACTCTCAATCACCTCTCTTTGATAGCTCACAATGATCAACTCAGACATTTTCACACACTCCTTCGATCCCACGTTCCCCCAAACACTGGCTTAGATGAGATTATACTACTTATTAGCGATATCTAGATTTTCTTTTTGTTTTGGGGGGGTGGGGGGTCGTCTGTACTGGGCATACTATATTATCCTAGAGCATATTAACACAAAATGAAATAATCTACCTGTTAGTGACATGAGAAGTATACATCAGCTGCCGAGGCCGGAAGCGGCTTCCTTTATATGTTCAGAGGAATTTGTGAAAGCACAATATTTTGTACGGTCAGACCGCCAAGGGCTCTCCAATTTTCAGTCCTTGTGCAACTTGACGGTGATACCTCCTATCGATGATACCTCCTATCGATGATACCTCCTATCGATCAGGGTTCATTCCAGAATGGCAATAGCCAGCACCTTTTCATGGTCTTTCAACTGATTGTGCTCTTCTATAACTGCTCTCTGTTCTCTGGTGGATACTAAATCATTCCAGTATCTAAAGAGCCGTGGCCTTGAGCGACTAAGGTAAACAGGAAGATTGACTTCGATCAGTCTCCGCGTCACCGTTGCAAATCCTGCAGCTCTATGCTACTTCTCGACTGTGATCTAGTGCCAGTCGACGTCCTGGAACTCCCACCGATCTGATGACTCCTCGTTTCGGACCTGATGGCAACTTCTTCAATCTTGACAATTTTCCTCCGGCTGTCTGGTGCTGAAGGAGAAGTAATCTTTCGTGTATCCCTGCTTGTCCTTCGGCTGTCTTCGATGACACCCGAGTTGCGACCTCGTGCCCCACTCGTACATTTCGTGGTGCACCCCGTATCCTCGGACTCGGCCCGGATGCTCTTGAGAAATGTGCCGTCCGCGGCTGAGCGGTGATATGAATTGTGATTTGTGTTGCTGCCGGCGCTTCGCCGCACTGTGACCATTCTTCGTAAGAAGACTCGGAGAACGGGTATCGAAGCAGCCATGATGGTTGTGGCGATCTCAGCAGCTGTCCATATCATTACATCGGCCGAGAAGTAGGTGGTATCATGCGATACAAGAAGTGGAATGGTGGAACAGCGTACGACAGAAGTGATACCAGCGCTGCGTAATGCCATATAGTTAGTTTAGAGACTCAACGGATGTATACTGTGCAAGCAAATTCTTCGGAAAGCTCAGGAACAAGAAGCGCTTGCCCGTAATAGGCGATTTGACTTACAAGAAACCCAGGCTCATGCAAATCGCGATACCGATCTTTTCCTTTGTCTTGATGTTCAATCGCATAATGATTGGCCAGGGGATGAGAGCAAGGATCCAGTCCATTGCGGCCGAATACGCGGCAGCAAACACGCTGAAGTGAATAGAAATCTGGACATCAAAGAAGCACTTGCCATGGGCGTGTGGATTCCATGCAAGCTCGCTCGGACAACATCGCACGTAGGGCAGTATCGCATTGGTGCATAGCACCGAGCTCATGGTGATAATGATGAACCATATCGTGGCCTTTGTCCACCCACTCGTAAGCCTGAGCAGTGACAGCGCAAACGAAGTTTTGGAGCAGGCGGCGCCGACTAGCGTCAAGGCGCTGGTGATATCGGTGAGCTTCACGAGCTCCCAAATTTTATCCACCGGGACGTCCTTCATGTGTCTACCGAAACCTAGTGCCACGCTATAAGTCGATATGCCCACGGCTGTTACCAGCAGCAGCTGCAATTTTGTCAGATTGACTATATACACAAAGCCATCGAGGGGTGTATGCTTACCCACGATACCAGAAGAACGTAGTCATCCCACCACAACTTGCTTTGGGTCACCTTGACGTAGAGGCGAACGCCGAGGAAAATGGCCGTGATGGCAGTTAATGACCAGCATACTCCATCTATCTTTGGACCAAGATTATCACTCTCTCCTCCTCTCGCGATAAGAGTAGGCATGCTTGGTGATGAAAGACAATCAGCAACTGTCACCCATTCGTAGGCTGCATGGACGCCTTGCTGAGCGCAAAGGAGAAAAATGTCAATATCGCCCTGCAAGGCGCTGTAAGTGTCTCTTCTACTTGTTGTCATGAGAGGGAGAACCTGGTATGATATGGGAGACGACAGGCCCACATTCGTTTTGGTAGGTGGACCAGTGCCTGTCTCCAAGGTCAGGGCCCTGCCAGTGAGCCCTCCTCGGACATGTGTCATAGTACATATGGAGAACCATGGCCGCTCCGAGCTTGTACTTGCCCGAAGCCACTTGGGAACTGAAGGCTATTAGACATCGGAATCATTGGCCATAATCATCTTCAAGCCATATGAATATGGGATGTGTCCTCGATTGACAACTTCGAAGCCCATCATGGTGACCGTGAATCTTTGGACTGGTCGTGAGGGCTTTCCGTAGAGACGAGACCGCAAGTCGCAGTGCGTAGCTTGGGCCCAAAGTTTCTGTCACGAGTGAGAATATCAAAAGCTCCACTTCAACCTCCAGATCTTTGCCGTGCCTGGAAAGGGCACTCCGATTCAGACAGTCATACCGCTTGATCCAACCAGAATCGTTGCTGGACCCCTTGCTATCATCTCACACAGACCACAGCTTAAATGGAAAGCTTTGAGCATGACGGAAATGAACCACGGGAAATGCTTCTTTGGTGCAATATAAAAATGGAGAATGCGAAAGCCGGCCGTGATCGGGGTGCCCAAAGTACATGGTTCATGTCCTCGCAAGATCTCTCAATAGCTCTCTCATTCTCAGCACTCCTTCAAATCGATTTCAGTCGGGCTGTAGGTGGAAACTAGGAGCCGATCGGATCTTTGCCCGAGAATGAAAGTCATGGAAACAAAAAAAATTGACGAATATCAGTTTCATACCAACAAACACGGTGCTGCATCCTGATCATACTCCTGGACATCAGCATCCAGCAAGGTCCTAAGAGCAACGATGGCAGTGCCGTGTGCGGGTAGAACCGCATTCGGAGGACTCGGCAGAAGTGTACGCTTAAAGTGGAAAATGTTGGAGTGCAGTGCAAATCGTCTGTGTCGCAATTTTGCATGACTGGTGATGGAAGATCCTGGTTTGTATGTCCATTATTGATCTTATCAAGTGGAGAGTTTGAACAGATTCGGGGTCTTTAATCCAGCCGTTCGGTTTATCTGATCCTGTAGGCTCGAAAATCTTATTCCTTGGCTTCCGTTAGCTTCAACGTTCTTTGTTAGCTTTGGTGCCTGTGTTTTCGATCGTCACGATCTGTTCAAGGCTTCATATGATGAGAAAGAGATTCATGTGACTCTGAATGTCCAAAAGACAAGGATTGGTTGTCCAAGATGCCAATAACTATTCAGAGAAAGTGGCACTGCCGCGTGTCGTAGGGAAGTTTCTGTTGCTGATCATTCGGCACTCATGTCGATCAGTGAAAGAAAAGGTGGAACAGGACGCAAATTTGGCGGTAGCGGCAGTTAATGAGCGCTATCACCCACCCAAATGCGCCGAGTGTCCAGGTCGGCTCCGAACGCCTGGCGCCGACAGTAGCAACCTCTAAGGTGAAGAAGAAATATGAGTTTGACATCTGCCTCAATCAGGGAATTTAAACGCATGGAATTTGCACCTTGAGTTTTCTCAACAAAGCCGTCAAATCTGTAATGATATAGCAGTCACAGTCTTTGACGGGTGCATTCGTGTTTCTAAGCTGACCTATTTGGCTGGAAGGCACCTAGGTAATCGCGTAAAATACCCCCCATCGCTTCGTCCCATGTCTCCTTGAATAGCTCAGTGCCACGCTCGCTGTCTTGTAATTCGCTCAATCTAGATTATCGAAGACAAATGTTAGCGTTTATCTGAATTGTATCCCCTTCGCAAGAAAAACCAGATAGATTATTTGACTCACGGTGCAATCTTGTCATTTGTCCATAGCCTGCCATGACCTTCCGGCCCAAGGCCAGTGGCTCCCACTAAAGTCCGGGCGCCCTCCTCCGCCGACCGTCCAAAAACAACCCACGTCAGGTTCATCATCAGCCGCTGGAAAATTGGTGCACCGCGCAACCAGTTGGTCTTGCACATACCCGGACAGCTAGCATTGACAATAACTCTCGCTTTTGCCACCTCACCTTGCGAGTCGACGGCATTGGCAACGCCTCTCATCAGATACCATGCCGCCAGCTTGATCAGAAAATACTGCTTGCGGTACTCGAACTTGGCCCGATCTTCAATGCGCTGTACTAGGCTCTGCCCCGGCGGCAGATCGTCCCGCTTCACCTCGAGGCATGCAGCACTATTCACAAAAGAAATATAACAATAATCATCTCTTCCTGCAGCTGTCATTCTCTCGGCGGTGGCGCATATCTTGGGCAGCAGCAGCAAGGCGATCAATGTGGGAGACAAGGCATCAACCTCGAGATCCAATGCTGGACCATCGGGACCGGGCGTGAATTCCAGACAGGCGATGCCTCCAGCGAGCTGAAGTATGTGTAGTTCTGGCACAGTCGCTTCAATTCGGGCGGCAAAGTCACGCACCGACGCGAACCGAGCTAGGTCGAGGGTTTCGATGATGAAGATGTCGGGAGGGCACCCAGTGGCACTGATGATGGCGGCTTTGGCTTCTTCGCCTTTCTGCTAGGTCCGGACGCCCAGAATAAGCTTCGTTGCACCCTGAGCAGCGTATTTAATGGCCGCTTGATGTCCCAGGCCCGAGTTGGCGCCAGTCACCAGCACGGTCTTGCCTTTGAATGACAGGTTTGTAGGGTCAGCTGGAGGGTTCCGCGCCGCCGCCCACATTTCCATTGGTGATGACATTGTGAGAAGCGCGATGTCGCGCAGACACAGGAAGGTCGACAGTCCAATAACGTTGCTGTCTCAAAATTAAACCGAGACCTCAACGCACTGAACTCATACAGGTAAGTCAGATACCAGTCAGAAATTTGGGTGATGCGTCGAAGATGGTCCCTCAAAATCGAGCTCCTGTCCAGGAAGTGCTAAGTAGACGGGATATCGAAGTCTACTGGTCAGCAATGTCGTCCAACCGTCCCAACCTGCGTTATGCTTCAACGTTATGCTCCAAGACCATGATAGCTACACGCTGACGGTTGACTGGCCTATTCAAAAACCACCGAGTCTGTTGGCCAAGACTTCTACTGCCAACTCAAATCATACCAGAAACCTCGAATCGATCCGCGCGTTCTTCTACTGCCTCGCCATTCATGATACAACCGAGTTCACACCAAAACAGCCACATTTGGGAAGATTCTAGGCTTGCTGAAGATAAACTGCAACTTCATGGACACCCCAGACTAGCGCTATTGGAATCGAACCTCACCATATACCCATCTAGGTTAGGTTAATGTTTCCCTCACCAGCAGCGGAAGTTTAATTGGCTGGATCAAGAAAATAGTGCAAAACATTGAGGTCCGAAGCTAGTTGGTATATAAAGACTTTGCCTTGCAGAAACCGAGAGCGCCGCATTGACTATCTTGGACTTGCTGTCGACAAAACCGGCCAGAGAAATTCATCCCTGCATATCACAATGTCGCCATTCCATCATTTCGACAAGAGAATATCGAATGCGAGTCATCTTGGTTCCGCTTTACTCAATGAGATCTTCGATATCAACCTCGTCGAAATAGTCAAGAACAAGATCTTGAGCAACAATAGGTTTGCAGAGATACGCAGCTGGACTGCCATCTCCCGCGAGGCGCAAAGGATCAAATTCGAGACCATCATCTTTCAATAGTAGCCGCCTCCGCCTGAGCCACGGGGTGGTGACGGTCCGAAGCTCGAGCGCAAAGATTTTCTTCTCGCCAAACTTGGCACTGAACACGGTAGCATTCTGCTTTGCCGAACTGAAAGACGCCTCAGGGTTCGCCCCGTCGCCCAGAGGGTGGGGTGCGCCAGCCGCGAGAGCCACCTGCCTGATGGGCAGCTCGATCTGGTCGCCAATCTCGCGAGATCGGAGTCCTTCTCTGGACAACTCGACATTTTTCACAGACCATGATGCCAACCACCAGACACGGTGGGTACTCGGCAGGGTTTTCTATCCAGTTGAGGGTCTTCTTGGACACTGCCTCGTTACTCTTGAGCCTCTCCCAGACATCATCGAGCTGCTCTCGGTCGTCCTTGTTACTGGCCATCTTGAGGGCTACCACACTCGTCACAAAAGCGGCGAATTCTTTGGCTCTGAGAGCATCGTTGGCGCGGAAAAAGTCGGTCGCAGGACCTGTCTGATATTTTACATTGTCGCTCTGATCATTATTGTTTTCCTTGGGTGTAAATGCATAATTGGGTGTTGGGCTAAGTGGGTTCTTGACAATGATTTCACACGAATAGCGATACTCATTCGTGTGCTTAGGTACCTACACCGTCATTATTCTTCTCCACGCTTTCGAGAAGAACCAAGTAAACTTTGCTGTCTCAAACAACGAATAGATGCGAGATTATTGATTGAAATCATCCCATCACAATTTCAACAGACCAGATGCTTGGAAAGAACAAAATGTAAAGGAGCATGCGCTGAACAGCTTTACAGTACAGACTATCCGGTGAAAGATGGCTGGAAACGTGGCCAATCAGCAGGCACCCAGGTACATATTGTACGACAGGGTCTGTCCTAAAAGGAATCTCAATGCGACTGTTCTAGGCTGTATAGTGGGAAGGATCGGCGTCCCTCGGATGACTGCGCACCTTAGACGGCGATGAGTGTGGTAAATGTGCATCCGCATGGGTTTTAAGGAAATACTTTGCAGGAATAGTGTATCATTTGCGTCTGCGCAATGTTCGAGATAGGAAACCCCGCCAACTTGGATAGCCCACGAGCGACATGGGTCATTTGCATTGCTATCACACCATGAATGAAAATAATAGGCAGTCAATCTTGATGGGAATAATATGGGGTTTTTGAAAGAGCATGATTCTCTCCATGCGCCTATGATTACATGTATATCAGCATGAAGCTTGATCATGGCTCATGATACCTCGGGCAAGTCATACTCCACGCAAGGTTGCCGCTATAGCTGTACAACAGAGCTTCTGTATACACCCGTAGATCCTTGGAAAACATTGTATTGTCTTTGATCTTGCTGACGTTTCTTTTAAAATCTTCAATCAACTTGATCACCTCCTTGGCACAAATAGCTTTTGCGACATCTTCGTTGACAGAATGTTCGTTCATGATGATGTACACGGCATTAAAGACATGGTCTTGCCCAAGCCGCTCAGCCATATCCCGTTCCATCTCCCAAGAAAAGAGATCATTCGTCAAGCCCATAGCAGTGTATGCAGGTCTGGCTAGACTCCTGCAAAGCTCATACTCGTCGTCTGGAATCGTGAGACCCATTGCAAAGGTCAACATGCCAAACCATATCCTATGTTTACATATGTCATTGTCAGATAGGTCGCTTTGGGCACATTGACTGGGGATGAGAAACTTACGATTCACCGACATCGATAATGCGGGCTGGAATATATTCTTGCAGCGTCTGGAAAGATTCTTTTCTAATGTTTTTGGCTTGTTGTATAAAGGTGGCCCAGCTCTTCATGGCGACAGTCGCCCTTTGCAAGTCAATGGCGGCCATTTTGGAGAATATTTGTGATTGGAGCTGTTTTTGTGCATCTTCCTTGAGCTTCGAATCCGGATCAAACTCTGCCCCAAAAGTTTGCAACATTTGAGACTCTGCGCGGTTGTTTTTCGCAGCAAGATATTTTTCTAGCGTATCTAGATGAGTCGTGTTAGTTTTTCTTTTCTCTTTACCCAGATTAATTCTCATTCCAACTGTACCATCACCTAAATATGCAAACTCGACCACATAGCTCGTTATCTCCAGCCGATCAGGCAAGCATTCCGGGACTGTGACCTCGATAAAGCTGAATAAGTCGCCGATAATCCCTTTGAAGTTGTTGCTAGGGGTTACTCTTTCATGACAATAATTAGACAATTTTTGTGACTGAAGTCGCTTAGAGTCATTGTGTATGTTGATAGGACGCTATGCATCGGAAAAGATGCCTGGAGCGGACAGTCTTGGTGGGCAGGGCTGACGACAAGCAGTACTTACAAAGCTGACCAATCGGCTTGAGCTTTTCGAGCACCTCTGATCACTCGCTGAGAATTCCGATGGATTCGCACCGGTATATCACAGCTCAGGCTGTTTCTAGGGTATAATTCATCATCCAGTTCTTTCGAATAGACAGGCTCCATGGTCAAGAGTTCAGTCGATGGACGGGCGGGGCTATTCGCATTCGTGCCGTGACCTGCCCTGACATCGTGCTGACCGATACATGGCAATTTATATTTACATATCTACCTTGTAGATAAGTGCCCATTCCAGCTGTTTGGGTAGGGACAATCATCAGCCACGGCTATTCCCGATTTCAGGGCGGGGTAAGGCCGTTGTGCAGAGATGATGCGATCTCCGATGGGAATTATTCAGCATACAATGAGTGGTTTGTTGTGATGTCACTTGCCTGTAATCGGCGCACAAGACTTTGGACTGCATAGTATATTGGGGCTGGTTCACACCCTTTTTCTTTTCACAGCAGCCAGGCAACCAGAGCCTGGTGTGTTCGTCTGATGGTAACCCTGGTAGGAACTTTTTCTCGGCCTATCAATTTCCAAAGATTTTTCGGGGCGGGTGGGTTCGTCTGGCTATCCGAGTGGTCGGGTCGGACTGATTTTCAACGGCGATGCATATCCTGTATACTCGTTGAGCGTTATGTCAGTACCTCCGACGCACGTCTTCGCTGTCAATATTCCCAAAGCGGAGGGAACCCATAATTCAGGCTGCAGGGTTGCCACATTGGGAGCCTGCTGCTGACTTGTTCTCGGCTGTGCATGATGACTCCTTTGCCTCAGACGGCGCGTACGGGAATCCAGTCAACCAGTAGTACAGCATGGAGGGGCAAGCATATCGTGGATAGTAAAGGTAAAGAACCGCCATGGCCCCTGGACCCCAAGCATGTGCTCGAAGACTTTTCTATGCTGATTGCAATCATATTTTCGGTATGCAACTCATATATGGTTGCGCGAAATTATTCGTTGGTGCCAAAAATAGTGGGTAGAGCTGCAGATTGCATGCGAAGAAAACGGTAATCTCGGGTGCACTCCCTGACAAGCCGAATGATCTTCTTTGAGCATGCCAAATATGAACGTGGATGAAAATTTCCACCTTCCTTTTGTGAATGTTGACAAATCCCTTGTATCAGCACTTTATTTCACCAGCTCATTGTACTCTTGAAGCCATGGCCGAGATTCTAGGCGTAGCAGCCAGTGGGATTGCCGTGGCGACCGTCGCTTGCCAGATCGGCTCCATCGTGTTCGAACTCAGGCAGCTCTGGGACCAAGTTCAAAATGTTCCTGAAGAGATCAATGGTTATTTGAGGCATATCGAATGCTTGGAGCCTCTCCTTTCCGAGTCGAATACAAGATTCTACTGGGATAGCCTGCCGCACAATGTCCGGAACAACCCTGTCATGGTGCGGACCACCCAGTATTGTCGGGAATCTCTCGAAGATATGAAGGAAGTGGTATATCAACTGGATACAGAACTCAAATCAAGCAGGCGAAAGAAACGAATCACGACCTTGAAGGTCATTCTCAAGCGGAATGTACTAACAAGACTGGAAAAGCGACTGGAGAATGCAGTCAGATTGCTTGGCCTTGCTCAGAATAACTACCTATTGTACGTGGGTTCATTTACTCGGCAACCTTCTACTCCGATCACTTTTAACGCATTCACCCATAGCGCTATTACCATGATGCAGCCAGAAGTTATTATTCAGAAGTTTCAAGCTCTTAAGCTCGGGTAAGAATGCACACATGTGTCGTATTGATTGCATTCGAGCTAACGACTGTAGCTATGAAGTTGAGAGTCCAGAAGTAGACAGACAACATATGGACCAAGAAGCCGGAAGTCGAGATGTGGTCAGCCCTCAATTGTGGAGAGACGAGGTGAAGGAGGATCATCCCAGCCAAACCGGCAAACTATCCGTGGCTTTTGATACATCTGGTTTCAAAGCAGCGCTGCAAATGCCACTGTGGTTATCTCGGAGAGCATGGGAGATGCAAAGCTTCAAAGCACTCGGTCACTGGCAATTCAGTCTACGATCTTACTCGATTCGACCAGACACAGCTGCTGTGTTTGCAACTGCCGAGACTGGCACGCCGTTGCAACTTGAACTCATGTTCAGAGAAGGTTCGGGGTCTCCTCATGATTGCGATGTTCACGGAAGATCTCTCTTATACGTAAGTCTTCCTTGTGGAACGTAGTGAGGCAATCGGCCAATTACTGACTCGGTACCCATCATCAGTATGCTACGCGTGGTGCGTGTATTGCGAATATCGGATACATAAGAACTTTCGGCGTGGCCTTCTCCGGCACTGAGCATTTCTCAAGGTGATTTCAACTACATCAGACATGACTATAATCATCTTGAGCTAACGTTTGACGACAGAACTCGGGAAGGAGGCTACCGCGACTGGAGTCTAGGGAACAGCATCAAGTTCTTCAAGACGCTCCCTACACAGCGAGAGGATATCGCCACCGATATTGCTGAAGCCAACGTCGTGGCCGGGAATATCCGCATGGCACGACAGCTGTTTGAGAATTTGACGTCGCCAATCTGCACGTGCACCAGCTGCTATGTAAGCGTGCCGCTTTTCACAGTCTCGCAGCAGTTCGAGTGTCCTCGCCACAGCACCTGCTCGCTAGAGTCACGAATCGTACGCGCCTTTCACATTGCATATAATTGGGGCATACCTGATGTCTGTGTTTCGGTCCTTGAACCAGAATGGTCCGTCGACATCCCGGCCGTCTGTCGACTGTCATCATCCATCTTCCCCCTGATTTGTGTAGTGGCCTACAGGCTCGGGACCGCGTATTCCAGTCGGCATGAGAAGCAGTACTATGATTCTTTGGTATCGTGGTACACCATTGCCGAGATCATCATTAGACATACTCCAGATATTCATGTCATGTGCCCGCGGCTCGAGGTCTCTTGCAAATTCGAAGAAAACTTTACTATCGAGCCCATGTCGGCCTTGCTTACAATCGTGCATTCTTGCACGCAAATTCAATATGCATCGACAAGCGCATTCTATCTTGAAGCGCATGGGCGATTGTCGGCCTGGATCCGTGCTTGTTTGCATGCAGGTGTCGATCTAGTCAAGTATGGACAGCGCGAAAATGAGAGTCTTGCGAGAATGGGAGAAAGATGCAGTATGGGTGTCGTTGTCAAAGGGGGTGGTACCAACTCTGTGACGCAAAAGACTCGATTTGTCTTGAAAAACTTCAAGTATGGACCGAAACTTGAGGATTGGGATATTACATGGTTAGAGATGGTCGCTTCTCGATCTGACCCCGATGAGAGTGCCTCATGGCCGATACCTGGGTCGTGGGTGGATGATGGCGTTTAGAGAAGTGCAGTATACTAAGATTTATGTTCGTTCTCGATAGCGCAGCGAGCCTGTTTTGATTTCGGGAACTAGATAACTGGGACCACAGGCTACAATATTCCTCTGAACTGTGACCGAATGGCATCTATTTCTACTTCCACGAGTCACAACCCCACCATTCACCGACCCACGGTACCATCCCCACCATGGGTCGTCCATCATGAGGGGTTCAATTATTGGCAGTTCAAAGTCTGGACAACCGACATGTCTAGAACCATTAGATCGTCGGTTCCTGCATGCGCAAATGTATACTTCCTAGTCAATCATGTCAGGTAGCATACCCCCATTCGAGTATGAGCCTCTTGGTTCTGGCGAAATAAGGCTTCTCACCCCAGTCACAAGAGAATCGGACACGCAAGTGCCTCAATGGCGGCTTCAGACAGTCTGCTTACTCGACCTAGGAGATGGAGGTTTGAAAGGGTTTGATGCGCTTTCCTACACCTGGGGCGACCTCTCCGAAACCTTTCCTCTGGTCTGCAACAACCAGACGCTCCGTGTACACAAGAACCTCTACGAGGCGTTGCCATTTCTCGCCAGGCGCCGCTCGTCGCAGCCGCTTTGGATCGACGCCGTCTGCATCAATCAACGAGATGAGACGGAAAAGCTCGCGCAGGTGCGTCTGATGCATCGCATCTACCGTCAGGCATCCAAAGTCTGGGTCTGGCTCGGAGACAGTAAAGAGTGCACCGAAGCCGCCATTGCACTGCTGCCGCGGCTTGCGCAGTTGGGACAGACTCTCCAGAAGAGTCCACCCGCTCGTTGGTCAAACAGCCATTTGACCTTTGCATCTGCTGGTCTCCCTGATCACAAGTCACCCATTTGGGAGGCTATTCGGGCTATACTTTGCAATGACTGGTTTACGAGGGTTTGGACAGTGCAAGAATTTGCACTTGCCAAACAAGTCAGTTTCTTGTGTGGACTCTACGAGATTGAGTCTGAGCGAGTGACGGGAGCACTCATGTATGCTTCGAGACTCGAGGCGCTTCGGGATTCTGAAGGACGAAGCCTTCCTCTGTTGGGTGTCTCGCAAAATGTCGGCATGGCCAGAATGCAAAGAGTCATTGCGCTCGAAAGGGGCAAACATGCTACTACAGATGTCAGGCCTTGTCCTAATCATCTTATCGGTACAGTGTATTCCATGACCCTCAATCACAAATGTTCCGAGCCAAAGGATCGCATATGGGGCGTTCTGGGATTCCTAGAAGAACAGCAAGTTGCTCGGATGCAGCTCAAAGACGATGTGAATGTGTGTGACCTTTACACTGCGTTCTCGCATTACATATTCACCCATACCGATCGCGCCAATAATTACTTTTGGTGCCTTTTGGATCGTGGGACTCTGGACGGAAAGATGGCCGGGCTTCCGAGCTGGTGTCCCGACTATAATCGATTGGTAGATGAGCGAACTCGGAATAGTATCAGCCAACTTCGGTCGAGGGGGCACGAACCCTACAGTGCAAGCAACGTCTCTAGTTTCTTTGGAAGCGGTAAAGCTACGAGCCAGCTCGTCTTGAAGGCAACACTGTTTGATTCAATTCAACACGTATACCCCCTGACGCCATTGCCCCCAATCTCCATCCGACAGTTTGCAATGCAGCAGTTGGATTTAGCTGTTGTGAGCAAACTTGTATCTGATTTGAGGTGGCTTATTACCATGCTGGATGACGATTTCTTTTCCAATGGCGCTTCATCGAGTGCAGACTACGATCGTTCGGCGGATCAGCGGCACATTGGGAGTACAGGCGACCTCTGGCGTACACTGATTGGCAATATCAGTGTGCAATCGGACTATGAGATTACTGCCGCAACGTTTTCTAGATTCCTTGCGTCCATCGACGAGTTTCTTTCTTTAGCTCGCGGTCATGAAAATATGCAGAAAGGGTGAGCTTTGTCCTCTATTTTCCGACTGGGGATCTGAAAATCTGATTAGTCCCAGGCATACGAATGTCCAAATAGGCCCGGATGCTGGGGAGGAGGGAACTAATAACGTGATGGAGGCGGCACGAAGATTATTGGGACCTGGGACAGCCTTCATGCAGTTTCTCGGGCCTCTTTGGTTGTGCCTGCAAAATAGAAGGCTTTTCAGGACGGCGCAAGGCCGTCTCGGCTTTGGTTCAATGCATATCAAAGAGGGCGATGACGTGTGTATCATCAGCGGGTCTAACACAGCTCATGTGCTACGACCTGTCGAACGCGATTGCGACGAACCGTTTTATTTCCTTGGAGAAGCTTTCGTCCATGGGATGATGAACGGTGAAATAGACACACTTGGACTGGATGAGCGATGCCTTACACTTGTGTAACTCGAGGCAGTCAGATCATGGAAATTGTATCCCATCTTCGGGTTATGTAGTTTATTCTTTCCCATGGCAATCTGGGGAAATCTGATGATGATGATGATGCGCACTTACGGAAGCGGCGTCAGGGCATGCATCGGCATCCGGAGCCTGTGGGGATGTCGGGGAGGGGCCCGGTGTAACCAAGAAGAGGTCGGGGGTATTGGCGGGGTTCAAACTCGAGCACGCAGTACTGTTGTTAATCATCCTCGATTAAGCGACGACGAACAGGAACACTATGAAAGGATTGCATCATCAAATCCAGGATCTTGAGAGAAAGTGCACTCGAAGCAATATCAGTCTCGCTCTTTAATGGGATGAACGCACAGTGGCGGGCACATCAATATGGACACACCTGCCTTGCTGCTTCAACAGCCAACGACGGCCACAGTGATTGAGTTTGCTGGCCTGTGCCTCGTCCTCCTAGTGACCAGTAAGTTGACCAGGATGACCGTCAAAGATATATCTTGACTTTGACCATAGGGACATTCTGGACATACCGTGACAGGGGATTCCGGTCATCGTCTTCTCGCAACTCAAAGTTGATTCCAAAACTCAAAGGAAAGCCTTTCATCGGCAGTGCTCATGAGCTTCAGACCCAAGGCTCAGCCAGCTGTAAAGCCTGGTATCGGCTATATCAGCAGTACGGACCTGCTTATGAAATGACAGTCCCTTTCTTTCGTCTGCACATTATCAACCACCCAATTTATCTAGAGCACATACAGAAGCACAATAGCAAAAACTACATTCGTGGTGCATTCACTCGCAACATGTTTGCAACACTTCACAGAACGGGCATCTTTGTCGCAGACGGTCAGGAGTGGCAAGTCCAGCGCAAGGCAGCCACTCGAGCATTCAGCAAGAAGAATTTCGAAACGCATATCACACGATCGCTTCACTACTGGCTTGGTATCTTGACTCGTTTGCTGTCGAATCTAGCCAAGGAGGGTACACAATTTGACTTTCAGGCACTCATGGGACGACTCATGTTCTGCCTCTTCCTTCGCATTGCTTTTCACGAGGACGAGTTGGCTCTGGATATCCTGTCTGAGCACCCGCGAAGTCTCGAGTCAATACCACCATATGTCGAAGCATTCGACAAGGCGACCCACTGTATGTCACTTCCAGTTTCCTATTGGATAGAATCTGACTCGAGCTCTAGTATTCGACCGCAGAAGACGCGACCCATTATGGCGGATAACCGAGAAATTATCTGGAGAAGACAAGACCTCGCAAAGAGCTGTGAACCTCTTTTACGCACAGATCGATGCTCTTATTGCAAAACGTTTCGATTTAATCAAAAATGGCTATGAGCCAGACCCGGATGCTGGAGTAGATCTTTTGGACATGTTTATTCAGTCAACAAATGATCAATACAAGCTTGGAGGAATGGTTTTTGCATTCCTCTCTGCAGGCCGTAAGTTCTTTCGTGTAATTTGTTGATTCATATTGACAAACTTTTCCCGCCACAGGCGACACGACAGCATACACCATCTCCTGGCTGATGAAGGAGATACTGCACAGTGACAATCGGCATTTGAATGCCGTGGAGAAGATACGAAATGAGGCCGAGCAATCAGGTCTAGACAATACCTTTCTGACTTATGAAGATGCGCCGGTATGTAGACAATTCTACCAGGTCTCCATTATTATTGGCTTGATTTAATGATCATATATCCGACAAGAAAATGCGGTTCGCAAATGCCATGTGGGACGAGACTGCGCGCCTCGACACTGTATCCCCAGCCGGTCAGATGGAGGCCGCAGGAGACGACACACTTCCCGCGATACCCGAGCTGAACATGCCTGCTCGTCAAATCAAAAAGTATGATACAGTTATCTATCAGTTAGTGTGCGCCGATAATGACAAACCTATAACAGAGGCGATATTGTCAGCTACCAGAATTACGTACTTTCCCGCATGCCCGAGGTATGGGGAGATGACGCTGCCACCTTTGACCCTTCGCGATGGTTCAAAAAGAATGGAGAAAGCATTTCATACAGTCCATTTAGTGAGTCATTCCGCATATCTGGCGACTCTCGATGTCTCTTTCATCACAAACGTCCTAACATATTGTTGTGCAGAGTATCATTCTTGGAATGCCGGGCCACGTAGCTGTCTGGGGCGCGCCCTTGCCACCTACGAGGGACTCGCCATCAGCACGGCGATTCTCCAGCGTTTCGATGTCATCTTAGCGGACGACAAGAGGACATACGAGCCACTTGCCGCCCTGAACATGGTATGGCGTCTACACTCGCAATTGCATCGATATTTGCTAAATTGTTCCTCCGTAGGGAATCAAAGACGGCCTTCTTGTGACTATCAGAGAAAGACATCCTGCCAGTACCTAGTGCATCAGGGGTCAGTGGGAAAAGATGGCATATGAGGAAACATCTTGACATTTGATTCATCGCACAAGCTCATAGACTAAAATGATCGATACTGATGACACATAGCTGGAAATTATGACCCAAATATCAATTGATTCTCTTACAACTAGTTCCCAAGTACAAGTAACAGGTATGCTTGTAAATATGTTGTATTTTCCTGCCAACGCTCTAACTAGCATCAATCACGAAGCTTTCTGTCACTCTCATGTCGCCACCGCTCACTCCAACGAAGATGGTGTACTTGCCAGCTTGTATGACCCATTTTTGCAGTTCCGTATTCCAGACAGATAAGTCCCTATTCAACAGGTCAGAAACGACAACCTGAGCGCTCAAGTTGTTAAAATCCCGATCACACGTAAAGATCAGTGGAATCATGATATATAATGCTTGGTCCATCTTGCTATTAGGCTCAGCTTGAAAGGAGTTCTTTTGGGGGATGATTGTAGATATCTGGATTTGGGACAGTTGACTCAGTGATTACACACATGCAGCTTCAAAGATCAAATCGATGACACGGGTCCAAATGCAGGAAGTACCCAGTAGTTTTCGGGACAGTTTTGATGGAACCATCGTCGTATTTCTAAGATTGATGAGCAGAGGTGCGATAAGCCAAAGACTGCATAATACATGATCCAAAACATTAGTAGCTGTGAACAGGCTACGCCATAATATACATCTTGGCACATACCATAAATTCATGAGCCGTTGAAATCCCATCGACCAGAGTCTACATGGCCATACCCAATTTGCCAATACGTGCACTAAAGGTTAGATGTAAACAATTCGCAATTGTCACAGGCAAGCAAATCATGGTCGGGAAGAAAATATTATGGAGGGAGGAAGATGATCAAAGTTCCATTCTGTAATGAGCAAGGCTAAGCCTTAACAGCATAACTAGAAACGTCTACTAATCATGCCAATCCAACGCCCAAAAGAAGTGGGGAGGTTTTGCTTCTCTTTTCTCTGCCGATCACTCCGTCGTGCTCTTTTGTTATTCAGTGGACAGTATGAGATTCTTGCTCTTAGCATGGTGCGTAACTACTAAGACGGCGTCCACTTTTTTCTGCCTTTGTACCAAAGCCTCCACCAGTTTACTGGGGGCTCTTCAAGGTCCAACAAGGCCAACTATTTGTGTGATATGGGTAAATGTCCAGCTACAACAGCAGGCGCCCAAATTGCGAAAGTGCAGAATCAATGCTCGGCACTTTCTGTAAAAAATTAAGTTGTGTAAATGCGAAAACGCAATGCAGCGTCAAAATTGTATGAATCCGCTCGCGTGAAACCAAAGATTGGTATCGATTCCCAGGCGAGACATGCAGATTTCCCACGGTATTGTTGAAGTGGGTATGTGTATTTTCTGCCAGCGGAAAATGGTATCCGTGTTTCATGAAGAAAACATAGGTTCGATTCGGGTATAAGTTGAATTTAAATAAAAAGTGGCAGGGGGGTATCGAGGAAACCGAGCGCACAAGGTCTCAAGGTTTGCCCAGTAGTCCTGAGGGGGTATCGTAGATGGAATCCGTTCGAGATTCGTGTACGAGTAAGGGTCGTGAGGTCGTGTATGATGAAGAGATAGAGAAAATGTCGACTCCGGGGAAGGCCCGCTACCATGGGAGGTGGATATTTTTAGAGTAAACCTCCTGGGTCTCAAGCACGCCAGCGCATGCTTTAGTCGGTGCCGTGGGGAGTTTGTGCACCTGGGATAAAAAAAAACCAACCAAGAACCCCAAAATATCCTCCAGATCGCATTATGTCAGAGGCGCCGTGTCGATGAGATGATGGTCATGATTTGGAGGAACACCGCCTCGATCATGTATGACGCTTGAAATTCAATGCAGCCAAAGCCAGCCAGTTGGGAGTGGCTCGATTCCATGGCCGCCTGTCGCTCCTCTTCGCCCAAATGAAAAATAAAACAACGCCGTCAATGCAAAAGATTATTATACAGAACCGAGTTGCAAAAGTGCCTGGATGGCCTCGCGCTCCTGGGTGTTGGGGGAGGCAGCCAATGCAGCAAGATCGATATTGTCGAGTCGAGGCTCACGAAGCATACCAGCTCCAGAGAAGGAGCGGAAATTGCCCGAGTTATATACGTGCGAGAAGCCATGGCGTGCCTCGGCCGGGCTGGAGTAAGACTCTGCGCGCAAAGCAGCAGCTCCCACAGCAGCCCAATCCTCGTCGTCAGTGGCATCCTCGGGGTCGTCATTCATGATCATGTCGTCATCGTCGCCGGCCTCGGAGCAGGAAGCCGAAGCGGGTCCGTCAAGAGAGTCGAGGGACATCTTATCTGCCTCGTTCTCAAGCATGCTCACGTCGCGATCATCATGTGAAAAGGCGGCCGAGTTGCCAAAGCTGGAGGGGCGGGCGCCCAACCTAGTGCGGTCAAAGCCGCGGGGGCCCTTGATAATAGGAATGCCGGCCGGATAGGGAGCTGCAGCGTCGGGCGACCTCCGTGAAGAGGTGTCACGGTTCGGGTGGCCCCGTCGCTTCGCGTCCCATCTTCCCCAGCCGATCTTTTCGAATATCACATCACCGTTGACCCCTCCGCCCTCTGCGCCGTGTCCCTGTCCACGTCCTTCCAGCGCCGCAACGACGAGTCTCCTGGCCTTTGGTGGTGGTATACCGGCGAAGCCAGGAACTGATGTCGTCAGGTAGCCCATTATGTAGCGGATGGGCATGGGGCCATGGTTCAGCAGAATCTCCGGGAGGTGATACTTTGCCAGTAGCGCTGGGGAAATAGCGCCGGTGGACTCGAAGGAAGTCGAACCGACGGATTCAGAGTCGGTGCCGTCGTGCAAGTCCAGATCGGAGTCGATGGGCTCCAGTCTGGAAGCCTTCTGTAGCTGAGCCTTGAGGCCGTGAGGCGGCAGGGCAGGAGATATGGAGTTGGGAGGTGTCGGGAGGGGGTGGGATCGTGTCACAGGAACGCTCCGGGCGGCCGCTACAGCAGTGAAGTTGTCTCGGCCGGGGGAGGTCTTGGCGATATCGCGAACAGCAGCAGCACTGGTTGCCAGGGATGCCATTTTGGGTCTGCAGAATTTCTGAATACTTTCAGGATATGATTCTGTAGAGGCGGGCGCATCAGTATATGTGGACAGCCAGAGATGGTGGTTTGTGCGACGCGTCGCTATCGGCCGCGCAAAGGTGTGCGAGTGAGGCGGGAGTGCCTGGGGTGGTAGTGGGTTGAGTCAGAGATGGGTGCTGCAGGTGCGCGCGACTTACAAGAACAGGGCTCCGAAAGTAGGCAGTGCCGTATGGTTCAGAAATAGTAACTTATTCCGAGGCTTTGCTCGTTGATGAGAAGAGCAAATCTGTGACTCGAAAGAAGTAAAGCAGGACGAAGAAATGGCAGTGCTGACGCGATGACCGGAACTGTGACAAGAAGATGACTGTGAGGGGGTGCAAAAGATGCGTGGTCGTTGTTGTCTTTGTTGATGTTGCTTGGAGGGAAGGAGAAGATCCGAAGCAGGAAAGGAGCGACACGGCGCACTTACATACCACCAGGCATGGGCAGAGCGATAGATACACCTTAGATAACACACACACACTCACTCATAACCACCCATACATCCACGCACGCACTCGCACACAGATCAGTCACACACACATAATCAACTTACACCACACCCTACCTACACACACCATGATCCAAGTCATCGACAGTGCCCAAGTAATGGCCAAGTACCCAAGGTACTTGCATGGCCTTGTGCCAACCGGCGGCCTGGGCTTTGCCATGCGACTGGTGCTAAGGATGGGAGGGGATGTGACGGGCTTGGGATCGGATTGGACTGGACTGAATTCCTAAGATGGGATACCTAGGACGAAATGCCCATGGTAGGGATTGGCGCTGGGGCAGAGTTCCCAAGGCCCGGGTTCGGTCCAAGTTCAAGTCAGTCAGTCAATCAGTCCTTTATTGACACAAGTACCTGGCAGGTAATGTGATGGTATGATCGGGTTGGGCTGTCTGACCGGGATATGTAGGTGATTCAGCAGGTATTGAGCGTGTCACTTTACGGATGGATGGGAGGTGGGGGTGGCTTCATAGCGTCGATATAGCCACTCCCTAGCGACCTCGTGCCTCAATGAATTGGCCCAGAGAGTTGGTTCTCGGGGGCCCGTCTTTGAGCTTTCTGCCACAAGCCGTCAACCATACTATTATGGCTTCAACTGTCCTTCAGGTGGACGCGTACTTGTAAAGTACCGAATCTACATTATCCACCGCGCGTGTTCCTTTCGTCATTATTATCTGTATTTTGATTTCTCGCCATGGTTTTACCTCTTTCTCCTTTCGTGTGTTATGGGGTTATCCTCTGTGTATTACAACTTGACCTTTTTGGTCGCATAGCGGTCTTATCAGTTGATGATGTACTGTGCGAGCTCAAAGTGACATTACCGTACCAGGGGGGTAGGGTGGGATCATGGAGATTGCTAGGTTACGCTCTACTCTATGTCTGTCTAATGTCTCCTTATTATATTGACTCCTGCTGTCTTTGTTAAATCTGTCTCTTTATACGGCGACGCCAACAACAAGCCACTGGTTCTAGAAGAATCCGCCGGTCAACACAGGAAAAACAAATGGAATAAGCAGACAGCCTCACTGCATTCCTGTTGAATATATCTGCTGCATCTACATTTTTTGCTTCATTTTGAATTATTTTATTCTTGTGCGCCGTACTGTATGGATATGCCCTTTTTCTGACCGACCTTCTATGGATTCCCGCCAACCCGCAACGACTCCATAACTTTAGTGTAGCCAGACTAGCGGTCCTCAGGATAAGTGACTCGTTTTATGGGTATTTTGGGCAAGCGGCTGCCGTTCCGGTCTGGAGAGAGCTCCTGTGGACACGATAATGGATAATAGTGTCGCTGTAGCTCTGGGGCCCTCTGAGGATCCTTCTGTTGAGGGTCTGTCTGTTATGGGACGGTACCTACAGGCGCTACGGTACACCCAAAGTCCCAAAAGTCGGAGGCCGACCAAGGCTTTTGTCCGAATGACGTAGGGCTGGTTTCCCTGACAAGACAAGGCAGACAGAGGAAGCGTTTGAGAGTTTGTCGAAACCCAAAGGTCTGAAATGCATGCAAGTCGATGGAAGAAAGAGGAAAGGATCCATTTACACACTGCATGAAACAGAGAAAAACAGAGCGTGGTCATCACTCTGCAACGTCGCTCTTCCGAAGGTCCGGTTTCTTTCGATTCCCTTCCTGGCACGCTTTGCTTTTTTGCTTTGTTCGGCATCCCCTTGTGATCGCGATGACAGGGCCAGATCACCGGCTCATGCAAAAGCCGGGGTGTGTTCTTAGCGGTTGCTTGCTGAGCTAAAGCCCCAGCAAGCCCCAGCAAGCAGGAAAACGAGCCACTGGACCACCAGCGACAAGCAAAGAGATTGAATGGGGGTGGAAACCACTATGTGCTATTATTTCCACCCACCCTAACTTGAAAAGTAGCTCGGGTGTGCCCGTAGATTGACTGGATCTCGTAGTACGTCGCGACAGTAGTTCAGTAGCCACGCTACAATAATAACTTCCAAGCTTCCTTCGACTGGCTCACCAGGGCTTATGCTGTTCGCACCCCCCTCCAACTTTCATGCCACCCATTGATCTGAGCAACCCGGAATGACACGAGTATTTCTGGAGAAGGGGGTAGATTAGAGTTCGGCCACGATCAGCCCGGAAGCTGTAGCGTGTCGCGCTGGCGTCGCCCACGAAAGTGTCAAAAGATGATGGGAAAAAGGAGAGCGGATGTGCAAAATTGAGAAAGGGGTGGCGGTGGAATGTTCGAAAAGGAACTCGGACGTTTTCATGTATGGATAGACAAGGACAAGAGCTGGATATGCTCGCATCAGCTGGTAACCGAAATACCGGATTAGGCGGAGCTGAAGAGAGCTGACTGTGCTTCCTATGATCATTTTCTTGATTTGAATATCCTACTACTTAGAAATATCTACAACCAAAAATTACTTACATTGCCAACATACATAGTACCAGTACACTAATAGAGGCCCCCATCTTAGAGAGACGCGCTCAGCTCTCATTAAATTTCAACGGTCGGGATCGCGACAGGCAATCGACTCCACCACGACACCCTTCGCGACGATCCTCCGAGCTAAGAATAGAGAGGAAATAGTCGTCGGCAGGAATCGCGATACTTTGAAAAAGGAAATTTAACAAAGAACAAAAATGACAGTAGTCATCAACTGGGAAGAGTGAGGGCTTTGGACCCTGAATTTCCGCAAATACAATCATCCCACCACCACCACCACAAAACTGTTCGCGTCCTGATCTACTGTAGGGACCAGTCGGGACTATTGCAAGTCTATCGCAATACAGTTCCGCGTACCTACATTGAAAGTAACGAGAACCATGTCGCCGCCCCCCTACTACTATTATCTTACGGTAAGTGCGTGCTTTAGCAAAAAAAAGAGCCCACTTGCTCCTGAACGTTTTGACCAGGTCCGTCCTGTCGAAAAATGACTCGCAATTGTGTGTATTCGTTTCGCCTCCTTGGAGAGGGTTTTGATTTGTTTCTCCAAAAAGCCTTGAGAAGAAGAAAAGGAACTACCGGGCGGCCCACGGCAGATCGAGGCATCAAAGAACGTGTTTCCATGCTATCAGCCCTGAGGAGAGCCATACTTTATTCACGTTTCCTGCAGTCTATACTCTCATTGGCTGGGGCCTCGGGGGGGGTGCAAGTTCAACTAAAAACTCGAGCTACTACCAATTCATTAGTGGTATAAAGTATCGAGTCCCCGACTTTTGGGGGGCAGGCAAGCAAGGGGATCGTCACTCCCGAATGCCGTCCCCGTCATCTGAAATGGAGGGGCTCGGGCGGGCGTTTTCGCTCAACTATCGTATACATGGTATTATTGTATCTTCCCGCTGAGAAAGCCAGAACCCCGCTCCCGGGGAGATATCGTGAGATAGCAAAAGAAGCTACCTAGGTATCCCCGGTTACCTTATACCGGCTCTTGCGTGTTTCTTGGGAGACGCCCCCCCGACAAGCCAGTGAGCCGAGAGAGAGGAGAGAGGAGAGAGAAGAGGGGCACCTTTCTGCCAAACCAGTAAAAATTCCCCGACCTCCCTCTTGGTATGTAAGGCAGGTGACGCCGTGACGGACTACCAGGGTTGTACCCTACATTTCCTTGTCTGCGTGCAATACCCAAATGCAGGTGGCGTTGCGACCCTGTTGAACGAGCAAGCCCCTCTCCAATTGATTTTTTGCTTGCTTGCTTGCTTGCATACATTAGTGGTGATATCGGATGTCTAACAAATAGATAGCTAATGTAGAGCAGATGAGGGGTCGTCGTCGTCTTCCTGCCTATCGCGCAGAGAGACACGAGGCATGTGGTGCAATGTGTAGGCTTTCTTGTCCGATCCCGCCCCGCCTTATGTGCAGCAGTACAGTCTATTGTGGAATACTTCCCGGGACCTGCTTGGCTCAACTCTGGAATACAAACGTACATACTGCATCATCAAGGAGCCAGGAGCAAGGAGAGAGGCACAGAGGGAGAACAAGAGAGCTGTGGTGCACGTATCTAATTGTGCGAGCCCCCGGCTGCCGATTGACCCAGTCCGATGCATGATGCATTTGCATGCGCATAATGCTTTGCTTGCGCTTCATTCATTCTCCTTGGAGGACTCCCCCCACGTTGTGAAATGCTGCGATAGGACGAGCCGCACAATAGAAGAGCGTCGCCTTTTTTTTACTTTAAAGAACCAGCCACCCTGTGGGAATGGAGCTTTGGTTCTGATGGGTCCGCATATATATGAATCACCATTATACTACTATATACCGGACCGAGAGGACATTTCACGTAATACGACACACATATAGTGCCGCAGGGGTATATGTGATAGGCGTGTTTATATATGCGAAGTATACACCGCGTCATTTTTCTTCTAGAAATGGCTATAGTTTGTTATCTCGTTGGCTTTTGTTCCGTGTCGACCCGGCTTTCTGTTTGCGTCTTTATGTGATTTGGCACCGTGTTTGGTAGTACCTTCAAGACATGCTTGCGATGCATACATCTCCTCAAACCAACATGCAATCACTTTGGAAGCGTGTCGATCGAGCACCCCAATCCACTGCTGTGTAGGGATGTTCGCTGCAACAACCTAGCGAGGAATTGCCGCGGGTGCAAGGTCCAGCCTTGAAACCTGAATGGTGCAGAAGTGGCGTCTGACGCTTAGGGTTTAAGGGTTGGTTGGATAAAGGCTGCTGATGAGAAGGAGGACAGTACACTTTAACTCAAGGTGCAATTGTTGCGAGCCTTTACTGCTGTGAATTATACTAGGAGGTCGGAACAATTTACAGTCCGTACCCAGCCATATAGTAGGACTTCGCACGTGTAAGTTGTGATTGATTGAAAGATGGTATCATGCACCAGCGTTCTGAAAGAGGTATTGTCTGCAAGCCTGGAAGGAAATAATTAGCATCTTGGTCTTCGGGGAACTTACGCAGCCACCGACTGATGGCTGGTAGGCTGAAAGCTTACTGTCTTGAGCACGTTGAGCTTCTCCTGGGACTGGTTGTATACTTGTCGGTACTGGTTGATGCTTTCGTTGAGAACGGCCTGGCGCGTTGTCCTACCATCGCATATGGCCTTCATTTTCAACTCCATCTCCTTGCGCAAGAAAGGTTTGCCCAGGCTGGTGTCAAAGTTCATCCCATCAAATCCCTGAATCAGGGCTACACCTAGCTTGGTGGGGATGAACTCCATCACACTGCCTCTGCTGCCTCCGGCATTCGACCCTCCGCGACCACCACGGCCACGGCCAGCTCCCCGAGCTCCGCGCCCGCCCCGGGCTCCTCGAGCAGGTGCAGGACTATCATCGTCATCCTCTCCCTCGCCACCCGCCTGGCGACCGGACCGGGGTACAACACTGACATATTGCCTATCTTGGATCTTTTGAATATGCTCGGCCATTGTAGCATCTGTACCTATACCATTGGCGTCCATGAGGGCGATTAGATCTGCTTCGGTCAGGTAACTCGGTGCCGCAGTCTTTCCTTCTGTCATAATTGCTTCGAAAGGTTCAAATCGTTCGCCAACCGTGAATTTCGGCAACTGAACGTTGCCGGTCCACTTGTCGTAGACATAGACATCGAGGTAGTTTCGCTCGAGCACGACAACTCCATGTGCATGAAAGGCTTCTTCGCCAAACAAGATGTCAATATCTGTGGCCATACCTTTTGCGTCATCTGAACAGCAGGCCAGGAAGCGGCGAACTACCAGCTCATATATTTTCTTTTCATTCTCGCTCTGCAGGACAGCTGGCGCGGCGTAAGTGATTGGGTGAATGGGAGGGTGGGCTTTATCGTCGTTTCGCCCCTTTCTTGGGTCATTATATCCGCCGTCCACGAGGTCTTGCGCGAAACCACCCCATCGGTTGTCAGTGGTCTGTTTTTGGACCAGAGCTCGGAGATTCATGCCAGAATCGAAGCGATCAGTCTCCGTTCTGGGATAGCTGATGAATCCCTTGTTGTAGAGATTCTCAGCTGCGGTCATTGCGTCCTGACCGGACATGCGCAGGAATCTAGTAGCCAGCTTCTGCAGCTCGACCGTTGTCAGAGGCAGAGGCTTCCATTTCTTGGTCGGTTTTTCTTGGACCTTGGTGACCTGAGCCATCTTGGCGGCGAGACACCTTTCGTAGAGAATGATGACTGAAGCCCGATCAAACAAACGTCCCCTGGACCAGGCAAAATTGACATCGATTCCTTCTCTTTTGTGCATGACCTTGATGCTCCAGAAAGGCTCCGGTTTAAAGTTCCGGACTCGAAAATATCTATCAACGACAAACCCCAGGGTTGGAAACTGGCAAGAGCCTAAATAGTGAGCCAAAGAGAAAGTGGGTTGCTCGAACGAATTCCCACTCACCATAACTCAGTGTCATGGCCGTGAGAGGCTCGCCCATTGGCTTCAAATTATTGGACAAGAACCGGGTGAATGCATAGCCGATGCGCAGATCAAGCTCGATACGGGCGGAAACAGCATTGACCTGCCTCTCGTCCAGCATCACGAGGTGTCTTGCCGCGTTCAGCACATGACTAAAAGTGGTTAGCATTCCAATGAAGATTCTTCCGTATTTCTGGTAAGAGCGCGCCACGTACGCTCTTTCAATGTTGCTGAATTTGGCTCTTTTTATTTGGATCCGGTTGTTTCCTCTCTTGGCGGCTTCACAAATTTCGTGGCCAATGTGCTCTCCTTCGCGATCACAATCAGTCCAGATGCATAGACCTTGGCAGTACTTGGCCTGTTGTTCGATATTCCCTGCCACATCTAGTTTGTCCTGATATTGTCATAGGTCGGTCAGCTGTACAATTCTCCTATCATCGACAAAAGCGTTTTTTCTCACTTCGGAAGTAGTAGTCACAACAGGAGCATTAAACAGGCTGTCTGGAGGCGGGAATCTCCAGTCCTTGTACTCGGCCGGAAACTGCGTGGTGGTAATGTGACCAAGCACCGAGGTCATGGTCACATCACAGTTACCCCAGCCCTGACCGAAATCATAATCAAAGGTGTAGTTCTTGATATATTTGTTGGGAGTGTTGCGCTGATAAAGACACGAATCAGCAAGCTATCCTCACTCTTGGACAGGTTTGAGAAGAGAGCCACCAACTGTCTGCTGCTGTCCGCCAGAAAGATGTCCGGCCACAGCCTTTGCTATCGACGGTTTTTCCGCCACACAGAGGATCCTCATCTTTGATTTGCAACGAACAGTAAACGTGGTCAATCTTGCAAAACATGAAGGACGCCGTGAACAAAGGAGAAGGAATTTTGGATTGGCGAATGGCTGGTACATCTGGTGTCAGCGGAGGAGATTGCGTGACATAAGAAAGGTACGCGAGGCAGGCTTCTGCTCCATAACGCGGGTGATTCTTGCTATGAGGATCGCAGCCTCATTTGCTACAGGAAATGATGACGATCAAATAAATCTCAACAAAATGAGGGGGGAAACTATCCAATCCTGAATCGTTTCAAACATTGTGTTCAAAGTGGCTTTGTTGTGTTCTTTTGGAGGCTGATATACCTTCAAACGCGGTTGTGGATGACCCGAATTTGAGGCGTTCCTGCATGCAAAGTCAACAAGCCTCCAGGCCGCGACGCCCCACCCTGCAGAGCCACAGCCGCTAACAACCATTTTACTGGCGCTAGCAACGGACGCTAAAGTGCGTACTTAGCTCACTGGACACGTTCAAAGTCATGACGTCTCTTTTGGCTCTCATTGTCGTAACCTAGTATCGTGCCGGGCCGCAGGTATATGATTTGATTGTATGAGTGTTGCCGCTCTTCGACCCGTCTATAACTTGCAATCCATCACCTTCACATTTCTTCTTGCGAAACTATTAACTGCAAAAATTAGCAATGGCCCTCCCGCACTTCCTCCGTCTGGAGGACTGCGCCGAATGGTCCAAGACCGTCGAGCCCTTCCTCCCACAGCTCTATGAGCTGCCGCAGCGGCTGATGGCTCACATAACGAGCCCCCACGACCTTCTGGAGCTGTACAAGCAGACGAACCCGCTGGTCTCTGGATTTGCCTTTTCGCTGTTCGCCGGTGTCGTCTTCCTGGTCGTCTCCGAGGCCAACCGCAACTACTCCCAGGTAGATCGCATGTGGAGCTTGCTGCCTACGATATACAATGTGCACTACAAGATTTGGGCTGAGCTGAACAATATCTCGAGCCAAAGACTTAATCTAGTACTTCTCTGGAGTGCTGTATGGAGCGTGAGTAATCTGGTAGTCTATGCATCGGTCGAAACAGGGCTGACTCGAAACCCAAGGCTCGCTTAACATTCAACTACTGGCGCAGGGGAGGATATCAGGTTGGGTCTGAAGACTACAGATGGTGAGTGAATCAGCACGTGACCTTTGGAATAAGTGAAGAAACATACCCCCAACATGTGTACTTACTGAGATCATAGGGAGCTCGTGAAGAAGCATATCGGCTCAGTTCCCTTCTTCATTCTCAACGTTACATTCATCTCATTCATCCAGAGTGTGCTTCTATTTCTCCTGGCGGCCCCTACCTATGCCATTCTGCTTGCATCTCAGCATGAGCAAGAGATATCTGGAGTAGACCTGATGTTCACAGCGGTGCAGCTTGGTCTGGTGCTTACTGAATGGTTCAGTGATCAGCAGCAATGGGGTACGTCAACAGTGCGTCGTCGGGCAATGCATGTTTCGCTGACCGCTCTTTAGACTATCAAAACAGCAAGAGACAGTACCAGGCGACGGCCAAGGTGCCCCGGGACTCGCCATACACGCGTGAGGACTTGGACCAGGGGTTCAACACATCCGGCCTTTGGGCGTACTGCAGACACCCAAACTTCACTGCAGAGCAAACGATTTGGCTGGTGCTCTACCACTGGAGCTGCTATTCGACCAAGGTTCTCTACAGCTGGACCGGAGTAGGCGCCATGGGCTTGCTCATGCTGTTCCAGGGCTCGACATGGCTCACCGAGTTAATCACTGCAGGAAAGTATCCCGATTACAAACATTACCAGCGCCAAGTCGGTATGACGATACCCAGCCTGACGCCGTACAAACGCCCTGCACCAAAGGTGATTCGCACAAGCGAGTTGGAGAAGCGACAGGCCCAGAAAGAAAAGGCCGGTAAACAGAAATAGATGGAAGTTTGTCGAAACTGGTTATATGCGGATTGCATTACAATCAGTAGACAATCATGCTCTACCATGATGATTTGCGACAATAGCCATGTTTGTGTACGTACCATGACGCAGGGAGGGCAATTATTTGTTCCGGGCGTCCACCGTCGGAGCGCCTCTGGACGGGTTTCGCATCGCAAAGGTACGGAGGTGACGATCGCATCCCGTCCGGGGATTGCATAGAAGAGGGGAAATGTGTAGATACTGCGCGTTGATAAATGGTAGATGTCCTTTTGAGAATAGACGTCATATCCTCAGACAAGTATGCGCGTGGTGCAGCATTGCAATCCTTCGCAACTCTCCAACTGGAAGGTCCCCCGCAATCTTCCATCATACATATCATCTAGGTAGGTTGCTTCAATGCAGTGCCGCACTTTTGCGCGCCAAGCTATACGATTCCAACATCGTCGGACCGCTGTTTGAGGGCGGCGGGCGGCGACTCATGGCTTCATGCAGGTCGAATCATGTTATGTGATCAAAGCGGCCCAGGCTCGGTGCAACCTGACAAGTACAAAACCGCAAGGACTCTGTTTTTTTTTTTTTTCCCTTCCCGTTTTTTTGTGGCGTCCATACCCACCTTGTCTTTGAGAGCCGATAAGCAAGATCATAGTGGCCAAGAAATCATCATTTCTGATCACCTAGCCTCGTTCAAGTAGAAAGTCACTCTTGAGTGCTCAGCCAGAGACCAGCAACCCGGGTAAGCGGTTGTCAGCATGTTTGGGTCAACCTTATGCGTGCGCCCCTCCCTAGGACGTTTGGCTTGGCTGGGCGCTGCATGCCACTACTTAAGGCTGTGCGATTGAGCTCTAATTGTATGTTTCTAGTGTCCGTGAATTTGCAGCCTTCTGGGTGCGTCAAGCGACTGTTAGTGGGTGTTCCAAGATGGTGTGCTGCAAAGACTAATGTAAATGTCGTGGTCATATTATACCAAACGGGTAAGCGAGCAGGCGTGCAGAGTCTGGCCGTTATGTTGCCTCTGCTGTGTCCAGTGTGTGACGATTCATGATATGATCAAATTCTGCAATTGATGCCCCTCAGACTACGTGATGACGATCACTCTCGGAGTGGTGGCGTTATAGCGATATACGTTTCTACAAGGGGGGCTGCCTTCAAGTCACAAGATATACTTGCAACTGTCCACATCTTTTTGAGTTATGCTGTACCGAGGCGGGCATCTGCATCGAACTTGTTGAACGACTCTGCACATTGAGACTTTCAACTAGTTCGGATCCCGAACGAAAGTACAAAGTATATCATTGCACGAGGGGAGGCTCCTTTCCGGGTCGTACAAGAATAAACAAAGCTTTAGGCTGTGCAGACCACTAGTGTCGAGAGATGCCCCGCCCAAATCTGAAATCTGAGAGTGCATTAGCGATAGCTTAGCGATAGCGGAGCCCTTCTGGAAGGCAGCTCGAGGACCCTATCTGCAGCATGGCGAATCATACCGGCGCTGGGTATCAGGGGTCGGACAACCCCCCCTGGGCTGCCGGTCAGGCTTTGACTCTTTGGCTCACCTTACATCAGATTGAATGTTCCCTGTGTAGATGATGTAGGTGACCAGCTGACCATACCGGTAATTAAGAGGGCGCCTCCTGGACTATGAGGCAGCAAACAGGCAGGAGCAGCAAATGACGAATCTTTTGAGAGAGTGAGAGTGAGAGAGTGAGTGAGAGAGTGAGAGTGAGAGAGAGAGAGAGAGAGAGAGAGAGAGAGAGATATGTACGGATGTATGCAGCACTACATACCTACACTACATGAGGAGCAGTTCTTTTTCTGAAACTGGGAGTGCAGTTGCATACGCCGGTCTACCCGTCATCCAATGTCTGTTCGAGTAAGCTAGACACGCAAGCGCAGATCACCGTCTCGTGGGGGATCACACACACCCGTACAGTGAGAGGACGCCTAATAAGTAGTGCAATGTCATGGACGAAAAGAAGCCGTCTTGCGGGTACGTTACAGCCCATGTGTAATACATAGGTAGTTCAAGGCAGGAGCAATTGACTTGGACAGGGTTGCCTGATGTATCTAATAAATGGAAAGATCGCAACGGTGGGTCAGCCATTGGAATTTTTCTTCCTTTTCGTACTAATTTAAGGCAGCGTCCCACTTCGTTCCAAAGTTCTGAGGGTATCGTGAGTGGACACAACCTCTGGAGCAAGCAGTAAAACGGATACCCAGAAATAAATCCTATTTTACCTGCCCCCGTCCGACCATCAAAGCCCTTAAACTCTGCATTTACTCCCCAGATTCTCATTTTTTTTTTTCCTCCTCTTCCCTCTTCTGCCTCTGCCTTTTCCTGAGTGCTTGTGTGTGTATAGCTCAATCACCAAACATTGAGTATTACTGTCTCACATTAGATCACGCCCAAAGAGAAAAGAGCACAGAGGAAACACCAAAAGAATACCAGCACTGTTTTGAGAACCCATCAGTCACCATTACAGCCTTACTAGAGTACTGAAAGCAAAAATGTCGGCCCTTACCCAAGCCTTTTCCTACATCACCGGCTTTTTCACGCCGCCCATGACGACGGAGACGCCAACTTCGTACTCTCAGACAATCGCCGGCCAGCCCAAGAAGCCCGTCGAGGCCGGCGAGAGTTACTTTCCTGAATCCGCCACCCGCAGATCGTCTCTGTCTTCCACGTCGACTGGCTCTGACGATTCGTTGCCTGCCCCAAAGCTGCCACGCTCGCAGACTGGTGACAACCCACTCGACGCCATGATGCGCCAGTACCCGCGACCTGTCCAGGAAATTGACGTTGCCAGACAGCTGGCCCTCGCTCCGCCCAAGCATTCTCTGCACAGCTCCCTCAAGAGAGCTGCTACCGCCGACCGCGCCATCGTCATCGAAGATGCCGAGACCAAGGCCAGAAAGATGGCGGCAGCAAAGGCCGAGCTGCTGGCCCTCGCTGGAAAGCCCTAAAGGTTCCACCTTTTTCTTTTTTCTTTTCGGACCTTTTTCATTCGGACCTATCTGTCGCTTCCCGGCATTCGGGTCCCGATATGGTATTTCCACGTCAGCAACAAAATCTGCTTCAGCACGGCGATTATTCATTAGTATTTGAAGAGCGCCTGTGTTTCAGGTCGCGTATTATACCCCGCCAAAAGGAGATGGCAAAGGCGCATCGGGTTTTGATTTCAGCGTTTTGCTCTCAAAAACTGTCGAGAGGACTAGAGACAAGAAAAAAAAAATTGGAGTTTGCTTCTACTTGAAGCAAGGCAGGATGGAAGACGGGATTGCCCATGGCTCGTAAAAGATTGTGGTTATTGGTTTCCGAAGCATCTCGGATGTGGTATAACATTATCTTCAATGGCTAATTGACACTTGAATTATCCCAATTGTAATGGTACTTTTCTCATTTCGTGCCTTGCGTTTCCCAAGCAGCGTCATGCAGTCGTATCGAGCTTACAGGATTCTGGTTGACAGTGTAAAGCCGTAGGTAATGGTTGCAATCAGTGTGACCAGATTAAGCAGGGAGGAGATTCCATGAATCTTGCCAAATTGCTTGTTCAGAGATTGCATCTCCTGTGAGTGCGGCGCAGGGTCCCAACTCTTTTTGCCGTCCTTCGTCTCTGTCGCACATGGTTGGGTCAGTCCAGTTTCACGGATCCTGTGCGACAAGTGCATCCTGCAGCTTGCGTATATCAAGGAGAAAACCTCGGAAGCAAAACGTACCTTGTGCCCGTCTCTTATCCGTGATGGAGTTCGTGACCGGAAGACAATAGGCCCAGTTGATGAGTCCGGTGACGAATATGGTGACGAGCGGTACGGCGACGCTCCAGCGGTTTGTCTCGTCCAACAGCGCGCCTTGGATTCCGCTGGGCGCAGCCATCAAGCCCCCCGGGTATGTCAATGCGATGGCTACCGGCAGAACCGTCTGCATTCCAAAGTAGGCCGGGAAGAGGGCGCGTTGAAGTACAGCAAATTGAGGGCGCTCGAGGGTCTTGAAGGCGGCGGTAGCGTTTATGAAGGTCTGTCGTCAGGGGTGTCGTTAGCAAGAGACACACTCAAGAAACAACAAGGACAAGGTAGTAAGAAGAGTTGCTTACGTGGAAGACCTGTGTTCCTAGGAGGGTTCCATAGCTAGGAAGTATTCGGTATTAGCAATGGCTATAGTGCCAAGTGCAGTCTTTGCCATGTAACATACGACAGGATGTGGTAAGGACCTGGCGTCCAAAATAGAGACCCCGCCATTGTGTCTCAGCTATTGATGGGATGTACTACAAATCGAAGGTTTTTGATCAGATGTCGAGGTTAGTAGATGGATGAATCCTCTATCGTCATCAACGAGATCTCAGAAAAGGTAAGAAAAAAAAATGTTGGAAATGTGAACAGATTGATTGGGTGTCTATGAGAATGGATCTACATGTGTATGTCATTGAGCGAGGAGCCTCGGCCCACTCAGGCCCAGACGTAGAACGTTCGATCAGGACATCAATGACGGTCTCAATTGATTGGAACACCAAGCTGCTTTCTTGAATTGGAGCCACTCAACTGAAAGACCAAAGAGTTGGCGCGCTAAAACCCCAGGCTTCATGCAAGGAGCTTGGGCCATCGCAGAGCGGGAGCTAAGCACCAAAAATGTGGATTAGCTGCCTGGACAAAAAGTGTGACTTCGTTCTCTGTTCGCGTTGACAGAGACCCACTTGCATCTATTCCTGTGACGAGACTCGACGCGCTCAGCTATTAGATCAATGCTTGTGCCCGCGCCTGCCTAATCCCTAGCTCCTTAGGTGCCTGACAGTTAGATGACAGTAAATGGATCCTTGATATCCAGGATCAATTCCTCATGAGAAAGATATAGAACCAGTCTTTTCTCTCTTACACTCTCAGTCATGCCATTCGTTTGACTCCGGCCATATTTGTACACTCATTCCACCACCATCAAACATGGCCGACAAGGAAGCTGTCGTGTACATTGTCGATCTTGGGTCGTCCATGGCCGATTGTCACAATGGCAGGATAGAATCAGATCTCGACTTCTCTATGCGCTGGATATGGGACAAAATCTCTACCACTGTTGCCGCCGCAAGGAAAACTTGGAACGTGGGCGTCATTGGCGTAAGGACAAATGAGACAAACACGGGCTTGGAAGACGAAGATGGTTATGATAACATCGCCATACTCCAAGAACTCCAGCCCATGGACTTGGCCAAGATGAGGTATCTGCAGACAAAGATCAAGCCAAGTGATAGTGACACGGGCGACTGCGTCTCTGCCCTCATCCCTGCCATTCAGATGATTGAGAAGGTCGCCCCGGCAAGGCTCAAGTTCAACCGCAAGATCTTCATGGTCACCTCCGGGGAAGCCCCTCTCGATTTGGATCCGGATGATATCAGCAGCATAGCTGAGAAGCTTCAAGACAACAAGATCCAATTGACAATTTTGTATGCTTTATGCTCATCATACAACAAATGTCATTCTACTTGGCGCTAACAACGGCAACAGGGGTGTTGATTTTGACGATGCAGAGTATGGTTTCAAGGAAGAGGACAAGACAGAACAGAAAGCCACGAATGAGAGGCTGCTAAAGAGCTTGGTTGATGCTGTCGGTGAGGACCTGGCAACGTTTGGCACCATTGCAGAAGCTGTCGATGAGCTCGACATGCCGAGACTCAAGCAAAACAAGCCATACAAGACTTATGACGGCGATCTGGTTTTGGGTGAGCATGCAGAATCCATGCGTATCCACGTCGAGCGGTATTTCAAGACGAAGAGGGCAGCACCTCCTACTGCCAGCAATGTTGTCCTGAAGGTCAACCATGGATCACAGTCAACTGAGGCCCTTGATGGCGAAGGCATGGAAGGTGTCGAATACGAGAAGGGCGGCGAGTTTGCCGCCGTCAAGAATGCTCGCACGTACAAGGTCAATGACCCAGATGGACCAGGCGGCAAAAGGGATGTCGATTTCGAAGATTTGGCAAAGGGATACGCATATGGACAAACTGCTGTTCACATCAGCGAGTCTGAATTCAACATCACCAAACTTGAGACGACCAAGGGCTTTTCCATCATTGGCTTCATCCAGCAGGACAAGTTTGAACCCTTTCTCAAGTTTGGCGAGAGCTGTGTCACGGTAGCACAGAAGAATAGCGACGCTGATGCTTTGAAACTTTCGTCCCTCATCCACTCTCTCCACGAGAACGAATCGTATGCTCTGGCCCGACTGGTCAAGAAAGACGGCAATAATCCCGAGCTGGTCTTGCTTGCACCCCACATCGACGTGGATTTTGAATGTCTTTACGATATTCCCATGCCCTTTGCCGAGGACGTACGGCAGTATCCGTTCCCACCCCTTGACAAAGTGGTGACTGTCCAGAACAACGTCTTGACCAAGCACCGGTTCCTACCATCCGAAGATTTGCTCGAGGCTATGGATGAGTATGTGGACGCCATGGACATTTCAACATATGCCTTGGACGATGAAGGCGAGAGAACATTGGAGTATGCTGCAGTGGATGATACCTTTTCTCCTCCGCTCCACCGCGTCAATCAAGTCGTCCGCCACAGAGCGATCCACGCCGATAAGCCGGTCCCGCCAATGCCTCCCATTCTGGTCAAGTACCGCATTCCAGACCATGATCTCGTCGAAAAGGCAAAGTCGAAACTCGACGATCTAATTGCGACAGCCGAAGTGAAGAAAGGTAAGTTGCACATGACTCAGGGTGAATAACTGTAACTAACGATTTGATGCAGTTGAAACCAAGGCAAAAGGCAAGCGTGGTGGTAAACAAGAACCAAAGGCGAGAAAACCGCTGTCTGGCTTGGACGTCGATGCTCTGCTAAGGGAACCGGCCAACAAGCGCACAAAAGTTGATCCAGACAATGCCATTCCATCTTTCAAGCAGTTGATGGAGTCATCAGATAACGACGATGTGCTCCAAGAAGCGCCAAAACAGATGGGGGCAGTGATTCGCGACCTAGTGTCTGAGAGTTTTGGTGATCTGAACTTTGACCGAGCGACAGAAAACTTGGGTGTTCTCCGCGAATACATGATCCTATTTGAGGAACCTCAAAGATACAACGATTTCCTGAAGGATTTCAAAAAGAGACTCTTTACTGGCGCATTAGGTGGAGATAGGAGGGAATTCTGGTTCAACAATGTGAGGAAACCCAAGCTTGGGTTGATCGACACTACAGAATCCGAGTTTTCAAAAGTCACAACCGAGGAGGCTGCCGAGGCAAGTACTCGAACTTGGTGCATTTCAGGATTGCTGTTCCATGCTAACATTTTGCAGTTCTTGAAATCCAACTTGAAATAAACATCAAGAGCATACTCATGTGCAATAGTCGTGAGAAAAGATAGCTGAGCAAACTTGGTGGATTATAGACGCAAGGGGGGGAATTGGCAAGACAATGGACATGGTTCGCAGCACGGAGACCTAGTCTTTGCCAGTAATTGCTTGTATCATGAAGAGTTGAACGATGACCTTGTCAACAAGGCATAATGTCACTTCGATGTAAAAACATAAAGTCCTAATGAATCGAAGAAAATACGACAACTAGGTACAGGATCAAAGTTACATGTCAGAAAAGAAATCTGACAGATCTCAAATAGTAGACGAGAACTTCACCATATCGAGTGAATTGGGTAGTTTATATTGCCCAGTAATTTGATATCCAAACCGAGAAAAGCAGCGCTGACTTGACTGGCTGGGCTCTTTATGGCTGCTTGCAGATTACCCGTGGTACCTGCATAAAGTTAGGGTAGGTAGGTGCTGTTTTTCTGACGGCGTGCCGTTTGTAAGCAAAGGCCCTGATGCCGCAATCCGATTGACTGACTTGCCCTGCACTCTGTTCATTCGAGCGGTGCAATATTTCGGAAGGATCCATGGACAATTAATGACATCAAGCGTTTGCAAATTTGATTTGATTTGTATACATACTTTCATCGGACCCGCCCTGGTACTTGTGTTTTATTTTGACGCCAACCTCAACAACAAACTTAAGAGACATTACTCATATTTCCGAGTGTGCGAGTTTGACCTGTGTCTGAGCAAAGACTCTTGTTCCTACCGCTACTTTCATTTTGTTTTCTGCTGTCATTCTAGTAACAGCGCTTGCTTTTCACAATACATTTACCTTGGCGACCCTGCCATTCTAGCATGGAATCTCCCCATCTTCGCTAAATCACAATCACACTCCCGCATTCCACCACCATGCCCAATTTTTCAACCGGCTTTTACGGCCCACTCAGCAACGAGGACGATGATCTCGCAATTCATGACCTTGTCGAGCAGACCCAGGATCTCACTGTGACCGAAGACCACCACCACCTTCAGGTGGAGGAATTTGTTGATGGTTGCAATGATGATCTTTGTCATGACCATACGGCCGAGGCCTCCAATTACTACGACGACAACGATAGCGATGACAGCGACATTATCACCATTCATGATCTCGTCCTGCCAGGTGATATTCGGGCTCGGCAGAACTCGAGTGGGCTAGCTTGTAAGTAAAGGTTGAAGATTTCTCCACCCTACCTAGCCAACCATCTTCTGAGCTCTTGATCACAAAACCTACGAGCTTACCTCTCTCTCACCAGTTCCCTTTCTCATTCTTCTCGACCCATTTTCAGTACACTTATTACTGCCCGCCATCAACACAAATCATCCCAAACTACCTTGGTGAGAAGACACTCAATACTAATTCACCATATGGCTGCAGCGCCCCAGCTTGAAACGGCCGCAAAGGTCAGTCGCCCACACGACCTCGAATTCGGCGAAGAGGCCGAGCCAGGATTGAGCTGGTGCCCGTTCAAACTTCTCCGAGGATTTCCTCATCAACATGTGAAGAAGGAGTCTGAGAAGGTGAGTGTTTCCATCTTGGTGGCCGTGAATTGTACGTGACTGATTTCTCTAGGTCGCCATGTGGTTCAGGGCCAATATCTTCACTTCGCGCAAATGGGATCTGTAAGTCACCCTCCAATTTGCTCTAACCATGCCGAGTTCTATCCTACCTATCTCGCGCTGTTTTGGTCACACCCTAGTCTGCAGTGAGTATCTAAACTGATGGCTGATGCTTTTCTTCCTTACAGATATTGCATCTCTGATCTCAATGGCGAGAAGGAGTCCATACTCATGGTGCCCACGGCTCAGTTTGAGCGTATGATTGCAGATGCCAATAAGCAGCTCAACCTCGATCTCAAGATTCCTACCGATTCGAAGGATGGTGCCCTCGTCAACGTCTTCGACGGTCCCATTTTGCCTCGCTTCGTTCGCAGGATTGACAACCAGACTGGCTTGTCGAATGCCATTGAGCTTTCAAAGCTGATCCAGCCGGGCGATATCGCCAAAGGCAGTTTCAGCAAGGATGAGGTTATTGCCTATGGCGAGAAGATAGAGCTCATCTACGACCATCTGAGCCGTCACAATAGCAAAGCTGACAAGAAGGAGGCTAGGCGCCGCAAGGCAATCGTCCGTCAAAAGGGCTGGGGCCAGCAACTCAAGCGAGCACAGCGCTACCTAGGCATGCGCCACAAGACCATATTCGGCTTCGACGAGCAGCCGCACATTTTCACCGCCAATGGTGAGTGATGGAAAACGGCTACAGACTCTGGCATCGGGGCACGTGCTGATGATTATCGTATTTTAGAGACCCAAAGTGTTTTATTCCAGTGCCTCCATACTCCCTTCCCAATGGAATGCATGGTCCGATTGATCTCCTTTGACGTCGAGGCCGCTGAGTTCAGCTCAACCACAATCACGGAAATTGGTCTCGCCATCCTTGACACCCAGCGCATCCTGGATTCCGATCCGATGAAGACGTCTTTCGCTGACTGGGGCGAATTCATTGAGACGCACCATCTGCGCATTACAGAACACAAGGACATCGTCAACAAGACATATGTGAAGGGATGTCCTGATGACTTTCTGTTTGGGTGAGTGTTACTACTGCTCGGAGTAGAGACGATGATTGTCTAACGCAAGTAATAGTACCAGTGAGTTTGTTGGCATGAAAGACGTCCATGGCCGCCTCTCGGAACTGATCCGTGGGGATGAGAACTTTGTCCTTGTGGGCCACGATGTCGGTAGTGACGTTAAGTACTTTGAGTCTCTTGGTATTCGGCTTCGCGACCTAGCTGGGTACCGAGACGAGATTGACACCAAGGATATCCTGCGCAGCGCCCAACGTTGCAACGACGCTCGTTCACTCGAATTTCTGTGTCGGGAGCTGAGTGTATCACCCAGCAGTCATTTCCACAATGCCGGAAATGATGCCGTCTACACCATGCAATGCCTGCTGAAAATGGTTCAACGCAAGTCAGCCGGTGAGAAAATCTCAAACTCGGAAAGAGATGGCTGGGAGCCTGAGGGAGAGTAAGTCGAATCCTACAGTTGATCCCCTTACTTGGACCCTTGCTGACGAAGTCGTGCAGCCCTCGTGATTGGAGCGACGGTAACGAGGACGACGGCGGTCTTCCCCTCGTTCTCAGAAGACTGAAAAATTGAGCAACGTTGGCTCTGCTGTGTCTATTTCCCTCCGATGGGAACGACACAAACAGAGGCGACCTTGAGGCTCACGCCCGTCATTTTCTAACAGCGATTTGCATTTGGTAATGATACCCCATCCAGATGTGATTGGATGCCATTCTTTCAGATTTCAACGTTTACGACTTTTGGACTGCTTGCGTGTTTCACTGACCGAGCCATCAATGGGAACGGAACTCGAATTTAATCACTGCCAGGAATGCGCCTGGGTCATTACGGTTCCGCTTTATATGTTTTTGAGAAGAGAGTTTGCCCCCGAGTTGGACAATAGTGGATTCCTGACAGAGAATATAGACTCATGACCATGAACCAGAAAACACCCGTTTTATCATGCAATATGACCCAAAGTCTTCCGTGAACGCCGTCGCTTTGTACATGCCAACCCTAGATGTTGTTGTACAAAATATTTACACATAGCTCGCCCTCACAACCGGCGCACTGAATCGTCTCTTGTGGCATCTATACCGTGCTTGTAGTCGTGGTGCCATTATCATGAATGCTTTTCGAGAAACTCCTTTGCTTCGTTGACCTTTGTGGCCAGATACGGGCTACCGCCTCGATCGGGGTGGTTGAGCAGCATGAGATTTCGGTGCTGCTTGCGAATCTTGTCTTTTGTAATGGCGCTTTCACTGTGGATAGGTATTAGTCTCTGCTTCGTTCCAGTTGAGAAAGTACCCTTGGTCGGAAGTCATACTTGAGCGACAGAATCAGAGAAGCCTCGCGCTTGTTCATCTTGGGCTCAAAACCTCCCTTGTAGAAAGCCTTGCCCAGCGCACCGACACCGCCGCGCGATCGCCTCCATGCGACAACTCCTGCTCGGCCCTGTATGATGCAAAGGTTGTAGGTTAGCGGGTTGTTTGAGGATCCTTGCAGTGTTCAAAAAGACAAGAATACGTACGAGGAAAGCGGCAACCGCGACTCCGGCTCCGATAGCTAGTGTTGAGGCCATGGCTGTGATTTGATGTGTGATGTATCTGTCTTGTCTGGGGGGCAGGGAGGAGGGAGAGAGAAGGGGGGAAAAAAGATTGCCTCTATCGCCGAATGGTTAATCACTCGGAATCTGGGGGTGGACTGAACGGGACTTTACTGACATACATACACAGACGGACGGCAAGGAAGACAGACCGCGGGCAAACGGCTCTGGAAGGACCGATGAATTTCTGAACGCACGGGCCCCAATCACAGGCGACAACGGATGGTTGAGTTTTTCCGCCGGCCAATCAGACGAAGCGGCAGCTACCTGCAGACCCTCCCACTTGGCGCTGCCCCACGGTCTTTCAGTTATCGATTGGGAAAGTTTGGGAAGGGTCTCCTCCAAAATTTTTGGTCTGTCTCCAATAGGCAAACTGGTACCTAAACTTTTGGTTGGTTAAGGGAAGAAAAAAAAAAAGTTGTAGCCAGTCAGTTTATTGCACGACAACCAACGTCGGCACACTGCTCTTTCAACACCGACAACAAGCCGGCACAAATATCCGACATATCGACACTGTCAATTATTGATTTGTTGGAAACGTCGCGACAATGGTCAGAATCGAGACTTGCTACTTCTGTAGCCGACCGGCTTATCCTGGCAAGGTGAGGATTTCTCCCACCATTTCAACATGTTCTTTGGGATCTTGGAGGAGAGTCTGAAGAAGGGGGGGAAGAAAAGAATCAAAGAAAGACAAGAACACCAAATAGACTGACATGGAAAATCTCCTTGTAGGGTATCACATTTATCCGCAACGACGCCAAGCAGTTTCGCTTCTGCCGCTCGAAATGCCACAAGAACTTCAAGATGAAGCGCAACCCGCGTAAGCTGGCGTGGACAAAGGCCTTCCGCAAGGCCGCTGGCAAGGAGATGACTGTCGACTCGACCCTGCAGTTTGCCCAGCGCCGCAACGTCCCTGTGCGGTACAACCGCGACTTGGTCCAAAAGTACGTTTTATTCCCCAGTACACCGATTCTGCTCTGTCTTTGGCGGGGTGGTTTTCGTGTGTTTATCGATAATTTGGATCAAATTTACTGACTCGAATACCATGAAACAGGACCCTCAAGGCCATGGAACGTATCCAGGAAATCAGAACCAAGCGCGAGAGAGTCTTTTACCGCAAGCGCATGGCCGGCAAGCGTGCCAGAGAGCTCGCCGACGCCCGCAAGCTGGTCCAGACCCACAGCCACCTTTTGCCCAGACTGCGCGGCAGCGAGAAGAGGAGATTGGCGCTGGAACAGGGCCTCAGCCAGGAGGAGATTGCCCGCATCGAGGAACAGAACATCTTGCCCACCGAGACCAAGAAGGTCTTTGGCAAGGAGAAGATGCGCCAAAAGGTCAGGACGGACGGCGGCGTCGAGTTCGCCCCCGAGGAGGCCGACGAGACCATGGAGGTCGACTCCGAGTAAACAAAAAGGAAAGCAAAACGGGATTCGGTCTCTGGAAACTCTATTGTTCCACAGGAGGAGGAGCATCCCCGCGACGGCTCGTGAGCTCCTCCTGGACATATTCGAGCTTGATGAGAAAATTGGCGTTCTATGGATCTGCTTTGATTGGTCTTCCGGCATTCTCATGGCGTTTAGGGGGGATTTATTTGCGTACCTAGATATCTGGTCAAAGTGAAGAAAAAGTAAAAGGAAAGTGGATATAATGATACACTACCTCGAATGAGGGCAAAGTTTGACTAGATTTGAAACCTGCGCGGGTGAATTATGAGGATAAATTGCTCTGGATGGTTTGCTCTTTTGTAATCTCAACACGATACTGCCCCTATCTACATCGAATGACTGTTTGGATGGGCAGAGACATGTGCATTAGCGGGGGGGAATGTATTTCATTGCCCTCCATATCATTTTGATACTCGTCCATATAAGCAAGATCGAGGTAATATCATGTTCATAAGTTCATTTTATAAGAGATAGGGCTTGATCAAGGGAATATGACTTGAATCTTTTACTTGCGTTCAATCTTTGGTATTCATGGAGTACCTGGCAGATGTTGTACACCAATCGTCCTTTGCCTCCGGGGCTGGCCGACGAGTTGCCTGCACTATGTATCCTCTTGAGCCACAGGTATCCGGTAGTTCGACCATAGCTGAAGTATCACAAGCAACTGCATCCGCCCTGCGTGACTTTCCCACTACTACTTGAGAACTCGTTGTAAGTTGCCGGCGCCCGGCCAGCAGCAGCAGAATGATTCGATATTTCAAGTACAGGTTATGATGCTTCGCGACGCTCTGCCTTTCAGGGGCTGCACAGGGCAAGCTGTGGGATGCGTAGCAAAGCTTCACCGCATAGGTACAGATCCTCTCAACACACAAATAAGGACAGTTCTCCTCTTCCTGGGCTTCCCAGTCCCGTCCCAGAAAAAAAAAAAGGAGATCAGGAATCCTCAAAGCCCTTCATCCCAGCCCCCCGGCCGTGAGGCTGCACGCGCGTGTGCGCCCGTCCAGGCTCCTTGAGCCCGGCCCGAACGTCGTCAAAGATGTGCTGATCAAGCGCTTCGCGCCTCTTGCGCTCCTGCTCCTCGTCGACCCTCCTGCGTTCGGCTTCGCTCGGCCCGCCGCCCCAGTTGCCTGCGCCGCCCCGTCCGCTGAGCCGCGGGGGCGCGCTGCCGCTCTCGGCCTCTTGCTGCTGCTGGCGCAGGAAGAAGGACTGGTTCCCCGTCGTGTGGACCGTCGGCGGGCGCGGCTGGGCGTGCTGCCGGATCGCTGGCCCTCCTCCTCCTCCTCCTGCTACTGCTGTCGTCGAGTCTAGTGACGATGATGCCGCCGCCGCCGCGGCTGTCTGGGGATCAATAAAATTGCCGGCCCCACCACGGCCCGTCCTCACGCCGTAGACGACGGGCTGCTGTGCGGCGTCGCTATTACCTCCTCCACCGTTGTCCGTGGGTGGTGCTGCTTGCTGCTGCTGCTCAATGGCAGGGTCCGACGGGACGTCGTCGGCGGGGGCGGGCTTTTGCGCCTCAACATCGTCGCTGGATGATTGTGCCAGGTGCTCCTCGACGTCCTTTTGCGAGTAAAAGTTACCGGCGCCGCCGCGCCCAACTTTGCGGTATACATCTCCCATTTTCGTTCTTGATTCAGGGGAGCCCCCTTGCCAGACGTAAAAGAGAAAGAAAAAAAAAGCAACGAAATGCGCGAACGAGAGGGGTTTACGGAAAAGATGGTGATTTGCTTCTTTTCGCACCCTGTTTTTCTTTTCTCGCTGCGAGGGTCCTTGTCACGAGGGTACTCTAGGTGGTGCGCATTTATGTATCTCTAGTTTTTGGGGCTGAATAAACCTTGTGTGTCACGAGAAAGGCAAAAAGTTGTGATAAAACAATAATGGTACTAATTATTGTTATAGATGTGACCTTTCTTTGGGGGGAAATCGGCCTAGGTATACATATAACTCTTGATGTTTGACCAAAAGCCAAGTGAGGTCATACAAGATTAGATTAGGTAGCTGGTTTCGTTGTCTGGGAGCAATTGTGCAGCCTGGTTTGCTGCCTGGTTCATGGTAGGAAGGAAGCATTAAATGCGTGTGTCGCCGCCTGAGGTGCAAAGGTCCAATGAATGAATGCCAAGGCTAAATCGCGGGGCAAGCAGAAAAGCGGCAGTCGGTACTGAAACCACCAGACGCATCTTTGATTCTTACCTAAGCTGTACTTGGTACACCACCAGAGCCCGTGCAAAGTGCAGTGAAGATTTAAAAATAAAGAGAACAATAATAGTTTTGAATTTTGATTTTAGCCATGTTTTGGAATTGATTTTGCATCTCGGATCTCCTGCTCTTGCTTAATTCTTGACACTGCGGTCTTTTTTTGCTCACATGGGCAACAAGTTTACCAGGAAATTCGCATGATTGAAACAAACCAGGGACGGCAAATCCAGAGACGGCAAGGGAAAAGGACTCGACAGAATTTTTTTTTTTTTTTTCAGGATCAAGCCCAATCATGATCAATTTCCCTCTTCTCTTGTGCAACCCGCCAACCCGCAGCCGGTCAACAAAGAGTCCTTGGGCATCGGAGCGCCGAGACATGCATCGCATTCCACGACAAGGAAACCCTACGTCATTGAGGGGCCTTCTGCTGCGTTTCAACTACCCACTGTGGAGCGCAACAAAAAGTGTCGTGAGATGCTCCCATGTTTTGGGAAGCCCGGGAAAAGCAAATAAGCCCACAGCCGGGCGGGAGTTTTTGCTCTCCTTGGATTCCCCTGGTCAATATTTTCTCCCAACGCCTGGATAATACGGTATGTAATAAGATCGTTTGGAATATGAGCTTTGATTAGTATATCCCTCTCCTTTACACCGATCTCTGCTAGGGGGTGTGAAGATAGTATCCAGGTAGGCGACGAGAGTGAGTCATCTATCTGCTAGAATGATCGAAAAGATAAAGAAAAGTCCGCTATTTGGTAATGGGAGGCTGGTTTCTAGCTTGATCATTTGCCCAAAATCATAAAAAAAAAAAAAAAAAAAAAAAAAAAAAGAACTGGAAACGAGGCTTCAATACCGGTGGGAAGAAAGTAACCCAGACAGCCCAGCATCTCTGATCTAAGTGGTTCGATGAGAAGTCGCACGACAGGGCTCTCCTTGTGTCGATAATCTTTAGCTGGTAATCACATGTTTTCCACACCACTAATAGAGAGATGGCGGAACAGAAGAGAAAAAAAAGAAAGCCCAACAAAAAAGACAAATTGTGTGAGCTTCAAGACATACATAGTACTGTACGCTGCAGATGAAGATAAAGCGGCCTGAGCTATATACAGACCTTGCAGAATGTAATGCATTCAGCGGGCCAGACATGTAGTGTGTGGCGTGTAACATGTAACATGAAGAAACTGAAGCAGACATAACCCAGATGGAACTGCACACATGTTGCCAGGCATACTATTACTGGGCTTACGGGAACGGGTGAGCTTCGTACCTGCAGAAATCCTATCAACCATTTAAACCAGTAGCACAACCTTAATCAAGAACTGGTGGTAGGACTTGGAGGGCGGGGATAAAAAAAAACAATTATCAAGAACCACGTCGAAAAGCTGAATAGGCACCGAGTCGAAATGTGTTGGCAATCTTTTTTGGGCGAGATCCCAGGAAGCTGAAGATACAATACCCCAAAGCGGACAGTTTTGTTGCTTACTACAGGCCCATCGAGGTACTTGAGGCTGTACATTCAAGATACATTGCGACTTTCTTACTTTGATTGTCCAACATGGAAATATGCCCAGTCCATCTTCTGCAGAGGAGCGGGGAATTTCTTGCAGCCCGCGGATAGGGCAGTGTCGATCACTGTATACTTTTGTAAGATGTAGCCTGGATAGCTCAGGAACCAAAGCAGATATGGTACAAGTGTAATGTAAGCCCAAGAGCGCCCGTCTTGTCCGCTCTTCCCTATGAGAGATAAATATGAAAGGGAAAAAAGATCCTCATGTGGCCCCAACTTGCACTACTAATCAACACACGTGAAGAAGGAGGCAGCCCGGAGCTTCACCGCTCGTTGTAACTCGCCCAACCAAGCTGATTGAGATGTCACTAATAACATTGTACTATGCTGTAGTCTCCCAGCGGAGAGTTGACGAGAACAACGACGACGACGACGACGACAAATCCGGCACGCTCGGTATGACAGTCAGCCGCCATTTATGGATCATATGCCAAGAATACCACTTCTTCGCATCCTTCTGCCTGTCGCTTGCCGCGAAAAGTCATTGCGTATACGAGGGAGCTCAGCCATGACGACGACGACGACGCAGTATGAATAATTCACACACAATCATCAAGTTATGCAATGAACTCTACTTTGCAAGGTATATGGATTTCGACTAGGATTTGAATGTTCCTGCCAAAAAAAAAAAAAAAAAAAAAAAAAAAAAAAAAACGTTAGCTTATAGCAATTCTAGTTCACGATGCGCCGCTCGCGATGCGCTTCAGACACGATGACGTCAGCGGGAACTCGCTAAATAAAGGCCAAATCGCCTCCGCTTGGGCAAGTCTTCCAATTGTGACCTCACAAATGGGGAGTGGGGCCGAGACTATTCTGCCAACAACACCATAATGTTGTCAGAATTTCCTTTGGGCGCGGTGGTTTTTCCAAGTCATAAGAGACAGAATAAGGGCAGTATAGTTGGTGGTGCGAGTGAATTAAGCAGTTTGACATCTCTGATTGGGTGCTGGCGCTAGACTATAGGGCAAAAAGCGCAAGCATTGTAGTATTACTACTTGGATGAGGGAGAGTCTTGTTCAACCATATGGGATAAAACCCGTCTGATTGCAAAGACCATCTGGGAGTGCTAACAAGTTTGTTACAAGTGCTCGGCATGATCCGTAGCCACCAGGCGGACCGGCGGCTGCGCACAGGTGATTTAGATCGATTATTGCTTTGTCAAAGTCGCACATTCGAGTCGTGCGCCGTCGAGGCTCTCTAGCCCTTCCATACGCTTTGCTACATGCATTGTTTTGAGTTGTCCGACTACAATTTGTGTCAGCATATTAGAGTTTGCGACATGGGCAAACGGATCGGCTTGCGGTTGGAATCCCAGGTGACGAGAGGGAACTTGGGAAAAAAATAATAATTGCAAGCCCTGACTATGCCTGGTCTTGATTAAGCGCGGGTATGTATTTTTCGGGGGGCATGAGGCATTCCAAGGATTCCGGGACAGTGGTAAGCCACGGGACGGCCGCGTGATTTATTAATGCCAGTCATGGGGAGACATGATGGTGTGCAACTTTGTTTTCTGTGGCACATCGGAGCGGCGATCTCTTGGTCCAGATCAGTCTAAATAGATATTCAGAGCTGTTTCTTAGTGTCGATAATACAACCCAATCACTAACTCTTTCACAAAAGTAGAACCAAACATTGGCGAAGTTGTTGTCTTTAAACGACTCGTGCTGGATTGCTTTGTCTTCTCCTTACCGTTGGACCTATCGTCGGGGGATCCAGTTGTGATGAAGGGAAAAAAAAAACACAAAAATATAATTGACTAGGGCAAGAGTTCCATGCTGCATGTACATTACTTATTGCTCTCCATGCTTTGCCTAGGTGACAACTTCTCATGCCGACGCCGAACGGTCATTACGACGATTGTTCCCGGGCTGCAGTTGGAGAGAAGAGCCAAGCTTGCGCCATTGATTTGACCAGGCACTGTAGAACCAGAGCCCCTCCCCCTCTTGCAAGTACGTACCCAATGAACTCGGAATATGGGCGATGATTGAAAGGGGGTATGCGTAGCTTTCGTGCACAAGTCTGTACGACTACAGGGTTCATATCCTCAGTTCTCCCGTATGTGGTTTAGACGCGGCGTGTAATGCAAGAGTACCTGCATTTGGAATGGTCAAGTGATCGCTGATATCGTGGAGAAAAGGTTCGCTGACATGCCTAGGCTCAGCTAAAGCTCTTCCCGATCTCAAATTTTTTTTTTTCCTGGTGTTGCCAGTAAAGATTATTCACAATGGCATGGTTGCGAATTGATGAGTTGCGTAGCTTTCGTGGACCTCTTGAGGTAGTGTTGATGAATATATAGTCGCCCTGAAGATCTACCCACCTTTCTTGAACACTATGAGAGACGAATGCCGAAGCCAATTGACGAATTTGGATCCGAGGCCAGGGTTATCTATCGAACTATGGGAACTTGGAAGATCCCCATATCGTAAAGATCCACGGTCTGCTTTGGTTTGTTGTGGGGAGAGCTATCGTCGCACGAATTTGAGGCAAGGTCGCATCAAGAAGCTCATGCCTGTCTGCTCCGCTCTGCTACCCCTCCCTTGATCCATTCACCTCTTGACATTCGTTTGAACAGTCGCGATTCCAGCAGAGTCGTGTTTTAAGTCCACCTTACCTGGGCAGCAGTCTGTTTCGCGGGAAATGACATCAATTAGATTGGAGCTGATTGAACTCGTTCTACTGGTGTATTATTTTCGACACGAGGCCTGCTGTTGGTCTTGATTCTTTCGAGTCAACAAGTCAAGTTTGGCGCTTGTACTTCGGCAGAGAGAGCAGGAGATAGGGTCGGTCACTTGAAAGTTTCCTGATCGAGCGTCGCTGTCTCGGAGGCACGTCGCTAACGAGACGCGCCTAATAGATTGGCAACATCAGGTGGGCAGGAGTCGTGCTCAATCCTGTTAGGGAGTAACAACAGCACAGGGAACGGCTGTATAATATAAGTAATGTAAGCAATTGCAACAATGAGCAGTGCAGGTAGATGTAGTAGTGTGCTGGGGTGTAGGTACATGAAAAGGTCTGGACCACGGGTTTGCCCAGTTAGTATCTCGCGGTCATGTCGCCATAATTATCCAAGGTCAGCAGGCGCCTAGCTGTTGGGGCCAAGGCCAGAAACGGGCAAAGTAGATTGATTGATTACTGGTCATGACTGGCGCGTCAGAGACACGAGCACGAATACCACCTGTATAATGAAGGACAGGAAATAATTCAAGTCGACCCCAATGGCAATGATAGCGAATGAAAAACCATCATTGTGGTCAAGCTCGACGTCTGCCGTCCATACCACGATTTTGTTGAGTTGTCAAGCAGCGCGGCATGTAATGTAGAAGCAGATATTATGTGTACGTGTGTATACTGTGTAGTCTGTGTGTGTGTGTGCGTGTCAAGAGGAAGCAGTCCAATAGCAACACCAGCACCCGTGTTCACTCGATTCGATTGGGTTCATAGTTGGCTCGATGGGTGGGTCGATTTGGTTCTATTTGACCACGGGGGGCCTTCCAATCGAGCGACACCCCCCTTTCCTTTCCGGTGCCCGTTCACTTAGATCCTGGCCAGCGAATGGCTGTCCGAGGAGCCGACACCGGGACAGTGCCAGAGGCTCGAGCTTGGCACTATCTCCAGTCCGGCCCTGGTCCGGCTGGTCCAGGTGGCCTCTCTTGTCTCCATCCGCCTGGTCGTCTGGCCTGCCAACTCGTCAGTAGCAATGCCACCACTGTTCGCTCAGGCCAACAAGCTGTACGTGGTCGACAACCGTGCCAGAACATTCTCCATAATATGCAATACAAAATACGGCTCCCTATCTAGTTACGTGTCTGTCGATTATAAGGGGGAAAGAATCCATCTCAGCAATTGCTGTCCAATGTCGGCCTATGCCTGGATGAATGGATCAAAAATAACATAAAGGGAATTTGCTCATTTGGGTGCCAATCTGCGGTCTGGCTATCAATGGTCTGGTCTGGTCTGTTCTGGTCTGGGTTCAAGTTGAAGCTGGATACGTCTATTGCCGGTTGGAGCTGGTTGCTGTCTGTACATAGCATCCTTACAGTTTCATCTTGGGGGCGCGTATCATTGACTGATCTCGATTCATCTCACAGACCAAGCATGACATTTGTCACTTTTTTGCAGGAATGCACATAGTGAACAAGAATAATACAGAGACCTAGAACGATCATATTAAGCAAAGATAGGTGCCATGTAGAATTATAATGAACAGACGGGGTAGCTCGAATGTAAATACCACCTAACTACTCAGTACAAGAGAGCATACACAATGCGAGCAAGTAATAATGGGGCCACAATACATGGTACATATACATTGGGATACTCAGTAGAAGATAGGATGTCTCTCCCTGCTTTCCGGCAATCTCGCTACATGTTCAGAAGGTATTGTCAATTTTTGAGTATCATTACTGGGCGGGCTGCTCTGGGCGGAGCTCAAACATTGGTCGTCTCAAACATGTTCTTGCATCTATTCTAGCTAGCAAGGTCTCCAAAATGCAGTAGCAATACTATTGCAACCAGCTGCAGCAATCAACATCATCATCATCAACAACAACAACAACAACGACAAAGTCAACATGCAACTGATTAGGGCAAGTGATATCTCTGATCCATACAAAGGTAATGGAGGTATGATAGGGCAGATCTAGCGGCCACTCTAAAGATCTGTGGAATCTGGGGCAAGCATCCACCAAGAGATAACGACACAGTACACATCGCGCGGCAGAGAAAGGCCTCCTCTCAAGGCACAAGGAAAGCCCTAATCTAGCGATACCGTACCGTACCCTACCCTAATGGATGCCCGCGAGGCGATGAGCTGGTTGGTATCTACGTCTACCCTACCGAGAGGTGTCCAGATACCATTTGCAAAGTATGTAAGCAGGGCATGCAGTTAGAGACCTGGCAGGCATTTGATGAGCGGACTGGCTGGGCAGTGTCAAGCCTCCAAGGTCAGACTAATAACGCATTCAGCGATGGACGCTGCAAGTCGGCGTGCTAGCCGGATCACGAGAGACACGAAACTCAAAAGCGCTTCTGTCGCCTTCCACGGTACCCGACCAGACTGCCAGACGGTCGAATTCTCCCCTATCATCTGTCGGCGTGTCGGTGGCCGCTGGGTGCGCTGGTGGGTTTCCCCCTGTTCTTACGCCGGTCCGATGCCTGATGAGTACTTGGTGGGAAGGTAGGCAATGTAGGGTATATGTAGGCAGTCTGGTACGTAGGTAACAGGTCTGGTAGGCTGAAGGTCAAGGTACCTTTTGGTCGTCGTGCTAAGGCAGAGAGGGCAAGACAAGGAAGTGATACTCTGTAAAGGCCAGACAACGACAGCCCGCCCGACTACCTCTTATTACACACGTACTCTTGCATTTTTTTTTTTGGCCGTCTTCTTTACTTTGCTGTCCATACACACAAGTGCCTTGTTGAATATGTGTTCTGTATGGGTGGAAGGATGGAGTCAGGGGCACATTCAGCTTCTGACAGACCCAGACGACTAGACTCTTCCCATCGATATTGCTGTTCTGGAGCGTGTCGAGAACGGACGTTAAATAGTAGAAGAGCTGAACATGGAGTGAGTCGTCTGGTGGGGGGAAAAACGGAGAAGAGACGAGGTACATTTCCTGGGATTTGGATTGGAACATTGAATTCAGTCAGTTAGCGGATCGATGTACCTTTCTTACATACATTACCCACACTGCCCAGGTTCCATGCCTTCCGTCTGAGCTGCTGCTCCTGCTAAGAAACAAAAGTGTACCTAGCACCCACTGGGATCGGTAGGTACTGTGGTGCAAGTACCTGTGCTGACCTATCAATGTTCTTGTTTCCCCCCCTCTCTCCCTCCCTGGAGACACCCCTCCCCTGATGGCTCTGCCCCTCCTCCCTCCACTTACTGCTCCTCCTCCTTCGCTTGTCCCTCTCCTTCCTCTGTGCTTGCCTGGCTTTTGCCTGCCTGCCTGCCAGCCAGTGCCCAGGCTCAGCAGACAGACAGACTCCAACGTCCACACCCGTCTGGGGGGAACGGACCTGAAGGCGCAGCCGGCCACTTGACCTTGCCTTTGTTCCCAAATTCCCCCCCCCAGAACTAAAGTTCCAGTCGATCAGCCAGAACAGCTACTCAGAAAAATAATTTATTTTGTTTTCCAATCTGACTAGGAAACACCTCCTCTCCTCTCTCTCACCATACAACGTACATATTCCAATTCGGAGCATACGACGAGGCCTCTCTCTTACACACTTCGCCCATTGCTGGTTCGCTCAACTCTCGCTCGTCCTCTCCCACTTACACCCGACGGCCATCGGCCAGTCAAGTTGCCCGCACCACCACCTCTCTCACACCACCACCGAACCGCATGAAGTGAGCCCACCACCATCCGGCCTTGTTCTTGGACTTTTTTTGTTTGAAACTTTTCTCTGCCCGCAACAACTTGCTACGATTTGCTTCGAAACATTCGACCTACTTGCTTCTGCTTTGAGCGCAGCGAATTCACGCACTAGTTTGCTTTTCTGTCCCTGACAGGTAGCCCGTTATCTCTCGCTTACTCGGGTATGGCTTCTGCAAAGGTATCTACATATTCGCTCAACTTGCTCTCGAGGTGGCCTCCTCTCGTGATAGTTGCAGCTCGCTGATCAATTGGCTTCTTTCCAACAGGAAATGTCTACGGCTACGACTAGGCCGCCATTGTCCACGCACCGTACCTCGATATCCGGCTCCACGAACCCCCTTGCTGCCACCCGCTTACCCTCTCACTCTCGCAACAACTCCCACACACACTCTGCTCTCTCTGGTGCTCTCAATGCTGCCCACCGTGTCCACCGCCGCAAGAGCATAACCAGCTCTGGTGCCAACATGGCTGCTGTGGCAGCAGCTTTAACCGAAGCCGGCGACAAGATGACCCCCCTCCCCATGACCATCAATGGCCGTCGCGGTACCAGTGCCATCTCCAAGCCCGCGGTTTCCCGGTCCTCTGTTGCTGGCAGCCTACCTTCGCCGCCCGCGAGTCTACCGACCCACAAGTTCGCCATGACCGGCAAGCCGGAAGAACAAGGAAGTGCGATCGATGATGACTCCAACGACATGTCTGCTGAGGAAGGCGAGGACGGGCTGCAGAAGGCTCGCGTTCGACGTGCTAGTGACGGCCAACCTCTCACAAAGGATGGCAAGAAGAGCAACCGTATCGAGCTTCATTGCGACAAGTGCGGAAAGACATACAAGCACAGCAGTTGCCTGACCAAGCATTTGTTGGTGCCCATTTCCTTGCCCACCCTACTCCCCCCCAAGCTCTCTCATTCCAACCGCTGGATAGTCGATGGCATGGTCCTCGCAGTTGCTTCCGGACCTCGCTCCCGGACCCCTCCCTACTCCAGCCTATATTCCCCCTCTCCGGATAGATTCGAGGAAACAATTTGTTGACGTTTAGCTGGTTAGGTGGGAACATACTCCCGAGTGGTCGCTCACTTCCAAGCTCCTCATCTCGAAACACCAACAAGTACAGCTGCTCGAAGCGGCCTCAGTGCTTGTGCAGATGAATGTGAACAAGGATGAGGCCACCACACCTCCGGATTCTGCTCGCGATTTTGGCAGTGAACCCGAATCAGCTGCGTCACCAGCCGCGTCTGTATACTCAGATCTCCACGATGGTCGAAGCTCGGCAGACACGACCCCTCCGCCGACAAGCGAGCCTTACCATGGTGGCTTCAACTTCCGCAACGCCAAGAGGTTGAGCAACGGTAGTACTTTTGCACGATCATATCAATCAACCACGTCCAACGGTTTCTTGTCTGGCAGCATCTCGAACGGCTCCGGATTTGGCCACCACCGTCATGGCAGTGCAGATCGCCGTCCGACGTCGTCCGGGTTAGGCAGTTCTGGTCAAGAAGACAAAGATCTTGCCGCCGCGGTTGAACTTCTTAGTTGCAGCTTCAACAGCAATGGGGCTTCTCGAGATACCCGGCTTCCTCAGGACGCGCCACCAGTGCCCCCATTGCCGGCACAGTACCTTGACCATGCTGCATTCACCAGCACCAGCTTCTTCAACAGCTACTCGGCGCCACAAATGCCCGAGAGCTTCACACGCGGTCAATACCCTCACACTGAGGACGTGAAAATGGAAGACAGCGAGATGGACAATGACGATGACGACAGACGGTCCAGAGTCCGCAGCGAAGACGACGACGACGGTGTGTTTGGCCGTATGGAGGAGTGAGCACACGTCGGAGTCGGCACGCACTGCGCGGTGCTAGCCAATTGTGGCAGCAATGACCCGAAACGACCGTTATGACACCTACCATTGCCATCTGATGTTTTCCCTTTGTAAACCGCAAATTTATACCACTTTGTAAATGTGGTGGTTTGGCTCCGCTGCCGAAACCTCAGCACCGAAGAGTGGACGACTTTGTCTCCCATAAAGCCGGGAGTCGAAGCATATGCCACGAGGTTAAAGTGAGGATCGGATGAGAAGCGTCGAGCGAACACCCGAATAAGCATATCTTAAATTCAGTCCCAGTCTGGGACCTTTTTGTCAGGCATCAGAGTAGGAGGTCGAATCGGAGGACAGACACTCCTTTTGCCCCTGTATGAACCAAATGAAATCAAATGAGAAATCAGGTGAACCAACCGATGAAGATGATCTGCTTACGTGCATTCTACACGAGAAGATGTGCTATTAAGTTGTGAATGGGGTCAAAACCACAAACGCCACTAAGCGAAGTAGACGAGTACCCTAGCAACACTAGAATAACTTTATCAAAGCATCTCAGAGGTCTGCACTTGTTGATGTCGGAACAATATTCGAGGCCGTTGCGGAAAAAGCTGTAACCAAGGCACATTTTTAGGAAGACGTAGAGGAGCAAACACGCATGATGACAAAAACGAGAAGCACGAACCCTTGGATGAAGATGCGGCCTGGCAGGGCCTTTTGAGGAAGACTACCACCTTTTTATGTTGGCCAACCCAACCCCTCAATGTCTTGTCGATCTGAAGTAGAGTAAACGTCACAAGAGCTCAAAATGAAACCGACTAGTTGGATGACAGGCTCGACAGGTAACGTCGATTGGTCTGGATAAGATACTCTGAATAGTAAGAATCGGGTCGATCCCATTGTGTTGCTCTCGTACGTGGGGATTTTGATTAGATACTAGGACCTTGTAGCTTGACGTGGAACGAAAGAAGCGAGCGACTCAAGCGAGTGTTGGCACAGGGATAGCTCGAGTAACAGAGAGCCGATGCGAGGGGACGAGAGATGGTTGTTGTCTGGCTTGCCAACAGCAGCTTTCAATGAAAGTCAATATTGTTCTGGAAAGACGCTGCTGTCATGTTGTCAACAAAGCCAAAGTCATTGAGAAGAAAAAGCTTAAACCTCAGGACGCATCATTGTAAAGAGTCATCAGAATTGCTGTAGTTGTTCCCCTGCCTTGGACAGCAAGCACCAGAAGTGCCTTAAAGGCGTGGACACTGGAAGCTCCCCAGTCAGTCAACAGTCTCGGGCCACCTAGCGGCTCAAGACGTCACCAAGCTCCATCTATTTACTATTTTAGTGGCCAGGGATCCATAGGAGCTTCTTTGCTATCCCCCACTGCAGGTTTCCTTACCTCACAAACTCCACTGCCCATACCCACGACTACCATCATCGTCAATACTACTAATAAATTCCCTGCAAGGCTCTTCGTGACAGGGTTTTTCTTTCTTCCTTTGCTTTCTGCTCCTCCACAAGCAACCGACACCAGCAGCGCTTGGGTGCTGCCCATCACGCATCTACATCACTTCATCTAGCACAACACGTTACGCGACGGCGCTTAGCAGGTCAAGATGCGCACCCGGCGACAAGATAAAATCGATGCCAGGGCCACCGAGACCGCCTCTGTGCCTTCAGAGTCGAACCCCTCGTCGCCCAAGGTCCTCTCCATCAGCCATGTCGATGCGCCAGTCGTGAAATCACTTACAAGCAAGAGTGGAGAGAAGAAGTCCAAGATTCCCACATTGATCCAATTCCCATTGGTGATTATCCTCAGTCTGGCAGTGTCGTCTGTTGGGTATTCGGTGACGTATCCATTCACAAAGGCAGCTATTGCTGTACATGCGCGAAGTCTCGACACCTGGGGCGAATATGCAGCTCTTATGGGCTGGCGAACGTGAGTTTTGATGATTGAAAACACTATTGCGCACCAAGCCTTTGGACATACACTAAGTATTATTTCAAAAACAGATTTGAGCTTGCTTTGGGATGGTTTGGCAACTACGACAGCTATGATCTCGCGGCCCTCAATCTGCTGTCGCATGGCCCACCGGTAAGTTTGCTTGTCATGGGCATGTCTTTTACAACACCACGCCAGCCGCTTGGAAAGGACTCTTGACTGATTACCGCGCTAGCTCTATCTCCTCCATGCCTTCTACAAGGTGCCGGCTTCTGCGTTGGTGCTGACCCTTGCCATCGAGACGTTCGCCACCTATCTTCCTTTCCGACTGTTGCGCAACCTCTCCAGGGCCCATGGTGATCCAGAGCATGCGCCAAATGCCGAACTTCTCACAGACAAGCCCATCACCATCTTGACCACTCTCTTGTCCGGCGCCATTTACACCGTGACACTCTTCGCCGCCTACGCAACTTATCTCCCCACCGCTCTGATCGTTCATTACGATAGTCTTCCCTCTATCCAAGCTGCACACGAATCGACATATGTCAATCTGCTCCCTGTCACTCTTGCGCTTGGATTTGCCGCCACGAATTTCATCTTCACGCCAGCTGAAGCCGAGCCAGAAGCTCCACCTAGACATTTTGAACCTGCCAATGCGACCCTGCAGGAGACTGTTTCATGGAATATTTGGGGCTGGAGCAACAGAACCAAGACCGTCATTCGCCGCACATTGACCTTGATGTTGGTGACTGGTGTGAGCACTTCTATGCAGACTACTCTCACCGTTGCAGGCGCCGAACCTCTGGGAGCCGTTGCGTGGGCCAGTCCCTGGGTTGTTGCAGCGGCTATAACGGGTGCAAGCTTGGGTGCAGTCGGCAGTGAGTGAGGGTGGGGATTCCCATGGACGCCATTATGTTCAGCGAGCTATCTTTGATCCTCGTTTGAAAAGACCAGAAGGCAAAGCAACGGCCCTCCACTATATAGGCATTTGAGCGGCTCATACATTTGTACAGCGCGACTTACTGGCGTTATGGATAGCACGATTGGGCAATATTGATTGACTTGAGAAGGAATTGGTACTTCTATGGAGTATCGGAATCAAGGAGGCATGGAATACTGGCAGGTGGAAACCCAGACTTTCCCTTTCTTATGTACAGACATCTCCGAAGTCTAATCGCCTGAATAATCTTTAATAACACTTTATTTTGTGCCACAGTCAAGAACAAAAACTATGATATTACGTGAAACAATGATTCTGAAGTTGCAGACTACCTGTATAGACGAAGTATCAATAATAGCCAATAGTGATGCGATATTAGCCTTTAATTAAAAGACACCTGCTTGCAGATTACTTTGTATTTGAGCTTAAATGCTAGCTATATATATAATTAATTGCACGCTATATAATAGAAAGTTATAATAGTCAGAGGAGCTTGTAATCTGGGGTTTCGATATCACCTAATGGGAGCGGTGTATGGGCATGAATAAGTGGTTGAAAGTAGTCTGATTTTATAATGACTTCCGTCGTGACCACCCCATTTATTTCAAAGATATATTTGTTCTTTCTCCGTTAATTAGTATGGGCGCTCGAGGCTATTGTAATAAGCGTTATTACGGCGAGTAAAGTGTTCTCGAAACATTGCCATGAGGTGGCTTTTATCTACCTAAATCTTTCCACGCTCCAAGAACTTGTTCGGAATATCTACGATCTTACACCGTAGATATTCGGCAAGATTCTTTCCAAGGACATCATATGTAGAGCTAGACGCTACACCTCGATCAAGGTGGTCCTTGAGCAGGAAATGAACAGCTACAAAGCTGTTAGCAGGCCGATCTTTTGATGAAAATGAAATCCACTAAGTATACAAGCTATGAATAGGACTCTCATACCCCAAATGTTTGGAAGTTCGAAACGAAAGATCGGCTTCCCAGTGTCATCATCTTCAAGGAGCATCCGGATCTTTTTCTCACTGAGAAGAGTTCGCAGCCAATCCCATTCATCCGAGTTGCGAACAAAAAACCCTACGTTGCAATCGGATCCCTTGTCTCCAGATCTGGCATGTACGACGTAGCCCAATGGGGCCGCAGTGACAGGTCCCAGAGATGAGAGATCGATGGCATTGGAACTCTCATATGTATCTTGCTCGTAGCGGAAGTCCTGTGTATCGGATGGTGGGGGGATGGGTATCTCCAATCCTTCGGAAGGGACATGGCAGATATGTTCTATGCTGCTCTGAGGCAACAGTGCAACCCAGTATTCATAATAAGGTTTAGCGATTGCTTGACGAGTATCGACTGCGAATGTGGCTCCAGGATAGCTTTGCATGATTACATCGGTGACGGGTCGCAGAAATTTGCTTGTGGCCAGGTCTTGTTCCTGCCTTGCTTGGGCGAAGATTCTGAAATCGACCGTGGCGGAGTCCTGGTTCCTTGGATTCGTCGGGCACCTACCGTTCACCCTGAATTTCAAGCAATGGAACTTGGACTCATCGAGTTGTGCACGAATCTGGCGCTCCAAGAATTGTGCCTTTTCTTCGATGTCAAGACCGCAGAGAAAGTAGTGAGCCTCAGCCTGGTAACCCCCTTTAGCGGTGATGCCAAGCTTGGTTGTGGGCGGCGGTTTGAGGCTGCCAATATTGGTCACGTATCTGCGTTTGACATCAATAATTTGATTCATGTGGCCAGCAAAATTGAGTCACAGCCACTTACACTCGGTCATTACCAGCAGCTTCAATTTTAATGCCATCGAGAACTGCTACAACATCCGAGTTGTAATACCAAGGCCCCTGTATTTCATACAGCAGCTGCGACTTACAAGTATCAATGGTGACCAATCCATCACGATGCTTTTGTTTCGTGATATAAAAGTGGCCATCGGGCAAAATTTCGACTATGGGAAAGCCCAGGTCAAGAGACTCACCCGGAAGGCTCTTGAAGCCAGAAAAGTTTCCTCCAGTAACGTATGTCGAGCACTCGATAAAGTGGCCCGCCACAAATGCCCCGGCTAGCTTTTCATAATCCTTGCGGGCCCATCCGTAGTGATATGCTGCGATGCCGATGGTGGGTGATGCATCTGCCACACGTCCGCAGAGCACAATATGTGCTCCTCTTTTCAGTGCTTCCACGATACCGAAGGCACCGAGATAGCATTGTGCATAAATTGGGTCAAATCCCCAGTTGCGCAGTTTCTTTCCTTGGGAAGTATGAGCATTTGGTGTTCCGAGAAGCCCTCAGGCTATACTCACCAGTGGTCAAGCTTTCAAAATCCCGTCCCTCTTTGATAGCCTGCTGGACAACCTCGAGCACCTCGTCTCCTCCTACCCAGGCGACTTTGAGGTTCAAACCCGCCGCTTTGATCCGATCCGTAACCGCTTTGTACAGTTTCTGAGTGTCACTCCCACCGGCGTTGACAACAACTTTGATCTTTCTGAACTGGAGATAAGGAAGGGCTGGTTCTAGAGCTTCCAGGAATGTCTCTTCGAATTCGTCCGATTCGCCTTTGCTATCTATCTTTTGTCCACCTCTAGTAGTCATATTGTACTCGGACATCCAATCGCCCACGATGTACTCAACATCCTCTGACTTAGCCAGTTCAGCCAATGCGTGCCGCCGATCCGTCACGGAGCCAGATGCAGAGGCGATCCGGAGGATGTTATCGCTGGGTGAAGCCATGCCCATTGCCGGTTTTGGTTGGGGATACAGTTGTAGGGTTCGCGCGGTCAATCGAAGCATGCCCGGTTTGTCAATACCCGGCTGATGCGCCGCCGTATATAGTGCATTGAAGTCGCCTTGATACAGGCCGGCCACCCTCGTCTTTTGGAGAGCAACGCTTAGTGGTGGGGGTTTCGGGGTGGGACAAAGTTCATGGCGCATCCAGAAGAGTGGAATACATCTCGCCGTACGAACGCTCGGAATTAAATCCGTGAAATCGTGTTCTCATAGACGGTGATACGACAGGATGCGCCCAACACCCCGGGATTTAATTCCACATCAAACAGTCTGCTTAGTAAGTCAATGTCAGAAGGCGACACGTCACACAATTCATCAAAGTCAGGTCAGTCAATTCGTTCTGACTATCATGTGCTAGTACCCCGCTGACGTACTAGGTACAACACCCCACGCCCTTACGGCATGGCATTTAGCCTAGCTACCAAGTGCTGAGAACTATCCAGCGCGACAAACGTATAGAAAGCCAGAATTTGAGGTTGAGAATCAAGCCAAAAAAGAACGAGAATTAGTTTTCGTCTCGGTGTAAATGATATTCTGAGACGAAGAGTGGAATCACCGGTTGGTTGCAAAAGACCAGCTTAAAGCACCAAATAAGGTGAGAAACAACTTATTGAAACATGCAGCTTGCTAGGCATCAAATTTATGCACGCGTTGAGAAGCAAAATTCAAGTGACACCCAAATGATACCGTTCAGTAGTACAAACCTACGTTGCCAGGAATTCACGGACCAAGTCTTATGGCATCAGCCTCACGCCATCCAAAGTTTTGACTTGTGTCCCATTTTGGTACATCCCATCAACCAGATAGCTCTTCGGCTTACTCTCCAGAGGTAGCTCGTTAAGAAATCGCCAGCGAAGCTCATCTTCCTAGCCCGCAACTTGCCAGTCTGTGATCGTTCCATGCGGGGAAAATGGGAGGAATTCCATAACAGCAGGGTCATGAGCAATTAAAACCAAGACACGGTCGTCTGCATCCATTTGCTGTAGCAGTGCAACACTCTCTCGCGCCTTTGCCGGGTTGATATACCATCCATCTTCCCTGCTGCATGGCTGCTGCTACGGTGTTTTTTTGAGCATTTTCCCGATTCGGATGGCAGCAGGTGAATAGGCTGCACGCATATGGTGCCAGCCGATGTTGGTTCTATCCCAGCTGCTGTTCTGTAAACTCGTCTGGCAGGGGCACGTATTTGTTAGGCAGATTTATACCACCAAAGTGGCATATATCTCCGCCGAGCAGGACATACGAGTCCGTCGTGGTCCTGACAAGCGCTGAGATGTGTCCTACGGCGTGACCTGGAGTATCGAGGACATATAAGCTGCCGTCCTCAAAATAATCAGACGCCTCGAAGCCCGCCACGAGTAAGTCGGCTGAGAATACGATCTCTCGTATACAGCGGCCCTTGATGGCATCCTCGAACACGGGAGAACCCTCGTTAGTGGGGTATCCTGGTAAGAAATAAGAGATGAATTCAGGACCAACCAAGAGGTCCATAGAGTCTGGGAAAGTGGCAGCATCGCCTGTGTGGTCGTAGTGGTGGTGACTGATGATCGCCGCCTCCAGTCTCGCTATATCGACACCACCCCTGATCAAAACATCGGCCAGGTCATGTTCTACTCGAATTCTGGGGACTTGGGTGTCGATTACGTTAATAATTGGCTGCTGAAGATCCCAAAATGCTTTGCAGCATCCTAGATCAAATAAAAGCTGCCTCCTTGACGTTGAATATGTGATGAGGAATGATAGCGTAGGTAAGTTCATGAGTTCGAAGCCATGAATGATTGGTTCAACCAAAGTCTCGGCTGGAACTGTAAGGCTGCACGTGGTGTCAATTACTGAGAGCAGGCATGTTTTGTCTGCTTGTATGATATCTACGCCTCGTGGGCTACAAGAGCCAGTAGGTTCAAGCGACGAAATGGCATGCGACATCTTGAGAGAGACCAGTCCCAATCCAAAAAGAGAGCACAATGTTGAGAGTGTATGAAGATCAAGAATTAGTATAGACAAAGTAATTCTTCAAATTGAAGGGAAGAAATTATCCACGGGCGAATGTGCCAAACGTTCCCAGGGACGGCTTTGCATTTCCGGAATTGCATAGCTGTGCCAAAGTCGGAGAGACGTTAATCCTGTCTACTATCAGATAGCGGAAGTCTCACCTAAGCCAATTTGTAAAGGGGAAGATAAAGACGTGATGATTGAGGAAGCATTGAAAGATGTCTACGTTGATCTCTAGTCTACAAAAGAGAGGTGCTAAAGAGCGAACTATATACCCGAGCAGGTGACCTGCGGTGGGTATTGACCACGTCAGTGCAACAGGAAGCATATTTTCAAAATGTTATTTATAGCAGCATTTACTTAGCATCAGCAGATGCAAGTTAGAGACAATGCTTTTCTACAATAACAGAAGTCCTTCATACTCGCCAATTAACAAATAAATCCACTGAGGTCAGAGCGGGCATGATCATTTCCCAACATTTTGTTCAAAGCGTTGAATTCCAGGCATGTCTTGCGCATCCGGTCAAAGTTTTCATAGTGAATCCAGACGGGCAACGGATTCAGGAGTATAGGTCCCCATTCGCATCCAGTATTACCAGTGGTCGATAATTCTACTTGGAGGGGTTTGTTCTTGCACAAAGAAGAGAAGGAGAAATGGCAATTAGAATGCGGCTGCAGGGTTTTGCAGGTTAGCAGTATGGAGCTGCCGTTTTGGTGCTATGGCATGAAAGGACTTGTTTTATGGATTCCTGCGTAGTGTTATCGGCGGGCGTCGCATGGCAAGGGCGTTGTCATGTTGAAGCAGGAGATTTACACGTTCATGGTTCGCGAGATAGAAGTTATTCAGATACATCGAACTTATGCAATGCAGACATTTTTGCTAGGTGGATTCCACAAGACAGGGACAAAAACCCGAAGGACCACCGTACCAGGAATAACAAATCCGCAATAGCCCGCCCACCAAACTTCGACCTAGCATCATTTGCTATGTCTTATAGAACAATATTCTAACATGACGTAGATAGGGTTTCATAGCGCAAATAAATTTCTGCGAACATCCTGCTCCGTACGAGCTTGGCAAGATCACGTTTTGAGGTCCAAGCATATTCAGTCATAATGCAGCCACTTGAACACAGTCAGCTCTCTGAGCAAACGAATGTACGGCAGAGTCCCGAGCGTCGCGTCCAGCGTGCCATCAAAATATCTGTCTTCTTCAACAAGAAGGAATCTATCGATCATGACAGCTTCTTTCGCCACTGGGAAACAATACACGCAGACTTGGTTGTAGCAACTCAAGCCTTTCGCAATAATATTGTGCGCTATGCTCAAGTATGTCATGCTTGACCCCTGATATTGGCGCAGCCATTCCTTTGGCCGTGTCCAATACTTGTATGTGGCTAACGTCGTGTCGTTTGCAGCACTATCAAACACCCGAAATGAAAGAAATGGCGCGTAGTCTTGGGGAAGGTGTCCTCGAGTACGATGCATGTGCGCAACTCTGGGTTAATACATGGGACGATTGGTTGGCTTTTTCAAACAGTCCCGAGTACACAACAGCGCTTGCCGATGACTGCAAGAATTTCATGACTTTGCCCATGACATATATGATTGGCTACGAGACCGTGGTTGTAGGGGAAGATTACGGTGGTGTGAGCGAAGAAGCTATCTAGAAAAAGATCGAAATCATTTGTAGTATATTCCTGGAGGTTTATATATTTTATTAAGGAATATATTTATATAAAAAGAAAGAGGGTGAAGCACCATCTCATCAAGCTCCATATGAACCGCAGAATTTCATCATTGAGATAATATGATTTTCTTTCCTCTTATTCTTTCTTTGCCGTCGGCACAAATTTTGCAGTCGGCAAATGCAAATGAAGGCGGATTTGAAGAAATCACGTGATTCCACCACTTCTGATTCCTTGATGGACAGCACAAGGTGACTATAGCTCGAATTCACAGGAATAAAACCACGACCTCGCCGATCCGGACTTTTCGCAGCTGTGGGATTTGGTGTCCCAAAAGTCTAAAACCTCGTCTTGTAAACCCGAGCCGATCACACCCGAGAGAAGTCTCGCAAATATCAGGCAAATGCACCTTTCGTCCTTACTAAGGAAATAATCAGATGCTGTAATTATTCATCATTAAATATAAGCGTTTGAACTCGGTCCGAATTCTTCTAACGCCCATCGGCTTTGCGCACAGGTACTAACCTTAGTTGTGTGGATCATTATATATAGCCAATGAAATCCCATGGAATTTGAATCCCGCCATAATACCGCCTGCTGCCCCACAATGAAGCATTAGTGAATGCTTGCTGCTAATAGTGCATAAGCTTATTCACCATTCCTCGGCTCAAGCATACTAGGTAATTCATTATTACCCTTGGTGTAGATTTAGTCAAGATAAAAAACTTCCTTTATGCTTTTTCCACTGCCTTTCATGAAGCAGAGCCATGAATTTGGCGATTTAATAGGATACTCCTAACACAATTCAATGGTTGAACTTTGGAGACGTTTTCAGTAAATGTTCAATAATCAAAGTACATCATTCATATTGCTGCACGGATAATCGTAGAGATTTTATCGCTTTAGATAACTCCAATGTGATTTATTCGACTCCAGATCCATCCACAACCCAGGAGAAAAGGCAGACTGAACTTCAAAGACGCCTCAACAAGAGTTCTAAGGAAAATCCTGGCTATGTAATCAAAGACTCGGGTGGGCTGTTAAGCGTAAGGAGTACAAGCATCTTATCCACCAAAAGACCGACTTTACTATGACTTCGATGGAGAGCTTGTCCACATTAGCGCAGGTCTCGGGTATCCAAATTCCGTGCACGGAGTAGAGGAAACTACCTGGGGCAGGCCTTCCTATCTCTGTGGAGGCTGGTATGAAGCCCACGGATTCGAGAATGTGGCGCCATTGAGCACAATTTTACCAACTTGTTAGCAATATTATTGTTATGTCATTGTTCGACATTACTAAGACACTGTAGTTTTCATATAGGAGTGTCCTATTATGTAGACCATACCAAGAGTAAAATATAATTGATTCATCCACCTTGGAATGCCTCTCAATTTCTTCTTTTAATCATTTTACACCTGACTCTGTTGCAAACTGCCTCTCGCCTGAAATTTTAGCCCTGCTTTCATCTATTAAGCATAAGACGCATGACCATCTTGCCCCTTTGATATCACCAAGCATGGCCAGCAGCAAACTTTTCAAGCCCGTCACCATCGGCAAAATCACCCTGTCTCATCGCATTGGGCTATGCCCCCTTACACGCCATCGCGCCTCGGACGATCATGTGCCTTCTGAGCTTGCAGTACAGTATTACAAGCAACGCAGCAGTGTTCCCGGCACTCTACTTATCACAGAGGGCACTTTTATATCGGCTGCAGATGGTGGCAATATCAACATCCCCGGCATATACAACCAGCAACAAATTCATGCCTGGAGGAAGGTCACGGATGCGGTTCATGCAAACGGCGGCTACATCTTCTGTCAGCTATGGGCCCTTGGCCGTGCTGCCAACCCGGAAGTGGCCCGTCGCGAAGGAATTACCCCAGTGAGCTCAAGTCCGGCCCGGCTGAGCTTGGAATTCCCGATACCTCACGAACTCACCATCGATGAGATCAAAGAAAAAGTTCAAGCATATGCCACCGCGGCTAGGAACGCTATTGCTGCTGGATTCGACGGGGTTGAGCTCCACGGTGCTAACGGGTACCTGATTGACCAGTTTACGCAGGATTGCTGTAACCAGCGCTCTGACGAGTATGGAGGCAATATCGAGAATCGCTCCCGTTTTTGCTATTGAGGTTGTTACCGCGGTCAGCGAAGCTATCGGGCCCGAGAAGACGGGTATCCGATTTAGCCCTTGGAGCAGATTTCAGGGAATGCGGATGAACGATCCCATCCCGCAATTTTCACATATCCTCCGCAACATTAGCAAACTTGGTATTGCTTACATCCACCTCGTTGAGTCCAGAATAGCGGGCAATGCCGACGTCGAGTCCCAAGACAGTCTAGAATTTGCGTACGATATATGGAAGGGCCCACTGCTAGTTGCTGGCGGATTCAAACCAGATTCTGCACGACACTTAGTTGACGAGCAGCATCCCGACAAGGACATTATTGTCATGTTTGGCCGATATTTTATTTCAACTCCAGATCTGCCGTTCCGGATCCGAAATGAGCTGAGCCTCAATGACTACAACAGAGACACGTTTTACACCCCCATGGCTAGTGGTGGATATATAGATTATCCATTTAGTGATGAGTTTCTAGCCCAAAAGGCGACGGCATGAGTGCTAGTTCATCGGACTCGCATGCATGATTCAGTCATTGCTGGGTATCTCTAGTCCATGGAGGCCTAAGATAAGGACGAATCAGTGTACTGTTCTGATTCCACCATCCGAATGAGACTTTGATAGACCTTGCTTTGTAGCAACTCGGAGACTGTATAGATGGGTGTCAGGTGCTGTTGGGCCGTTGAAAAGACTCGTGTCGATCACTGCGTGTAATGATGTGTGAATTGAGTCTTGTTGTATTCAGGCCTGCTACGCCGAAAATGTATATTTGCCAGCATATGTGTCACGAGTCTAGTTGTCAGCTACTCACAAGCAAAACACTGAAACCACGGACGCGATGGTCGTCGCGGGGAAAAGGAACCCGTAGAATGTCCAAGCCTTTCCTACGGGGGCAACTGGGCGTTCAGGGCAAATGTATCGCTGAGTAGCAATAGACACGCAATTAGGCGCCCGTGGGCTTGCAATAACCCGGTGTCGTACTGACGTAGTCAGTATCCACCGCAGATCAACTGCGTGGGTATATAGTTCGCTCTTCAGCACCTCTCTTTTGTAGACTAGAGATCAACTCGACAACTTTCAATGCTTCCTCGATCATCTCGTCTTCAGTTCCCCCTTCACACATCGGCTCAGGTGAGACCCGGCCCCGCCAAGTTGGCCTCATCGTGACCAATTTCGAAATAGCCAGAAAGATAGATAAGAACCAAGCCATGGGCTGGATAAAAGTTGGTGCCACACATCCTGTCTAATTCTCTGTGTTTTGAGGCAAGTCCAATACGGAGAGAGTGGAGAGGATCTTTACTGATGACTGTATTAGACTTTTGCTTCTTTACTTAAACGCCTTATATCCTCTTCGCATTCGTTTTCTGGGGAATCGGAGGGGGGGGGGGGGGGGACTTTGCCGAGTGAACGCTATACAAGGAAGGAAAATAACCTGTGCAAGCCATCATATTTGTCCTGCCATAATAGACATGAATTAGCACCGGTATAGGATACGCTCACACCAGCTGGTTTCTCCATATCTGTTTCTTGGAGTGGCCAGAGCGTCGGAAGACAATTCTGGGGTATCGGGAGAGAGCGCCATGGGCCTATGGCACTTGTAGTGTGTGTGTACCTATGTAGGTATACACCTTACCTAGTCAGTCGGCCTGTGCGGAGAGGTTCTGGTAGGCTCCTGCACTACGACGAACTACCAGCTGTCTCGCAGCTGAAGAAACACCTTGCAAATGAAGGACATCAAGAAGTTGCGTTTGGTTTGGGGAAGTATTTTCTAAACAATTACAACAATATACATGTTTTCTAGTCTCGATCGAATTTGCAACTATCTAACTATTCCTCAGTTTCTGATCACGACTGTTGATTAGCCTGACCAGAGCAATGATTACCTCAGGCTTCGGTCGCATCTGGAAATCGGGGAAGCAAAGTAAGGTGGGTGCCCCCGCCTGCTCCAGGGTCGCAGCCAGAATTTAGCGTGTGGAGTCACAAATGGTCTTCTTTATCGACGACGGCGCTTTGGCTTGAATTTATAAAGACCCAACCAACACCGAGGGACGGTCCTGGGGTCAACGAAAACCTCATTGCAATCCGGCTTGTCAGAGCATCGCCACCTGCCAAAGTCGCGGACTCCAGAAGTAGCGCATTAGCATAAGGGAATAGGAGAGGCTGGCCTGCGGGCGCCATTTCTTGCGCCTACAACTTCACCTGCCCTCTCAAAGCGGATACCACGGATCGACACAAATATAACAGCTCATCGCGGTATGTTACCATACAACTAGCGACCATGGGAGGCAAGAAACACGTGAGCACCGCGTGTCTATCCTGCAGACGGCGCAAAATCAAAGTATTACCATTGAATATAGAGATAAGCACTGCGTGAGGTCGTTGTTAACCAAGGCCCATCTGGTAGTGCGATGGCAAGGAGACATGCTCCAACTGTATCGTGTCCGAGTCTACATGCGTCTACAACGCCGAGGCCGATTTGAGAAGGTTTCTCCCGCCGTCCAATTGCTAGTCGCCTCTGACTAATCAAACGGTGAGCAGAATATCAGGCAAAAAGGTGACTCATGATTTGCGAGCACGTCTAGCGCTACTTGAGGGACTCCTTCGGGAGCACAACATTGCGATACCTGCTTCGTCCCCGGGCTTCCCCGAGCAAGGCCCTTCAGTCCTTGGCTTGGCTCCCTCAACAATGGAGCAAAATCACCCAAGCGCTCAGGCCGACAATCCGGACTCTTGCATCATTGCCAGTACCAATCAGAAGAACCAGAGGGCCGCTGACGGGAGACTTCCACTGGAAAACTCTTCGTCCATCGTAAGCCCAACGTCTCAGCCCCCCACACAGGCTTTCGAGATGGATCCGAGCGAGATGTACAGCCCTATGAATGCCTCGAGTCTCGCAGGAGTGTCCTATTCGAATCTTGGAAGCATGGCTACTCTTCCTAGTGGCATGGAGCGTGATGACCCCAGCTTTGTCTTTCCGCAGGTAGCCAGCGCACCAGGCTTGCAACTTGGCATATCCACACCCGGTCCTGAGAGCCACCCCAATGATTCGGACGGCGATATCACCAACCTGCTGGCAGCTCGAATGGGTTCACTCCAGATCGCGGAGGATGGCCAGCTGCGGTACTACGGCCCCACCTCAAACCTACATGTTCACCACAGCGGCTTCCAGTCTCTGTCGAGATCTCACATCCGTCACGTGGCGACAGAAGGCAGTGAAGTCCTCAAGCGTCACGGGCTAGACCAAGATGTTCCACCAGAGCTTGAACTCTACCTTGCCAAACTTTACTTCACCTGGGAGGACCCCGCAATCCACGTTGTTGACGAGGAAACCTTTTTCACGGAGAAGCGGAAGTGGATGACTGAGAAGATAGCTAGCTGCTACTACTCTGAGACACTAAATAACGCCATGTAAGTACGGGATCTGTGGTATTTGATACGTGGGCTTTCGACCTGTTGCCTAATATGCTCCGCAGATGTGCCATCGGAGCAAATCTTGCTGCGGGCGAGGACTTCGCAGGGGTTGGTATTGATCCGGAATTTTTCTCCTCTCGGGCAAAAGCACTCCTCGACATAGAGATGGACAGTCCCAACGTGGCCACAGTCCAGGCGCTCGTGATCATGAGCGCGTCCGAAGCCGCATTCACGCGCGATGCTCGAGGTTGGCTGTACAGTGGTAATTATCCCTCTTCTGATTTTAGACTTGCGCTAACCTTGGTTAAACGTATGAGGCATGGCAGTAAGGCTCAGTGCGGACTTGGGGCTTCACATGGATGTCACGAAGCATCGGGAGAGCGGCCTCCTCTCACAGCATGACGTTGAGATGAGGAGTATAGCCTTCTGGGGGGTCTTTATCCACGATAAGTATGTATAATCTCTAGACCTCTTCTGGTCATAGTCCAACTAATCTTGAACTTTAGTATGTGGAGTCTCTACCTTGGGCGGCCTTGGGGCATTGGCATGAGGGACATAACGGTATCACGACCGCCGACGCATCTCGATGAGTCTATCGGCAGAAGCTGGAGTGCATTTCCCGCCATTGGGAACGACATGCCGAAGCAGGAGATATTTTTCCCCCTTGAGTCTTGCACAGACGCCAATATCATTCTCTGTGAATTCATGCGGCGGATCAATACGACTCTGTACGTTTTATATTCGCCGACTGTGTGAAAGTCCGTGTCAAGCCATCAATGCGGCCTTGCTAACCGTTGTGCCCCAGGTACTCCGGTTGCACAGTTGCCATCGATACTCTTTTAAAATTCCTCATCAAGACAAAGCATGAACTCATGAACTGGCTGGAAAACATCCCAGCACGCTTGAGGATAGATGTCAACGATGCCGAGGCTACATATATCCCTGCAATTCTCCAACTTCAGTATGACTCCAGTACTGTTTCCTTATTCTCAATTAATTCTTGCGCTAATTTGAACAAGTATGCAATTTTACGCCACCTTGATATCACTCTACCGCCCGTATTTATCAAGCCAGATCTTTCGATACTGTCAAGCCGCAAGCTCCCTTGATGATCGGGTCGTAATCAGTGGGGTCATGACTGATTGCATCGCAGCAGCAAATCACCTGAGTGAGATATTGAAGTGTTATCAAAAGCTTTATCCACTTCGGCGCACAAATATACAGATTGTGCACATCATTTTCACAGGGTGTCTTGTCTTTGTCTATGACATATGCACTAGGAGTGGACTCGAGTCACAATCTTCACTTCGCAATCTACGATTTTGTTGTCATGCTTTGGGAGACATCGGTCAAATTTATGGTAATGCTACAAGGGCATTAGAGGTCATTATACTCATTAAGGCCAAGTGGCAACAATTGGCAAGAGCACGGCCAGTTGGGGGTTTGAGTATGAAGCGTCCCAGCTTCAGCATATCCGCTGATGGTCAACAAGAACGTGGCCAGGGCCAGGAAGGTGACCGTGCGAAACGCCACCACGGATACGCGGATAGAGTAACAGATGCGATTGAGTCATCTGTATTCACATTGCCGCCAGCTCCCAGCAGTTTCCAATCCAACCAGCATCATCTTCCTAGGGGTAATATCAATATCGAGCCTCCCGGCGTGGAAAGTAATTTCTATGACGCCTGGCAATTACTCGACTCCACAGAATACAACATAGCCGATATGAACCCTTCCATAGGTGGACTAGATGAGCAAACTTTGCAGGACGCGTTCGCCTCCCTCAGGCAAGATATGGATCATAGGAGTCTAGGATTGTATACAGGGGCATCAGGTAAGGAGGCCTCGTTGCCATCGGATTTCCAGCACACCCGCAGCGCCGATTAATCACTCCAGGTTTACTGGGTCAAGAGACGAATAATTGTGACCGTCCTCCAATTTAGGGGCTTTCAGACAGTATATAGCATGTCAGCCACGTTAGAACACCACGAAACCCAACGTTCACTCAAATTAAAGCAATCGAACTCAAAAGGTCGGACCGCCAAAAGGCCAGAATAACTATTTATGAGTCCCATGAGCCTGTTATTCCCAACTCCTATTAGCGAAGCTAGAAAGTCACATTTTAAGCTGCTTTGCAGGCTCACGTTATGACCATTCCCCAGCTGAAAAGTAGGATGACAATCCATCGTGATAGACGGATAAGCCTAAGAACAATGTTGCTGGGAACCTCGAACAAGGTATGGCACAGAGAACAGTGTAACTGCAGCAGTATATTGACTTCCGCTCATACTCAGACTAGTTGTAAGGCCAGCGACTTTCGCATTGCCAGCTGAGCGAAATATGGTGAATAAAGTTCGGACAGTGCAAAAATTGCATGGACTTGCTGTTCGTTCGGTCTACAAAAGCAATCAGACAATTGGCAGCAAACGCCAATCAACCTTCCAGATAATCCTTCTCTACTCCTCCGATAGCCCGATAAGTACCGGCGGCTGATTGGCACCATCGTGTTTCATTGAGAGAGATTCGTTCACCACCGGACTGACAGACTTGTTGTTGTCATAAGTGCCATCCCTACATGGTTTTCGCTTTGCTTCTCGCTGGAAGTGTGCTTTATGAGAGAGACCTGTGATCTATCAAAAAATACTAGAATATTTTAGGTGTAGGATTCCTGGAGAACGAATCTATCATGTGGATAGATAAGTGATATACGTAATGAAAGATTGCATGTAGTTTATTGTCTTTCCCTACTGTAGAAGCTGATACGCTTGTGGGGGTGCCCACCAGGAGCTGACAATGCGAGGCAATCCAGCCAAACAGTGGTGGACAAAGCGACCAAATTCCCCCATGGGGTTCCGTAGGGACAGTGGTGGGAAGGATGCCTGCCGCTGCATAGTAGCACACATGGTGTAGGCGAATAAGCATCCGCCGAAAGAACGATTGACCTGTATAGGATTCCGCGGAAAAGAGAATCCCGAGACGAGTGGTGGCCATGTCCGGGAGCTATCTCCCTGTTAGCGGGCATGCCAAGGAGCTTATTCTGACGAGATCCGACTAGGTTCGCTCACTATCAGTATGCCACTAACGATGAATTGAACTTGCCAGAAGAATTCTAATCTACCAGGAGTGCCTATGTTGAGAACAGCAAAAAAAAGAAAAGGGGAAAAAATCATCAACTGGCCCTTAGTTGAGCAGCGACTCCAAATCAAATGCTTTACACAACGACTCTGCCATGGGTATCCGGTTCGCGATGGAGAGAGATATTAATGTGCTAATCCGACAATGTTCCCCGAATCAATTTTGGTGCTAGATGAATAGATACAGCCCGATAATTATCGTTTGAATCTTGATACAACCATGAATACAGTATGGGATTAGAAGGTAGTGAAAAAAACCAAAATCAGGGCCATGAAGCTGATCCAATGATGCATCACACCCATCTCTATTCCCACACCGCTCGTCAACGCAGGTGTGGTGGCGGCGGCGTTGGGGCTGAATGGCAATGATCAGCTTCATATCATATTGTAGGAGAATGAGGAGATGTAATACTGACCGACAAGTCCAACCTGTTGGCTGGTTGATCTCTCCAACCCCTGTCCACGAAGCTACATGTGGGTACGGACAAATGGGACGCTGCCTTAGAACGCCAGAGGAGGTGTTCAATGGCGACTTCCATGTTGTGGCCACTATGCTCTGGATGGGCTTGTCCTTTTCGACCCAGTCAACAAGAGCCAGCAAAAGGTCGTGCTGAGCATCCTCGAATCCAGAGACCGAGTAACTATCGCTGGCCGCAACTTGACCAACATGCCATGGCGCATCCACCCCCGTGCCGGAGCAATGATCCATGCCAGGAATCTCGAAATAGCGGAAGAATTCTCCGCTGACATTTGTGCCCATCGTTTGGACCAGGCGATCGTAGTAGAGACTGGATCCTTTGGCTGGTACAAGGGGATCTGCCAACCCTTGGTACAAAACGAACTTGCCGCCACGATCTTTAAATTGAGATATATCGTAGATATCTGCCATCGGTTGACCGGGATCCAGTTCAAGTGCTTGAAGTGCTATGCTGTCTGTGTACTGATCTATCGTGAAATTCGCCATGTCGAGAAAGTTTCGTACGTATCCCAAGCCATACGGATTTCCTGTCGAATCGTTCAACACAGATGCCATGCCGCTCTCGGTGCCAGTGATCAGTCCAGGATAAACATAGACTCCGCTCTCGGTTACATAGTCCTCATACACCTTCTTGAGAAGGTCAATCTGCGGGCTAGTCAGGCAAGTCGACGAGTTGGCATTGGAATTGCCACACGTGAGAGCAGAATAATCGACCGTGCATTTGCGAGGGTCGCTGATGATGCCATCAGTAACACCGTCTACCCCATCGCATTGTTTCATCACTGCTGTTGCGAGTCCGGGCAGCTGTTTCCAATCAATGTGTGCCGGGGTGTCGGCCGGCCAGTTATATTGGCTAACCTTGGCAAGCCAGCTGACGATGCCATTCAGCCACCAAGACGGGGCGCCAGCCATGACACCGTCAAAGCTCTGAGGGAAATTCTGCATTTCCCTCATACCCTGGCGGCCGCCGGTCGAGCATCCGCTGTAGTACGAATAAGAGGCTGGTTTGGAGTAGTACGCAGCTACCAACTTCTTTCCTAACTCCACCGATCCATGAACAGACCGCCAACCCCAATCGAGTCTTTTCTCCGGTTGATATAATGCCCATGTCATATCTGATGCCGAGGAGTTGTGACCAGTGTCGGTGGAGAGGGCAGCGAAACCGTACCGGGACCCTGCGGCGATATCAACCCAGTTGATGCCGCCTGCGTATCCGCCATTTCCCACAGTGAGCAGCCTCGAGTTCCAGTTTTGCGGAAGTAAAATGCCGAACCGATAGGCCGAGCTCTGCGGAGAGGTTACATTGATTGTGACAGCGCATAAGGCAGGCAAGTTTGTTGCATTGGTAGGGTAGCCTGCATTCAAAGTCCCTTCCCCATACGAGCTTCCTGAAGAAACCCAGTCGATTTTCTCAACCGTTGCGTTGGCGGGTAGAATCGATGCAAAGGTCGATGCCGTACATAAGAGATCCGAGGCGTTGGTCGACATATTGAAAGTGATGGCTTTTAAGCTAAAGAGCACGATGTGAGACAGTTGGTTACTTTGCTGTGTAATGGAACGAAAATACTTACAATACACAACTACGCCCAAATCTTCCAATACAATTGGTTTGAACACTTGAGGCAAATTGAGCGACTCCGTCTAACAAAGGCCGAAAGGTGACCTTTATAAGGAGACCTTTACACGATTATGTGGTCTTATGAAGTACATAGTGCCGGGCAAAGCTGTTTGTTTGTGATTATGATGTAGAACTACCTTGTCAACAAGGGCCCATCAATTTTTCGAGCTATAGTAGCTCAGAAAGTGGTGCCAATACGGACTTGTAATCCCGAGGAGGTCTTGCACATGAACGACCATGCAGTTCCAGGGGTTGGCCGTTATACCGGCGAAATAAATAGAGGATCCCGGTTTTTTAATCTCCGTATGGACTTTATACAAGTCTAAAAGCCCATAATTTTAATTGTGATCTGCAGTCACTACACATGAATTGCTTGGAAGTGGCTTGGACCGACTAGCAACGATTCTTTCATGAATCCTCATGGCCGTGCTGAGTCTCGCAACCGGGTGGTCTTTAGAGCCCAAGATTTCAAATTGTTTCTCTCTTCTGCCCTTTTTGTTTTTAACCAGCTGGAGATATCTGGAAGGATAGATCTGGAAGATCATTTTCCACTTTGGATCCGTTGCTTGTGACCTCGGTCCGAGATGGAAGCACCAAGAATAATCATTATCGGCGGCGTGGCCAGGACTGGCTGCGACATTCTGGCGTACCACCCTGTTTACAAGGTGGAAAGATTTCACCTTGACCGGCAGATCAAGCACTTGGATTCTTCGTAGGACATGGAGAAAGGCCAGAAACGCAAACCCTCTTGCCTGGCTGCTCGCTTTGGCCATCGCGGCTCAAGCAACACAGAGCAATCCTTCATCAGTCCCCCGATATGCAACCGCACTCCTAGAGTATTTCAAGGCATGGAGGCAAACGGGTTTTCTAAGCGAAGCGATGTAGCGAACATGTTTAAATTTAAAGGCGGCTAATTAATTTAACGGGATTATGACATTAATCGTAACCTCCCGTATTATAATAGCATTATACGCATTTATATTAAATTAAAAGCTGCTAATTAAAAAGTATAAACGTAATATACGGTTAAATGATGAGCGGGCAAAAAGGAGAATAATTATATAAATAGCTATCCTTCCTTAATTTTTTTTTAATATTAATTATCTGCTTTAAATATTACTGCTTAATTCGTAATTCCTCGAGGTTCCCATTAATTCGTCGTAATCATCACTGTTTGCCGTTCATTTCGAATTACCGACTTTTTTATGGTACACCTATTGAGTTAACTATCTTGTTAGATATGGTGACTTCCGTCACTGGACGAAGCGTCCTAGAATTCAAGATGCGATTCGATGCTCCGATAAGGGATGTTTATTTCTTTGGCGTTAATTTCTTTTTGGACACTTTATGGAACTCTAAGTAAAATTAAGTCCCGTAGCACGGAACAGATAAATAACACGTCTAGATAAACGCGACTGAAAGGGCCGATGATAGCCTCCTGTCGCAGTGGCTGATGTCAATCGCGGTGAAAGCGGTATGTCTGGTGCTCTTTCCCTAAGAAATCGCCTCCAGGGAGCCAGACACAAAAGTGATGGTATCGAACTTGCATGTGATCCATCTCTTTTGGCGCACAATCCTTGCAACCCTTTGTCTCCAAAAATGAGACGAGCTTTCAGTCATCCGTGTTCCCGCCCCTTTGGGCAACGCCACTTTTTATACGTTAAGAGGTTCTCTTAGTCCATCGAGCAGCTGTAGGAAAACCGACAACATAGATAGGAATTCTATAACAACCTTAACCTCTGTCATTCATAAACTTCTTGTCATGGTCTTATGATGCCTCAAATGTGGACATTGTGAAATGCGTCTGAAGCTAACCGTAGCGTAATCCGTTGTCATATCCTACTTTGTAGATTCGCAACAACTCAAACGCGCCACGGACTTGGGTGCTGACTTGTTAGGCCGTACATAATTCTTTCTACTCCTGACTGCCTCTGTTCCGCCTCAATTGGCTTTGGTCGTATACACGTTGCACAATACACATTTCTCTAAGCTACGGCGAGACCGCCGTATTTCGCACATCTTAATTGGTGAAATTAGTCTCAAGTCAGAAAAACGGGTTAGTAAGGTTTTGATACGACAGTATCGATCCGGAAAGCCAATGAAATACGAGCTATAAAGTATGCATTGATCCTTGCATGCGCTAACTACAGCCGTGTTAGGGATCCTGATTCGGTGTTCCCGTGTTTCGCCGACCCCAATCACAGTGACTAAAACCCGTGCATAACATGCTTTGTGTGCGCGAGAAAACAAGCTCAACATACTAGATACGTCTCGTACTATTGTGCCACGAGAACCGTATTCTACACTGCGGTCAATGCGGTTCAGTGAGGATCCCAACTAATGTTTCTTGGCACAAGTCCCTGGTTTCAATTGCTGCAATCACCCCCTTTCCATCCACTGCCCTGAGCGGAAGTAATACTTGAGCATGATGAAGTCATGCACTTGGACCGATTTTCAAATGCCAAACTTTGCCACGACACCTTATCCCATCCTTCTTCCAAATCCAATTATCAGGAAGCATTCTGGAACCAACGGCGCTATATTTCGTTCTAAATTAAAGACTCGAGATGGAAGATGCCACCAAGGTCCAAGGTAAATTTCGTTCCAAGATTCGAGGACCTTCAAGCGTCGCGCCCGAATTCTGGCAGTTTTAGAACTTTGCGCAATGACTTGCTAACGAGATCTAGGTAACGGGCGTATCGAGGTGAATTTGACGCCAGCAGTCTATAGGAGACTGTCACGATTGTTTCCCGACCCCAAACCGGCTCCAAGTGATAACGAAGGCCACGAAGAAGACCCTCCACCAAGCTATGACGATGTGACGTCGACAAGATTTCCGACGCCGCTGAATATAGTCATCCAAGTCGTTGGAAGCCGTGGCGATGTTCAACCCTTTATCGCCCTCGGAAATGAACTTCAAAGACACGGTCATCGGGTTCGGTTAGCCACGCATGATGTTTTTCACGATTTTATCAGGAATTCCTCTCTTGAGTTTTTCCCCATTGGCGGCGACCCCGCAGACCTTATGGCATATATGGTCAAGAACCCGGGCCTCATTCCTAGCATGAAGAGCCTTCGAGCCGGTGACATTCAGCACAAACGTCGGATGGTGGCTACAATGCTCGATGGATGTTGGCGATCATGTGTTCACCCAGATCCAGACACGGGAATACCATTTGTGGCTGACGCAATAATCGCAAATCCCCCAAGCTTCGCCCACGTTCATTGCGCCGAGGCTTTGTCAATACCCTTACATTTAATGTTCACCATGCCCTGGAGCCCGACTCGGGCCTATGCCCACCCTCTCGCTGATATCAAGATCAAAACTCCGCATATCAGTCCCGAGGCCGCCAACTATTTCTCGTACGGTGTCGTTGAATGGATGACTTGGCAGGGGTAAGCGGATCTCTGAACAAGCTGGTTTATGGAATTGACCGAAATGCAGATTAGGTGACGTAATTAACGAATGGAGAGAGAGTATCGACCTGGAAGCTGTTCCATTTTCCGAGGGTCCTAGTCTGGTCCAGACGCAAAAAATACCATTCACATACTGCTGGTCACCGTCGTTGGTACCAAAGCCATTCGATTGGCCAGGTCACATTGGTGCGATAACCCCTAACCCCCCCCCCCCAACGGGGCGCGAGAAGATTTGCGTCCAATTTCTAACTGGATTTCTTATTTTCTTCCTCAAGATGTCTGTGGGTTCTTTTTTCGAGAAGCCCCAATATTTGAACCAAATAAGCAGCTGCGAGCCTTTTTGGATGCTGGACCTCCTCCGGTCTATATTGGATTCGGTAGCATAGTGATCGATGACCCGAGTCGATTGACTGCCATGATTGTAGATACGGTCAAAAGGACTGGCATCCGTGCGCTTATTTCTAAGGGCTGGAGCAAGCTTGGGTTTGTGGATGGTCAAGAAGTTCAGAGTGAGAGTATTATGCTCCTCGATGATTGTCCCCATGAGTGGCTGTTCCAACACGTCGCCGCTGTAATACATCACGGAGGTGCTGGAACAACTGCATGTGGTCTGCGATATGGTGTGCCTACTACCATTGTCCCATTCTTTGGAGAGTAAGTCTATTGAAACTATGCGAAGGCATGAGTGAGAAGATGCAACAGGGGTGGGCTTTCGGTCGATTTGGCCAGATGCTGACTTGAACACAGTCAACCATTTTGGGGGGAAATGGTAGCTGCTGCTGGCGCCGGCGCGAATCCTATTCCCCATCAAGCTTTAACCTGTGAGATTCTAGCCGATGCAATTAGGTTCTGCCTAAGACCTGAGACTTTTGCGGCGGCCAAGAAAATTTCTGACAGAATGCGAGCTGAGTTGGGCGTCGTAAGAGCCGTGCAGTCTTTCCATGCTCAGCTTCCCCCTGTGGAAAAGCTACAGTGCGACATACTTCCAGAACAGCCTGCTGCCTGGAACTACCGGGGCCGCCGGCAAGATCTCAAGCTCAGCAAGGTTGCATATGAGATTCTAAAAGAACACCTCAAACTTGGGCGCAAATCCGTTACTTTGTGAGTAACGTTCCACAAGAGTCAAGTCCGCGGTCGCGAACAGACCGATTGTACTAATAATCCACGAGTTAAAGATACGAAACAAAACCCGTCACCATCGAGCCAAGGAGATGGGATCCTGTGACGTCAACAACATCCGCGGCTATAGGATATGGCGTTGACATGACAAAGGCAGTGACTGATGTCGTTGCAAAGCCCGTACGAGTATACAGAAAAGCGGCATTCGCCAGAAAACAGCAGCGGTCGCTGGAAGATACGACAGCCGTGGCACCCGGAACTGTCCAGCAAACGACATTAAACGACCTTGGCAAGACTCAAGCTGCGTCTCGGCCAGAACTGCCACGCCCCAGAAGCTGCGGAGCCCCAATTGGGGCAGCAGCTGTGGCTTGTGCCTCGAGCTTGGGCCATATCCTTACTCTTCACACGAAAGGCGTTTTCGTCGATGTCCCTCTTGCGACTACTGAAGGGCTTCGCGCTATCCCCAAGCTCTATGGCCATGAAGTTCGCGACCATGGCCCTGTTCGTGATTGGAAATCTGGAGCAGAGGTTGCTGGCAAGAATTTTGCCTATGGCTTGACTGAAGGGATTGTGGACTTGTTTGTTGAACCAGTTCGAGGCGGTCGTCAAGAGGGGGCCCTCGGTGTGGCAAAAGGCCTCGGGAAAGGCCTCGTGAGTATCGGAACCAAGATACCATCAGGCAAGTTCATGCAACTGATTTGTATCATGGCCTACAACTAACGTCTTATCCTAGCTGGACTTGGCTTGCTAGCTTATACCGGGCAAGGCATGTACAAGAGTTTGCGGACTGCGTCCAGGGCTGAGAGAAGACACGTAATAAAAGACGCTCTTCAAGCCGAAGGTCAGCATCTGTTGAACGCTCGAAATGACCGAGAAAGCTTGACTGCTCACGTCTTGGATACGTTTCGCTCGAGGTCGCAGAGGGAGTGAAAGCAATGCTTCAAAATTTTGATATAGTCAACGATGATTCCTGGATCGTAATTAGCTTCCGGATATAACAGACAGGAAACGACCTCTAGATTCTTTTGTCGCCAATATTGGAAATTGATTTCTTGAGGGGCAGCTCGTCGACCTCTGGCTGCAAGAGGAAAATATGTAGAATATCTTGAGTGTAGATTTCTAGAACGTCAAAGGAGACATATGTAGTATAAATCATTGGTCTGCAGTCACAAACTACCACTTTGCAGACTGCCTTATCCTTAAAGACGCTGCTGTGGACGGCAGGGCGTGCTCTGATCTCCGCCCACAGAATATCTCAGGCTGGAAGGTAATGGTAACGGCCTGTGCGCAGCCTAGATATGCTATTCTTAGAGGGAGTTATTAGTGACCTTGGCGGTCCAGCGCGCTTGGATCCACCATGGTTGGTCGTGGAACTGCACAACCCCCCCAGTATCTCGCTGCGCAAACTTCCTTTAAGACGGTCGCAATCTCCTCCAAGTACCAAGTTTTCTCAACATTAGCAACCCTGCTTTCCTCCGCCGGTTTGCGCAGCCTCCAGTATCTATCTTTGTCGTCTCCTTTCCGCCGTGACCATGAGGAATACTACCCGGATGCGGCAATTGGATAGGAAATCGAGGAATGGATGCCGAGGTTCGCAATCTGTCCACTTATGATCTGCTATATGCCCACAATGCTTATTTACCTGGGTGATAAAGAATGTAAGCGTCGCCATATTAAATGCGACGAGAAGCGCCCAACTTGCGCTGGCTGCGATGCCACAAACCGTCGATGCTCATTCCTCGATTTGCATCCCGCCTGCCCTCCGTCACCACCGCCCTTCGCGACTCCGTCCTCCTTGTTTTCAGCATCCCCAGATTCCCTGTCCCATAAGGCGTTCACACCTGCGACCCACGTCGCAGACAGTAGCGCTAGTCGCCCGGGCCCAGCGCCCCAGCCGCCATCTCTCTTCGATATACGGTATCTCGTCCTGCTTCATCATCTTGAAACGCATATTATAAGGCCGTCAAGCCTATTATCGTGGATTGGTACCGATGCCGCCAAGATTTACTCCGAAACCATATTCGAGGCTGCTGTTTTGGCGCCATATCTTATGCATGAGTTGCTGGCTTTTTCCGCGCTGCATCTTAGCACAGAGCAAACCAACGCAACGAAAAAGGCAAAATTCCTACAACAAGCCGCAGAGCTGCAAATAAGCGCTTTAGCGCTTTTTAACGCAGTTAAGCATGACGTACGTAATGAGAACTGTATGGCCCTATTCGTCTTCTCGTCACTTTTGGGTATGCATACCCTTTTCGACGCCACAACCGCATATGTGGACTTTGGCGGCATGCTCGAAAAGATAATTTATTCTCTAAAGTTGTATCGAGGAGTAAGCGCTATTATTAGTCAGAGCTGGCATATTTTGCGCTATTCCGAATTACGACTTATTATTAACGCTATCGAGACTGGTGACGAGCTATACCGCCATCGAGTCGAGAATACCAATAATAGATGCGAGAAGCTATTAACTTTGGTTCAAAATTCCAGCGATCGACTTGGACCCGGGCCTTATAAGGCCTGCCAAGAAGCTGTCCAGGCTCTGCAATGGACATTCGGTGTGCGAAATACAGTTTCTGAACCGTATCCTGTGCACATTACCCTGGCTTGGCCTGTCCGAGTCTCGGCCGATTTTATTAATCTTCTTAAACAACGCCAGCCAATACCTCTGATCATCCTCGCTCATTGGGCTGTTCTGCTACATTTCAATCGCAAATTCTGGGTTTTCGGAAATGCTGGTTGTCACATAATAAATCCTCTCCTAATTCACCTTGGTTCTTATTGGGACGATTGGCTAGAACTTCCTCGCAGCATAATTCAACAAGACTGATATTACCAATGATTTCTTGATATTACTTCATACAATGTGGACGATATGCCATTCATGTCTTCATTACGGCTATTATATCAGCTTGTTGCCCTTCCTGGCCAGACAGGATCAATTGCCGAAATATCCTCTTGCCAATCTTGCCAGTACGAGCCGAGATGCCTAGAGATCAATTGCTCAAGTATAGCTCCGCTGCTAGTGAAAATCCAGAAACCACTACGACGAAGCATGGCGGCGTAGTGTGTGAGAATAATAAGCGCCTCAGGTTGACGTTGGTCTATGAGGTTGATAAGGGAATCCGAGATTAACGCCGGCCAAGCTAGGAGAAGATGCACTGCGCCATCTGTGTGCCCGTGTAGCTGTCGCCTCATATCAGACACCCACTGTAAACGCTTGATCGCGTCCTTGCATACCTCCACATTTATTGGATTGAGGCCGGTAGTCTCTAGACGACATAACAGCTCGTCATAGTCATGCCCACCACACTCCTGCGCCACGACTACGGCAGCTGCAATGATGGTCTGGTATAGAGGCGCGAACGGTGAGTCTCTGAGGTTCGAATATTGCTGTACCTGGCGTCGACATTCTTGCTGCGACCGGATGAAAAGTACAAAACGATCCAGGACTTCGGAAAATTCGTCGCGAAATGAAAGTGTATCGCACAGGCTGTGAAGACCTGAGAGCGTATAGAATAGTGAAGTGTATAGACCGTTGTTTTCGGAAGCAATTTCCGTCTGAAAAGCCTCAAGAGCACGATCGCGTAGTTGTGCAGCCTGGCAGAGACGCATGTCTTTCCTGGATAATTGTGGTGCTAATGTACTCAGGTGCAGCGCAGAAATGGCAAGAAGTTGATCCATAAGGTGCGGCATCATCAGTGCATTCTGGAATAGGTCACGGAACAGAGAGTGATCATGCCCGCCATGCGCTGATAGTATGTCGGTCATGTTGTTATCGAGATGATGAAATAACTCCAAATGGTCTAGAGAATAGGCCTCGCCAGGGAGTGTAAAGCCGGAGGGACGGCGTTCCCTGGACCTCGACGAGGGAAGACCAAGCCCAGGCACATGCATGACGAGATGGGTGCGAAAGGGCTAATTTCTGACCGATCCTTGCAGTTGACTACTGGGAGTAATTGTGTGTTGATAGATACGTACTGGTATTTGATACTCAACGACGTGATGAATGAGTTACTAATAGATCTGTATCATCATGGGCAGAGAAAATGGTGAGATTGGTCTTTTATTTATCTGAAATTGGAATCCAGTCAGTATTTGATTAAACGACATGACCAGAGACTGCGTATATGGCCGTATACAGGTTGTGGCCAGAGCTATGAATACGCATTTAGACCACGAGCCGATTGACATGGGTTAGTGCGTATATCTTTTGTTTATGCATCTCGAGCTGCCTATTGAGATAGTTAACAAACTCCACGCCAAGGAGGAGCAAAAACATTTTAGTGCGCGCGTCGGAAGCTGTGCGATTCGTGAGTTCGCCATCGTATTGAGTGACGGATGTGTCGAAAGCCGTTGTGCCAAGGATTTGGCCTTGACGATCGTCTTACCACGGCAATGTCAAGGGTACCTACCCTTGGTACCGCTGCACCAAACACTTGAAGAGATGTCCCCACCGTCGAAAAACTCCACTGGTATTATCTAGTACTCCCTCTGACTAGGGATGGATCTATAGCTATTGCTCATTTCTTATCCCTAGACGCTGGCGCGCAAATTTAGAACCTGGTACGCGCTTTTAGAAGTTGGCAATTCCCTTATTCGATGCATTACGGTTGTGCTAACCAAAATGCCTAAGTCGCTAGCCAGCTGGCCAATTGTCCGGCAAATCATGTAGAGCGAATGAGAAGTAGAACTACTGATTAAAATGGCATGGATACATTATGATTCGTACATTCTCACCAATCAAACGCTTGTAAATACGCTTCGCTCGACCCGCCAGCAGTTGGTGTATGCTGTGGGCCCCTACTGCATACGTACAATTAGAAATCCTCGCATCTAGCGACCCCCTATCAAGTTCTATACGGAGGCTAGCGGCTGAAGTTACAGGGGTGTGCCGCAAATTGAAAAGAGTTCATTGTGCATCGTACCTTAGCCCGACTGAGTCAAGTCCTGACCGTAAAGAACAGCGCTTCATTGGTAGGAAACTCGCGGCTTATGTCAGCCAAAAGTATAAAGAAATTGCTGAGTCCCGAACCGGACCGTCCCTGTGCATAAGGTCACATACTGTAAGGTGGTACATGGTGGACAATAGTGGGGCATGTTCTTAAGCATCATTACTAGTTGGTCGAACCAGTATAATACAACACTTTCTTTCAATACCCCGTATAACCGTGCTCATTCGCTTTAGTTTGGCGGGGCACGTATGCCATTACATAGTCCATTGAGGGTCGTACTGTGCACCTCACGAACTATGAGGTAACATCAAATATGGTGGCATAAGGGCCAGGGGCCGGCGATTCCGAGAGAGTCAGCATGGTCGTAAGGTGGCCTGTCTACCAGGAACGTGATTCATATTTATATTCGAGCAGGACATTGGATGTGTTGTGTAGTTCGTAGGGCGTATGCATTTTCTTTTTGTTCAAATGAATTTACCCTAATAACCATGGCAGCGGCTTCGAACATGTCTCTAGCAGGTCAATGTACATCTGCCACGTTTGGTACGCCAAATGTATTTGGTGCCGAAGTGCTTGCCATCCAAGCAGCCCTCGTCACTGGCTACTCCAGCAACGTTCCACAAGCCTACAACTTCAACCATGGGCCCATTACCGTCACGAACGCCAGTTTCTGTAACGTGACTGTAACATACACCCATCCCAGCCAGAACGACACCATCAACGTGGAAGCTTGGCTGCCGACAGAACTGGAATCGGCGACTCCAAGCTCAAGGCGGTGGTGGATGGGTGTCTGGTCGTTTCCTCCTTTCTGACTATGGCATGGCCGGCGCCATCGGGGAAGGGTACGCGACTGTTACGACTGACGCAGGCGTCACCCACGACCTGACCCAGACGCCCGCGAAGTGGGCACTCAACAGTCCAAGCAATGTGAATCTATACGGACTGCAGAACCTAGGTTCTGTCTCGCTCAACGACATGGCAATATTTGCCAAAGATTTGATTCAGAGCTACTATGGCGAGCGTCCTGCATATTCATATTGGAATGGTTGTTCCCAAGGCGGCCGGCAAGGAATGATGCTTGCGCAACGGTACCCTGATGCTTTCGATGGTATCGCGGCGTCGGCGCCAGCTTTCAATTGGCCTGAATTCATTGGCTCCGGGCTTTGGCCAGACCTCCAGATGTGGTGGGCTGGAAAAGCGCCTGATTTGTGCGAGCTAGATGCCATTCAAACGGAAGCTATCATTGCATGTGATTCTCAGGATGGTATTCCCGACGGCCTTCTCTCAGAATCGAATAATTGTATCTTCAATCCTTTCTCGGTTGTCGGAAAGTCTTTCACCTGCGCGTCGACAAACAGCACAATGGTCATTAGCGAGATAGCTGCTCAAGTTGCAAATGCCTCCTGGACCGGTGCTACAAGCACAGAAGGAGAGCTTCTCTGGTATGGACCTAATGTAGGAACAGATCTAACAGGGCACACATATGGAGAAGGCTCCGGGATAGTGACAACTACATGTACCAACGGCACATGTTCAGTAACCCCATACTCCCTCGCTGAGCAATGGACAACATACTTTGTGGAAAAGAACGCCAGTTTCGACGTAAGCAAAATGACTGCCGAAGACTTCCAGACGGCCTTCCATCAGGGGGTAAACCAGTTCACGTCCATGATTGGATCGAATGACCCAGACTTGCGTGCATTCCACAAGAAGGGACGAAGGATCATGGGTTTCCACGGCCTCGTAAGTAGTCCTTGGTTGCCGTGCCTCTTATCATTTCACACCTTGTCTGACTTTAAACTTTCCATAGGCCGACGGAATAATCCCTACCAAAGGCACCGAACACTACTACCGCCGAGTAACAGAAATCATTGCGGAAGTACAAGATTTCTACCGCTACTTTCCAGCACCTGCAGTTGGTCACTGCTTCGGTGGACCTGGTGGTGTGCCTACCACTCTGTTCGATTCACTGCGAGCCTGGGTCGAGAACGGAACAGTGCCAGAACACCTGCCCACCACTTTCACTGACTCTTCAAACAAGACAAACACTAGAATCCTGTGTCCATATCCCAGAAAAAGTGTCTACGATGAGTCATGTGGAGATTCTACAATCGCCGAGTGCTTTTCCTGCGTCTGAGGGAACCCTTGGACAAGCTAGGAGTCTATGGATTGTACTGACCGCGGTACAGCCCGGGCAGATTTTATTTTTGACCAAATTCATTCCAATCATGTATTAATGTTATTTCCACAACTCAATTGCATTCCATGTGCCTTTTGACTAGATACCAAGAAGCCTGCGCAGTAAGTCTCGCTGGCGGGGTTAATCTCTTGTATGGTCTAGCGTAACAACCACTCGATCATACATGCACTGATAAATTCTGCACCCGAGGAACCCAACAACTAATCTTGGATCCTCACGTGAACCGGATCCGCTTCGTGGATACGCGCCGTACTATGCAAATGCTCAAGCTCGCCATCGTATTAATCGTATTGCTGAACCAGAGCAGCCCATTTCAACACGTGCTGATCCGGCTAGCTCACCTGTCCCACATCATCCAATACAAAAACAGCCGTGTTGGATTTTTTCGAAGGATGAAGATTGTCTCTGATCAGCAACAGTGGGTGACCACAAAAAACGCCCAACGCGAATTCGCGTGCATCGCACCATACAATTCAGAAATGTTGATTTATACAGATTTTGTAATTAGCGTTATTATTACAGTGGCTTTGAACGCATTCAGTGCAGCGGATGCGAGGCTATAACTTTTATTGCGTTAAATTTAAACGTTCGCTGAAGTTCTTTGTACCTATATTCTTGGATTCTGCTAAAATCATACCGTGGGTAACTTTGCAACGATACGCTGCACATTGAGTTTTCAGAACCAGCGCACCAATAAGTTATGACATCTCTGAGCTGGAGATCATCCTTGCATTCAAGTCCAATTATCCTCGTTAGCGAAAAAGCAATGATCTTTGCTAAACGACCAGATTTGTTTTTGAAAGAAAAAGAGAAAAAAAAACTAAAGTCATAGAATCTAGCCTAATGTTTAAACTTGCTACTATGAAAGTCAGAGGAGCTTGTGATCTGGGGTTTCGATATCACCTGATGGGAGCGGTGTATGGGCATGAATAAGTGATTGAAAGTAGTCTGATTCTGTACAAATGAAATGGAGGGTAGGTCGTATCTATATACCCATCCAGGAGCTCCTATGGAGCTTGTCTAGTCTAGTTTGAAGATCCCATTGAGAACTGTAAGTGTATGGAGTGAATGTCCCGTCACAGCTACAGCCATCCGATACCTTATATTCCGGAAGCCATGAAGGCACCGTGCCCTTTTGATTATAAGAATTTAAATCCAAATTATCTAGCTAGCATTAATAAGGCCGAGCGCTCTTGAGTGGAATTGGGATATCCTCCGGCATACTATCATGAGGCAATCCCAATACCTCTTGTGAGTCGACCGGCTCTAGCTCGCTGAAAAATTGTAGTGAATCAGGATAGTAAATGAGAAGTAGCGCCATGACACCGGCCATTAGGATGGTATCGAAGACGTACAATGTCCACTCATGGGACATCGGATATCCATCTGTACCGAGAACGAATTCCAAGACACGGAATACACTCCGTACCATGATGAGAGCACTTACACCATAGATCATGTACAGACACTCTCTCCAGCCCGTCCACGAATGGCCCGATGACTTGGAGCTACGCCGATCGTATCGGTATTGGAATGTGATGGCCGTAATACCGAAATATCCGAACATGATAATCTGCAAGGCCAATCCGCCAATGACGATCCATTGACCCATAGAGGCCAGCTTGTCAATCGCCATAAAGCTCGCACCATTTCCTTGGACAAGGAAAGATATCACATCACCCCATACGAATATTTTCGTGAGTCTTGACACTCGTACCAGGCTGCAATCCTCGCCGTGCGCGGCACGTATAATACGGCCTAGGATCATGTAGATTGTTGCGGCAAAGAGGACAGGAGGCAGCAAGGTGAAAATGCTCTGGATGATGTATGGTAATAACTTGTCCGTGGCATTATATGCCATTGTCCTTCCAACGTAGCCCATAACTTCCACTTGACGGGATTAGCATGACGATATTGATTGCATTGACAAAAACCTACTAAGACCTCCGATCACTATTGGTGTGCAAAACCACAAGCGCTTCTGGTATAGCCGCCAACCATGTGCGAAAGTTAAAATCAGGAAGATGATGATGAAAATTATGGCAGCGACCAGGGAAGGAACATAATGCCAAAGATAATAATTCCCCCGAAACGGTTTGAGTTCGGCCATGGCTTTTGTTAGCGGGCAGAGTCGATTCTAAATAGTTCAATAGGGTTGCAATCTTTAAGCTGATAGTTGATAATTGAAAAGTCAACGCTTGGAAATGCAAACGCCAAATTCCTATTAGCTAAGATAAAATGGATAAATGAGAAAAAATAGACAGCGTGTTGCTTTAATAAGTGACGATGCTGGCATTTAACTGCCTTTATTAACACTTTGTCTTTTATTGCGCTTCCTATAATACGATGAAGCTACGCCCTATAGGCAAGCGCAGCACTGGGTTAAGCCGGGCCTAGGGCCGCTCTCAAATTGCTTGCGACGTATCCAAACCATCCGCTTATGCGAGTCATGGTTCGTCATCTCCGGACCAATTATATCGGGCAAAGTACGAGAAAGCGCTCCTTTAATACGGGTTCCTTGAGCGTCCGCTAACCCACTTATAATGTAAAACGCGATTAGTGTCGGAATTTGTGCGGCCAGGCTAGTTAGGCGGTGGGATTCAATTTGGTTTACGGCTTTGGAGTCGTATTATGTACGTGTTCGTACCGCAGCACCATTACGTGTGCCTAGCTCAAATTAGAGCCTCCTTCATCACCATCGTCCCTTAACCGTTGCTATGCCTACGACCCATGTTTATGGATATGGTACTATACCCCTAGAAGACCTTTCCATAAATATTCAGGGTTTTTATAGAGCTTAATGCAATCACGATCGCATTGCCTGAAAAATGCAATACTATCCACTGCTAAAAGAAGAAAGGTATATCAAGACTCTTCCGTAATGAAATGTCATATTGTTGCGCTGTACCAATAACCACCATTAGACTAGTTCCTAGTGTGGAGCTTCACGTTTTGTTCACCTAATATAGTGGTCTGGTGCGACACATATTCTATTGCAAAGGCCGCTTTATCTAAATAGGAGAACCGTTGCAGAGGAGACTTGGTGATGATAGTTTGATGCTATTACAAGATCCAGGGATGTGTGCCATATTGACCTCGTGACGCCCATCTGGGCGATATGCGATAAGGCCAAGGCGACATGAAATATTCACGGATCTGAGGGTAACTTGGACAATGTTAGATGGCATAACATACGAGTCGCACTTGCCGCAATGGAGGTGCCGGAAGAGGGAAAAAGAAAAGGAAGCCCCTCGGTGTCGCAAGAGCACTTCGAAGAAATGTTTTCCGCCCTGGCCAAAGTCTAGTGATGCCATGCGCCCCTATGGCTTTCAGATATGTGCCAATGAAGGAGGTGCGTTCGTTTGGCAGTCAATGCACTGCATTCGTGACGAGGCAGATATGTGAAATGTGTACCAGTGAATGAAATAATTCTACGTATCTTTACAGGTTCGCAAAGGCTATTAAGGCTGCTACAAAAAGACCACTCAAAGGATGCAGCTTTGTTTCTGTTGTCTGTGTACAAGCACTTGTGCCCTGTTCTTCTACATCCTGAACTTGCTCCATACAGTCGTGTCAGGCTTCATTAAAATCAGCTTAAGACCATTCGTGCATGGCTCTTCCTCACCACGAAGTAGAGCGCCGATTTCACTGGGGTGCTTCCAGTGCATATATATGACAGCGAGAAACATAAGCAGGGAGTCAAAGACATAGAAGAGAGCTTCTGATTTCTGAAGATAACCATTGCTCCCTTCAATGAATTCGATTGCCCGGAAGAGCGACCGCACCATAACGAACGAACTGACAATGTAGAGTGTGTAGAGATAATTCTCCCAACGAACATTTGGTCTTTGTGCATCGATAGTCGGTGCTCTTCGCATCGACCGATGGAACATGGCGGCAACGACGACAAAGAAGGCGAACCAAAGGAGCTGTAGAATCAGACTGGCGATAACAACACCATTGCCAATCTTGTACAGAACAGGGAGTGCTCGAGAACCACCCATAAGGCCACCAGCTAGAAAATATTAGTATCAAACTTTGCTGACAAATAAACCACACATACCTGCACATTGCATAAATAGACATATAAGATCTCCAATGACGAAAGTCTTGGTAATGCGTCGGTTAGGAATAATCGCATGAGAATCACCGCCCGTCAACTGGATAATCCGTCCCAATATAACGTAGATCGATGCCGAAAACAACGCTGGGCTCAGCAAGATAAAAACGCTTTGTATAATGTAGGGCATCATTTTCCAGCAGCCAGGCTCTTGCCTGGCTGATGAGGTTCGAGCAGCATATCCAATGAATTCGGCTATTTGAACCCCACGCGTTAGTTTCATATCTTTGCTAGAAATCAATGACCACATACTAAAGCAACCGGCAACCAGTGCCCCTAAAAACCATGATTTTGTGCGATACATTTGCCAGAAGTGTACTAATGTTGTAGCAAGGAACAGCACGCAGAAGATTACGGCAGCGGCCACGGACGGTTCGTATCGGTAAAAGCTGTATGTGGCAGTCCGCCAATATGGGTTGCACAGATTCGACATGATAAAGATATCAATAATAAGTAAGAATTGGGATAAAATGTGGAACTGAATGCCTCAAAAGTGACCTGTTGAGTCGAAGAGTCAAATGGATGTATGTTTTATAGAGAGCGACTGATGCACGAACAACAAACAAAAGAGAATCAATGCGGCTACTCACTAACCTAGTATGATTCGAGCGGATGATGATCTTGTCAAGCCCCACCCAGATAACACATCGCGCAAACTGCAATCGAAAAGGGGGCTTAGCCATATTGCCCCCTCATACCATATGCAGCCACTCAAGCTCGTTAAAATACGAAGCGCCCTCGCCGAAGGTTGATTCTGAAATCGATTCAGAACAGGTATCAGACCCTGGCTTAGTGTGCACAGTAGAATCTCGCAGATAAGTGGGGATCCACGCGCGAGCTGGGGTCGACAAGCAATAGATCCGTATCCGTGCGGCTCTATTCACTGGTCCAATGAGAAGCTAATCAGTACGCACAGAGAAACGGATCCATGTGCTGACTAGTCAACATGGATGTCCACGATATGCAGCAGTGAAAGACAGGCAGTCATGACCAAGGCGTGACATCAATTCAGCTCAAGCGGCAGCACATAGCGGACATTATTATAACGGAAGTATGATCCGGTTGATTTGGTCCACTTAATCCTCACTTAAGTTCCATGAACCGGGACAACTGAGCTGCTCCTCGATGCTACACAGTACTTCATTCAAAATAGAATTGATTGTACTAATGATGGTCCACTGTTCTTCGATGCTGCAACGGTCGTCTCTTCGCTGCATTACATACATGCTGGATTTGCCATTGTTTCGAGGAGTCATGTATCCATCGTTCTGGATGTTCTCAATCGTGGCTGCTCTGCAGTCTTCCATGTAAATAATACTGTCTTTGCCCCGCAGTACGTTGCCCAGTGCGCTGACTCAACCTGCCCACTTACAGGCCCGCCTTCTCATCCGTGAGACTGGCTCTCTCGAGCGAGCCCAGTATTGCAAGTCTGAACTTCAGTACATTTGAGCTGTCGTCCTCTGTTCCCGTAGCTACTATCGATTATGGAATCGAAGGAGCAGGCTACCCATTCCTTGACGTCGAGAGTGTCACCGGCAAAGTACAAGTCGAAATTAAATATTCTGAACAACTCGCTGGCTTGTATGAGAATTTCTCTGATGGGCCACTGGTGTATGCATCGGGTTTAACCAACACATACCGTGTGGAGACGCTGGAAATAAGTCTTCCCGGCCGAATCGAGGCGCTCCAACTGCAAGGCGGGCAAAGATGGCAATCTATACGTCTCCTTACCGATGAGAGTATCACCTTTCGGGACGTGGGTTTTATACCATCGGTACTCGACATTGATAGAAGCAAAGCGCCTGGATCCTTTAGGTCAAGTAATGAGCACCTGGACGAGATTTGGCGGCTTGGCGCCAGAGCTGCCGCACTTTCTTGTCTTGAGGAAGGTAGTCAAAAAGATCTATGGGAAATTAGCCATGAAGGTGTATTTGTGCGAGGGATGAAGCCGGCACTGACTTCACAAGGCGCCTTCCTAGAAAACTACACTCTCCGATTCAAGGCAAATATACAAAAGGGCGGCTTTGCGTGGTCGATCGCACAGCCCTTAGCATCTCCTGCTAAAGGCATACAACTCTATTTAACTGGCAGCACGCGAAATGACTCCGCTTTTGTCAGCGTCAATAGTACCCTTCTTCCACCGAACTCGATCGTGCTTGGATATGGATTCTCCATTGTAAACATCACCACGCTAGCCTCCTACTATCTCGACTCCTTCAACTTACCTTTTGAAGTAGAAGAGGACACATGGAATGATGTCAAGACTATTCTGACAAAGACTGGTTACTTGGCCGTGTCAGTCAATGGCCAGCAAGTCTTCAATAAATCTTTGGATGATTATTACGTTGGTGGTCAAACGATTCCTACAAGGGGCTCCTTTGGCTTTGGCGGTTGGCAAGATCAAGCATCCTTGTTCAAAGATGTTGAAGTGCACGATACCACGAACGGATCGCTCCTCTACGAAAATGATCTGACGGACGACTCCGTATTGAGCGAATACGGCGTGCAAAGCAACACTGCTTCTGTCTGCCTAGATGGCCCGAAACGCGATCGTCTGGTTTGGCTTGGAGACTTTTACCATACGGTACGCGTTCTTGGGGCAAGCACTGGACAGTTTCGTGCTGCGAAGGGGACTCTTCAATGGTTTCTTGACTGGCAGATCAAAGAGGGTCTAATCCCTTATGCGTCACCCATCGGATACTCCCCACAGACTGCCCGGGACGCATATGCCTACGGCGGCGGAGGTCAATTGAAAGGCTACCCAGTGTGGGCAATAATTTTACCAGATTACCAAATTCTGGGCCTCCTTAGCTTCTGCGAATATGTCCGAATCAGTGGCGACGTCGACTTCGCCAATGCTACATGGCCTCAGTGGCAGCTTCTGGCAAGCTGGATACTCAATCAGACTAGCACAGCTACTGGGCTGCCGACGTTGGTTGGCGGCTTTCTAGGACCTGGGAACGGGAGCTCTGCTATCTCTTGCGCTACCGTACAAGCATTCAAGAGTCTTGCAAACGTCGCGGACGCAGTGCTCGACAATCAGTCAGCAAAGACGTATCAGACTGCAGCCGAGACTATGGCTCGTAACATCAATGACCGCCTTTGGAATGCAGCCCTCGGTGTCTATGCCGTTTCGGAATCCAACACGGTCGACTACTCGATTGCAGGGACGGCCTTCTGCATCCTGGGGGGTGTAGCGAATGCAACTCAAGCATCAAGTTCCATTGCAGCTCTTGACAGACTCAAGGTCGACTTCGGCTATCTAGATAGTACACTTGTCAATGCGAGCAACCCTGATACGACGATATCCCCTAATACCAACGGGTTTCTCTTGGAAGCTTTCGCTTCCCAGAACGCCAGTGGTTCTACTCAGTCTTTACTGGACAGCCTATGGATGCGTATGATTACGAACAACAAAACTTACACCGGTGCAAGCTGGGAATACATCTCAATGTCTGGAGATCCAGGTTTGGGTTTGTTCACCAGCTTGGGACACCCTTGGGGCGGCGCCCCTACCTATGTCCTCCCCGAATATGTCACTGGTGTTCGTACAGCCGTGGGTGCCGACGGGTTCGGCTACAAAAGATGGACATTCAGCCCACAACTTGGTCTCGATATGGGGTTGGAAGAAGCAAGCAGTGAGACCATGACGGTCAGTGGCGAGCCAATCAGAGTCAGCTGGAAACTCAGCGGAAGAACATTGAGCGTCGTGGTGGATGCACCTAATGGTACTACAGGGACTTTCCAGATTAATGGGACAACCCGATCACTAGTTGGGTCTTTTACACACAAATTCGATGTAGAGCTGTGATCCATGCAATGCGAGCTGAAGGAATCGCCTGTACTTACCATCCGCCATTTGTCATGCATCTGCAGGAATCGTTACGCTCACTATATTTCGTTTCGCTCATTACAATGAACCCATTCAGGAAGCCTCCCCCTTGCAGGCGAGACTCGTAGTGTATTGGCAACACCTAGCAGTATTAATATAAAGATCTGCAAAAACAAAATTCAGAGACACATTGTGATTTAAGTTACTTGTTTGTTATTACGAAAATTCTTTACACTTATAGAGACGAAGTAAACAAGACTAATTTGATTAGTGTTGAACTCGACTTCAAGAAGCCCAAGAAGGAAGCCGCGAATGTATATAGGGAATAGAGTTGAGCAATTGACTGTCGTAATAGAGGTTGAATCAGGTCAGATTTCTCAAGCTATCGACCGAATCAATGATCACGTACGAATAGACAAATTCAAAACTGGGACCAGCTGTTGAAGCAACAAAATGCCAGCAGATTGAGTGTGCTCCAATGAAGCTTCGGCCACCACCATCGAAGTACAGTAATCATGTCATAAACGCGATGACGTTCTGTTGATGAAGACATGAACGTGAAGGTTAGGTAGCAGAGGTTAAAGGATGGTTGACGTAATCACCGCGGTAGCAATCAAGGTGGTAAAGACAATGTTATATTTCGCTAGGCGATGCTCAAAAATCCCTACGTTTTCTCATTGTTCTTTTGAGGTAAAAGGAAGAGCCTTTGGGCGTTCGTTTCTGGGTCGAGTAATCAACATGCACGATACCAAACCGAGGCCCGTAACCAGCAGACCACTCTGGTGAGTATTAGTAACGACAGTAAAGTACACTATCGTCTCAAAGAGCACATAGTGGTAAGGAGCGAACGAACCAAAATTGTCCACAAGTGACCAGGCACAATAACCCTCAACTGGGATCGAATCCTGGAATATTGCCCGAGAAATAGCGTCCAGGTATAATCCGTAGTAATTCTGTCGAAAGCGATCGTTCACAGCTATTTCTTTTTTGTCCTCGCCGGGACAGGGGCATCCGTTCTCCGTGATGATGATGGGAAGGTGATAACGATCCCATACCCAGTTCATCAACTTTCGGAATCCTTGCGGAGCTGTCCGGAGCCACTGAACCCCAGAGGCTGGGCCGATCTCCCTTCCCTCGCTGTTGATGGCTGTTTCTTCAATATTTCCCGTCCAGTCATCGCTGGCAGCAGGTCCCAATAGGGCGCGGGCATACTTTGTCGTGTAATGATTCATGCCATAAAACGCATTCGCTCGAGCTGTCTGCTGTAGGAGTCCAAGGTCATCGGGGGTGAATTCTGGTAGCCTTGACCCCAGATATTCTCGCATAGCGCTAGGATAATCCTTTCCTAAGAAAATGGGATCTCCAAACCAACCAACATAAAACTCCAGCCGACGCTGAGCTGCATCGACGTCAGCCCTGCTCCTGACATTATACGGCTCGTAGAAGTGGCTGTTTAGCACGATGGAGATCGCTCCGCGCTGAGTCGGCTGGAAATCGGCTGTATACAACCTGACAGCAGTTGCGTGCGCAAGAATGATAGTGTGACCAACTAGCCATGGCTCTGTTTTTGTGTCGGTGCCCACATGGGCACAACGACCGGGAGCCAGAACCCCACTGTGGTGACCAAAGATAGAGATGATGTATGGCTCGTTGAAAGTTATCCATCTTTTAACACGGTCGCCGAAGCGGCAGAAGCAAAGCCTGGCAAAATGCGCAAAGTCTTTTATGAACTCAGTTGTATCAAGGAACGCGCCATATCGCTCGTAAATGGTTTGAGGTGCGTCCCAGTGATATAGGGTAACCAGTGGCTCGATGTTGTGTGCTAGCAGCTGGTCGATTAGGTTGCTGTAGAATGCTATACCTTTCTCGTTTATGGAATCATGGCGCCCCCCTAGAGGGATAAGACGTGTCCAGGAAATTGAGAAGCGATAGACTTCCAGTCCTAATGAAGCCATGAGTTCGACATCATCGGAAACCCGATTGTAATGGTCACAAGCGACATCCCCATTTTCTCCGTTCGTCCGAGAAGGGTCCAAGTGAGTGAAAGCATCCCAAATTGACTTTCCTTTTCCATCTTGATCAGTACCACCTTCGATTTGGTAAGCTGCCGTGGCGGCCCCCCAATAGAAATCCTTCGGTAGTCGGAGCTCTTCAACGTCCAGTTCACTTCTACTTGCGCCGCTGCTGGAGGAAGTCACGACGTCACCAATTTTGAACATGGACGACTCGGCAGACATTTTCAACCACTCCGAAGGTACTCATGCTCCTTCCTGTCTATTGGGTCGTGTTGAGTTCTCAAACTCTTTTTATATCTGTAAAAGTGGCTGTTGCTGCGGGATTGGAACCTCGCGTGAGAACTAGAATAGTTCAATGGGGTGATATGTACATACACACGTACACACACAAATGTACTCTGAAAAGCTGCAATATTACCCTGTTCAACCTGAAATGGCATTCTAGCTAATCTATGCGTCGATTGTCGATCAATGGATTATACTCTGCATGAGGGTGTGTTAACTATTACTCGTCAGGCCCAAAACCCGGCATCTAAGAACCTTTGGGTGTCACTTCCGTCAATCCGCCACCCTAGTACAATACGAAAGTGCATTCGTAATTGTATAGGTATCTTAGAAGGATTGCGCTAGCGGAAAAGTGGGAGAGGGAACGATACATATACATGGGTAGAAACTTGATCTCACTTGGCTTACTTTTTGTGGACCGATCTACTTTATGACGCTGTTCATATTCCGTTTTCCAGCAGTTCTAGACCCCTGGTGCCCAAACCATGCCTGAATGCAGCTGAGCGGGTTCGTCGCGGCGTATCGATGCAGCGTGTTCCCGTGCATATGATAGGTGGTTGGACTGTCGGATTTTGACAGTATATGCCCGGATAACGCCTAAGGTTGGTTTAGATTAGCGCACGGTGAAATATAAACTCCTGGGTTCGCTCACTCAGCAACACGTTTCTCCGCGGGGTTTTTGTGCATCTTCGCACACTCAAGACCACTATGCCTCCTCCTCCATCGAGGACGTCAATAGCTGTGCGTGCATGTGACTCATGCCGCCGACGAAAGGTCAAGTGTGATGTACGCGTAGACCCTTGTGGGCTATTGGATTTTATAGACTAATGTTCTCAGGCATCAGCTATCTGCACCAATTGCCAGATCTCTAAAATCTCGTGCCGGTACACACTCGTACCGAGGAAAAGAGGTCCAAAGGTCGCCGCCCAGAACCCAGACGTGAGACGAAGGAGGGGTCGAAAAGCCTTGGATGGCACCGCGGACCCACAGCGCTACAACGACGCTAATGAAGCCCAGCTGCCGGCCGAAGCAACTCCGGCACCAGCACCACAGCCTGACTGTGTGGTGGGCTCACGTTCATATCGAAGTCATGAGCAGGTGGTGCCGTCGTCCACGGCGCCTTCGTGTGAGGCCATTCGGAACTGCTTGGCTCGGTCAATAAGCGCTGCCATGCCGTCATTGGTCTTGCGCGATGCCGTCAGCCGTTGCGTTGACCTATACATCCAATATGTTTTTCCGACCTCTCCATCAGTTCACGAGTCGAGTTTGCGTGCAGCTGCTGACAAGTCGTTCCCTGATGTCTGCGTCACGAACCCGCTTTATACAGAAGACTGGCAAGCAGATTTGGAACACATGAGAAGCTTTGCGCTGGTGACTGCACTGTGTGCTTCGGTTGCCTCACTTATGCCTGCATCTCTCCTACCATACGGAATGGCGATCGCACAGCCACTTCTGACGGCTTCTCGGGACATGCTTAAGTTATTCGAAGATGCCGATGTTGAGAACCCTTGCTCAACTTCCATCACCACCAGGATACTACATTGCAACGCTCTGCAGCATGTCACTGGGAAAGCTGCATTAGCCAATCATGTACTCGGTCATGCAATCCTTCTCATTCGTACGATGAGTCTGCATAGTGAAAAAGCCCTTGCACGTTTTAATTCATTGGAAGCTCAGACGCTACGTCTTATTTATTGGCAGATGTACGCAGCAGATAAAGCATCTGCATGTTTGAAGAGCCGCGCATATTATCTGCACGAGTTGCTGTTTGAGGAAGAGCCAACGACGAATGTTTGCACTGAGTTTCAGGTCCCCATGCTTGACACATCGAATTGCTGGTATGAGAAGCAATTCGAAGAACGCATCTTGGTTGGCTTCCACTTAATTCCTCGTTTATGGTCCACGGCAGCGAATCTCATCTTTGAAATGAGAACTTACGCAAAAGGAGACCAAGCCTCTAGTAAGGCATACTTGACTGAAGGCTATATGGGATTTCTTGGCATCATGGATGGATTTCCAGCCTGGCTACAAGCTTCAAGACTTATTGCCTCGGGCGACGATGACGACGTTGCGCGTTTCCGGAAATCATCATTCTGGGTTCAAAGGTGTACAATTTTAGTCACGTTCCAATGCCTGCGGCTCGTTATCCTGCAGCAATGTATTCTAAGCAAGATCTGGGGTGTCATGGGTCTCAGTGATGATGCTTTCACGTTGGCAATGACTCAAATTAGCATGGTTCACGAATTCTTACAGACACTGGATGATATACCATTTGTTTATCTTCAGGTCAAAGGGGAGCCTATGGTTCGTACTCCGTATTCACCATCCATGAGCAAATCACTAACGCCAAGACCGCTAGGTGGAAAGAATCCGCTGGGTTGGGAGTCTGCTTCTCCAAATCCTCGATAACGTCAGCAACGATGTTATCAATACACGTGCGAGGGGTTATTTTGAACGGCTCCTTGATGTGCTGTCCAGACTGGACTCTAAAGCATCGGATACGGCAGCATGGAAGATATCGACGCAGACCAGGCTGGCAGCGCATCACCTCAGTTCACCTTTGAATTGATACTTACACTAATGCTGTACTTTGCTTTCCGGGACTACATACCGCGCATTAATTGCTTTCAATTGGAGTAAAGTAACAGCAAACTGCTACCGTCAATGATGTTGTCCCTCGTGTGCGTGCGTGCGTATGCATGTATGATGTTATGTGGTTGGTACTGTGGGTATGCACAGCAGTAGCCAGGTCAGCGTTGGGCTCGATAGTGGTATCTGGCAATGCTGACCTAGAAGCGTGTTATTCATAACATCTCATGATTATGAACCGATTTTGATATTTGGAGAATCCGGTGCTTGTAGGTCTCTGGCAGCAGGCTAAAAGAGTCATTCTTTCGGTTAGTGTCGCCACACGGAGATAATCTTCTCATGGCCAAGACTGGGCCGTAGGTTGCAGGCGAGCTCGATATTGCAACCTTGCCGCAATACTCTTGCAGTCTAAAGGTAATATCATGGTATAGAATTACAAAACTTCTTAATGAAACCACGCTATATTTTGCGTACGTAAGTGTTGTACTTATGAACAGAAATACCAAGTTCACGAGACGGCAGAGCTCCACAAACGATGGCAGAAAAGGGATCAATTGAAGGATGAAATACAAAATCTATCTACGGACCTAAAACTGGCAATGTCCCGTTATATGTGCCAACCACGGCAACAAAGGCGTAGGCATCCGACTATAGCCGATTCTGGACTATTCCACGTTCTTTTGTTGACTGCAGGCACCGGCGCCTTGCGCCAACAGTACTGCCTTATCCGCTATTAGGCTACTTCCTAGTATGGAGCTTCACATCTCGTTCAGCTAGCGTAGTGGACTAGTGCGACAGTAGAATGCTCTCAATTTGAACCATATACTGAATATCTGGAGCTATTCACAGCATAATGAACTCATCTTGCAAGATAGCATCGTTGTCCGATCCATATGAGTTCTTGCGGTACCGTTGATGGCATCAGACATGCTCCATACTGTCGACTTTCATCTGCCCATCCGGCATGAATGTGACATGCGACTTCTCTAAGCTTTTTTTCACAGGGTTCCCTGCGTTAAAAACCACCTCCAGCTCCTCCAACGTCTTTCCAGCCGTTTCAACAAAGAAAAAGAAGACAACTGCGATCTCCAAGCACAACCACCCAATAAAGACGAGATAGAGCTTCCAGCCAATCACACCGATGCCGACTGCGACACCAAAGGTGTTAGTCATATTGGCGATGTTCAAAAACAGAAACTTCATGCCGGAGCCTTTGGCACGAGTACGATTCTCGAGACACTCGGCTGGGTACAAGACCTGCAACGGCGTCCAGCCTCCAGCAAAGAATATGCCGAAAAGATAGATTGATATGACGACACCGTAAACTAGACTCTTATTATCATATGCCTCTGCAGTGAAGATGGTCAGCATGATATATGACCCAAGTGCTCCGAATAGACCACCGAGCAGCATTTTTCGACGGCCTAGCTTATCAAGTAATGTGGCTCCAAAAATGGCAGCGATCATACTGAATATGGGGTTGATCGCATTCAGAAGCAACTGAGTAGAAGTGTTGGTAATCCCAGCCTGCTTCAGCATCAGAGGCATGAAGTAAGACACCTGTGAAGTCTCCATTTAGCTCGTTACAATTGCAGAAGTGAATATACAAAGCAAAATTTTCCATGTTTTCATGACGCCAATGTTTGACGTACCACATTATTACCACTCCACTGACCAAAAAAGGCCATGCAAACGACCATGAATGTCCTATATCGAGCTTGGCGGCTGTTAAATAGCTCGCGGAAGTCCCACCAAGGGTTGTCGTCACGGAATGTGTGCATTTGTTGCACAATCTCATCTACCTGAAGCTGTACGATTGGTGCAGTAGCATCGCCATCGGCATGATACTTGGCGAAAAATAGTTCTGCTTCCTCAAGTCGGTCGTTGGCAATCAGCCACCGAGGAGATTCAGGAAAGAAAAACACAGCGACGAGCACGATTGCAGGCATGAAGCATTGGACCAAAGTTGGGATTCGCCATGCCCAACTGCTGTCGATGGTCTTATTGCAGGCATAAGTCGTCCAGCTTGCGAGAACTATCGACAAGGCATTAGCAGTGATATTGTGCCGTAAGGGAAGGGATATTTTCACTATTTCCGATCCACCAAAAATTGTTATACATGCCGCCCATGATCCCACGAAAAGAGGGGTGTGCGATTTCGACAATGTAAACGGGTCCTGCCGCTTGGGCAACTGCTGCACCGAACCCGAGCACAGCTCTGCCACCGATGAACCAGGCCATTGTCTGTGCAGGGGTCTGTATTGCAGTTCCAATGATAACAAACAAACATCCGATTGCAAGCGTCTTACGTCGACCCAATCCATCCCCTAGTAAGCCGCAGAGGGGGAAAGCAACCAGTTGGGCTAGATTATAGACGATAAAGACAATTCCCGTGCTTGCTCCCGCCCCGTCGAGACCAAACGCCTTTTGATACTGTTCCATGGCGTTGATGCTACCCATAAGGGAGCCATCGAATCCATTGATAGTAGATACCATATAGCCAAAGAAACACTGCATGGCATTAGCGTGGTACTTAGACCTTTAAGACGATTTATGATTCTCACAATGATCCAAAGCCGGACCATTCCGGATGAGAACAGCCTGGGTTTCATCACTGCCGTAGCAGCTACCAAAGCCGTAGCCGCGGCATCTGCCTCGACATGATGAGCGATAGCTACCGGGGCCTTCTCATGGGTACGGTTGGGTTTCTGCGTTCGCATTGCAGAGTTCTGGGTTGAAGTCATAATGTCTGATAAAATCTCTGGTCACACAAGGGGCATGTATTTGGAGGACCGGGACCGCTCCATCTAATAAAGAGCACACTTAGCAAGCAAAACACCAGTTGCAACCGCTGGTTCGAAACAATGTCTACAAAATCCTTCGAGGTCATGAGAACGTATCAATCTGATCAGCTGGAAACTGGCCATCCCACGATCCCTGTTGGACCTCATGGGGAAACATTCCCAGCTCCACAGTCCTTGCCTTACAAGGTTAACGCGGGGAAAGATAACCCATCCATGCCAAGGATGCAATCGTCATCAGATGACTAGAGCCACTTCCAAGATCAGGTTTACCCGTATAGTATACGGACTACGAAGCTGTCCGAGCCAATCATACTAGTTTGAGAACGCGGAAAGTGCGCGACCCTATTTGCGCAACCCATTGCTTACAGAGAAAGGCCAATCGACCAGTGACTATCAGAGGCTTTGGCACATTAATCTTGTAGGTCGCCAGTAGCCTCCCGGACCCCCAGGCGTTTGTTCCAGGACCCTATATCTCCGCGGGGAAACTTTTGATCGTGGAAGCTCCAGGTGGGTTTTCAGCTCCATGCATGGGATTAGAAATGACAATGTCGGATCTCTCCAAGCGCCAAGCTAATCCAGCCTCTCGCGAGGGTTCGAATCACACATCGGCCAAGAAGGCATGGTTCGTATCGAGGCTCGACGAAACTTTTGCTGCGCGATCTGGGCCCGAACTCTGATAAGAAACGCCAAACACTGAATCGATTCCATTGTTTATCCTGGTTTCCCAACTTGGTCTTCCTATCGCAAACTATGTCATAAGTGTACGGACATCACAGCAGATACCACGGAACGGACTGAGGCAGTAAGCGGCAAGGATTCGTAGTAAACGAAGTGATAGCATTCATTTCATTCACAAATCAATGACAATTCTCATCAATCCGATTCATATATTTATGAAATATTGTAGATGTATCATTTCCTATCGCAGCTCAAGCTCAAATTGGAATGGTTTCGTGTCCAGGGCATATTCTGGCCTGGTCTTTGGGCCACAGCTACCACTGCCGAGTCCATGGTGATCTGCATCCAACCTCAGCTCCACATAGTCTCTCTCAATCAGATCGAAGGGGTGCCTTGCGTCTTCTAGGTCCTTCCAGGTGTTATGGCTTGCACTGAAGCTGAATCCCTCTTGATTACCAAAGCTTGCCTGCAGAATTGAGGATGAAGTTTGACCGACCGTAGTTGGCCCGTTTGTCGAGCACAGACGAACCCATCTGACATCTGTTCGATTACCGTTTTCTTGCGGAAACTCGTACCCGACGGAAAGTTCTTTGACCGGGGCAAACCAGTTTCCAACAAGTTGGGAGAGCTTCTTGTCCTTATAACTCTCCCCTGGCCCTCGTCCAAACCATTCGACAGTGTCAAAATTCTTAGAAAGTGCGACTGTGAGCCCAACGCGTGGTAATGTGGCAGGCAGGTTTGAACCTTGAGGCGTGCCTTGAACCTCAATTCTGAGAGATCCATCTCCAGAGAAGATGTACCTCGTGACACAATCGATAGACCATGACAATGCAGGAGGAGCAACACGGGTTGTGACCAGCACTTGAATTGAGGAATCTTGTGTTGACCAAGTAACATTCCGGGTAGATGAAAAGGCTAGACGGAGCAGCTTCTCTTCCCAATCTAGGCCATCTCTGCGTCGATCGTTGTCTGTCTGTGCTCGACAAAAGCTCAGTGTAGGTCCCAAGTCGCTGTGAATCATCTCAACGCTGTCCTTTTCCCACGAGACGATTCTTCCGTGGACCAGAGAGAACCGCCAATGAGAGACATTGGTCAAGATGTCAAGTTCATTCCTAGTGGCAAGCAATCGAGGGCACGGGTAGTTAGACTTCTCAAGCCCAAAATTGGTAGGGCCGCGAAGTTGGACCTGCGAAGCGGATACTAGATGCCCGCGGCTAGCCCACATCTCATCTGCCTTCAAGCGAAATTCGATTTGGAGGAATAATTCGCCTTGAATATCTTCGACATCAAAGTCTGGCAGCTCCAACAAGGCCCTGGCATGGGGAGCGACAATCGGGATGGAGACAGGCCCAAGCGATGTGGCAAAACCATCACCAACCAAAAGAGCCTCACAAGTGAGATGCTCAAGATATATGCTGTCGTATCGGTTGACGATCGTGACTTTGCCGCTGGCTTCGTAGCCTTCCACTTGAACTGGCTCGATCGCCTTCTTGTATTCCAGTAGCCCTGGCGTTGGGGTATGGTCAGAAAAGATTAACCCATCCAGGCAGAAATTCCTGTCGTGGAGCTCTTCGCCAAAATCACCTCCATACCCATAGAACTCGATTCCGGCATTATTCCGTGTCTTGATGCCATGATTTGACCATTCCCAAACCCATCCACCTTGCAAGCGAGGATATTTGTAGAATTCATCCACATATTCCTTGATATTGCCCGGCCCGTTCCCCATTGCATGGAGAAACTCGCAAAGTACAAAGGGTTTCGTAGATGTCTCTTTACCAAACTTGGAAAGCGTTTCGACCTCCTCATACATGCGCGAAACTATGTCTGCAGATTCGGCTTTCCGATCTCCTTCATAATGGACTGGTCGATCATCCATGGCTTTGATGGCTTTGTACATCGCACGAAAGTTGCAACCGTAGAATGCTTCGTTGCCTAAGGACCAGATGACGACCGAAGGATGGTTCCTGTCGCGAGCGACAAGCTGTCTACCACGATCCACGTAATGTCTCTCCCATTGAGGATTGTCCGTGGTCCATCGAGCAGCCTTGCCGTAAATGAGTTCGATCCTCTCCGCGTAAGACTTCTTCTGGTCTTCTGGCGATAGTTGAATCCGCTCAATAGTTGCGAATCCGTGGCATTCAACATCGGCTTCATTCATGACATAAAGCCCCAACATATCAGCCAAAGAGTATAGCCTGGGGTCATTTGGTTGATGACTTGTTCGGATGGCATTGATATTATGCTGCTTCATGAGGAGTAAATCCTTCTTCATGAACTCGTAGGGGACTGCCCTGCCAAACTGAGGGTCTATAATATATACATCTCGTTAGCATTCATCTTAAGTCATTCAGAGGGATCGATGCGATCTATAAGGTAGCCAATGCATAGAGCCGTATGAAAGTATTCAGGTGTCGGGATAGCTTACGGTGCTCGTGCCGATTCACGCCACGGAAAACAATACGCTTGCCATTTACCAGAAGAAGTCCGTTTTTTATCTCAACTTGTCGAAAGCCGACGTGATGGCAGATGAATATATCACCAAATGACAGAATAAGATTGTACAGAAAAGGCTTTTCAGCAGACCAGAGCTTTGGGCCGATTACCGGCACATTGAAGCGAACCGTGGAAACACCATCAGCTTCCTTGTTCTCTGTCAAAACCACTCGATCGCCGTCCAGCAACTTAAGGTAGATTTTTCCACTGCCATGTGTGACCACCTGAACGGCGAGCTCTGCGTCCCTGTATTGACGGTCGAGGATGGTTTGCACGTAGAAGTCTTGAACATAGCGATTCTTGGGGAACCCAATGAGGAGGACGTCGCGGAATATTCCGCTCATCCGCCATTGGTCCTGATCCTCGAGGTAACTTCCAGTGCAGAACTGGTAGACTCGAACGGCTAGAACGTTATTAACCTCGGTGACCAGACTACTTATATCGAACTCGGCAGGGCTTCGCGCCCCTTCGGAATAGCCGACTTCATGGCCGTTTAGATAGACATGGAAAGCCGAGTCGACCCCTTCAAAGCGAAGCCGGAGCTGATGAGCCATAGGGCTCATATCTTGGGGGATGGAGAACGTGGTAATGTAGCTTCCCGTCTGGTTGGTGTTGAGAGGAATATTTGGAGGATCTACCGGGAGCGTGAAATTCACGTTGGAGTAATGGGGTTTGCGCCAGCCTTGGAGCTGCCAATGCCCAGGAACCTCAATGTCGGACCAGTTGGTAGTATCAAAGTCCGGATGATGGAAATCATCGGGGGCTTCGAACGGGTTGTCGTTATATTGAAACTTCCATGTCCCACTCAAGCTAAGCAAACAAGAATGATGACCGCGAATGGCATCCTCTTCTGTGTTGCAAGTAAAGAAGTATGATCGGGAAGGTAAGACATTGCGATGGATAACATCAATGTTGTTCCAGTCGGGCTTGGAATTGGGGAATTTGCTAGCCATGGCGATCATGCGGTTGCCGGTCGAGCCTCGAGTATGCAATTGATCTCGGCAGAATGATTCAGCGACGCGTTCTCTGCATGCGTAGAAAATGGGCGACAGGAACTATTTTGAAGGAAAGAAGACAATGCATTTCGATTTCCGTGTCTATAGTCATGTTTGTGGATTCAACTATTTGGCCGTGGAATAATCGCTGCTGGCATATACAATTATTGAACGGAATGGCTATTCCTGCAACCTCTTCTACATATTTACCCCATTGAGGTATGGATGGATCGGATAAATAATCACTGTGCAGGGTTATGAATTTGTCCGCGGTCGAACTCGATCTCCCGCTGGGTTTCAACCTTTTGGGTGGGCTAACGGGAACGGGCCCACCCTTTGCGAAGTTGTTAGGGCGGCGCAATCACCGCCCGCAAAAAGATACGAGCTATTCGAGCATTCAATAGGGCACCCGGCATCCTTGATCTAGATCGTCCCCGCGCCTGTACCGTTCCAATTCAGGCGCGCCGAGCTGCTTTTGGTACGGACCACTGGAGCCTGGAACGGAGGTTATTATCCATCTATGCTACATGTCACAACAACTTTCATCATCCCCGGCATGCTGTTGGAGAAGGACGAAAGGGTTCTGTCCGACATAGTGCTGAGGCTGGCTGCTGGTATAAATGGTTCACCCCTAACCTTTTTGCCCCACTCTTTGTAGCCAGTCACGCGTTTTCTAAAACGATGATCGAAACAAATCAATATATACGTATAGTAGTCGGTCATATCGCTATACTTGGTGGTTGTAAACTGGGGACGGGGAAGGGGCTCCGGACGCATCTGAACCGTCAGAGAGTCAGCCGCATTTGTGGATGAAATATGCAAACCATGACACTATGCCATGGATAATAATCAATAGTGTGATTGAGCGAGCACTCAGATTGGTACGAATTGGCCATTCCTTTTAGCCCGGAATTCGTCCTTCAGACAATGGCTATACGCACACAATGATATCTAATACATCAATGTATATAAAGGGTGACTGATATCTCATTGCAGTCAGCCCAAATAGCCAATTTGAGAACAGGCAGTCTACAACCCTATACAGCGATATACGATTTGAAATACCATGTTGCCAAATATTCAACTCACTTTGATACAAGCAGCAGCAACGCTGCTTGCGGTAACGGCTCAACCGTTGTCGCAGCAGCTTTCGGTGTCCGGTGGTCTCGCCGAAATTCCCAGCCCACCTAGCCCGGAGCCAATTGAGATTAGCGAGGTACCAATGCCACCCGTTGTGCAAGGCAATGCATCATGCTCAACATCTCTTAATCATCGCGGAACTGGATGCATCAGTCAGGAACCGGGGCTCACGGGTGTCAGCTTTATGCCAGATGGGCATCATCTTGTGGTGCCAATGGTCTTTGCCGGTGCCCCATCCGCGCCGGACCCTGCTAGTATCTACACAGGAAACCAACTTGTTCTTCTCAAAATCGACGGAAGCACCTTTAGCAATGGCGATACGTGGAAGTGCATAACTTGTGGTGTACCAGACGAGAATGCCGTCGGGAGTGCTACGTCCATTCTCGACTATCCTCAAGCTTTTCGTGATGGCAAACGTGTATTAGCCGGCACGAATATAATCGAATGCGGAGATTTTTTATTGGCCGAGGACGCCTGCACACCTTAACAGGTTTATATATATCCGATTCGTTGGCGCGATCAGTCTGATGACTCAGGTGCTGGCGGGGCGATACGCGAGCTGCGTTTAAATCCGGATAACATGCACCTTGGGTTCAATGCTATATCTTATAGTGCAGCTGGCATAACACAACATTTATTTATTGGTCGACTAGATTTCAACCCTTAACCCTCTACTGGCATGCCTTTGTCTCCGCGGTATGATGTGACTAACGTCAATCTGCTTATCGACTCGGCTGGCTCTTTAGTGATAGTTGTGAAAGGCGACTCAATGCGAATCAATCGGTCTGCTATCGTGATTGGCGAGACAAGGGGGTTTAGTGGCGACGGACTCGAGGTAACCTATATTGGGTACAATTTCGAATCTTGCAATGTCGATGTCTTTGCGGTTCACTTGCGAACGGGAATGGTTCGCCGTCTTACCGCTTATCCGGAGTACGTGGACCCGGTTGACATCTTACCCGACAATCAGTGGCACGTTGTTGAAGACACGCGGTTGACCGGCCGACAGATGTTTCTAGCTGTAATGCGAGGAATTCCGCCGATAATCGACCTTCTCGTTAGCGGAGCGGTCTTATTTACAAGGAACAACGGCGAGCGACGTTTCTTCCAGCCCTGGCTTCTTGATCGCTACGGCGATCGGGGCTCGTACATTGGTCAAGAGCTTAACGGGGCAAGCAACGGCACTCCTGGATCAGGAGCCGTGGATGATCCAGAATGGAACGCAAGAGCTGATCCCAAATGGTCGCTTGACGGCACGCAGATCGTCTACTTCCAACGCCATACAATTTCGCCAGAATGTGGGGGTATCAATCCACTTCCCTGCTACGCATCCTCGGAGCCTGGAGGGCGCATAGACCGTATCATGATTGCAAACTTAACCAGTCGAAACCCCTTACCTATCCGCGAAGTTGATCCGATTTCCGATAATATCCCTTGGGCCATTCCATATACCCCAGGCATGTCTTTTTCGGGATATCAAATTTCACCACAATCTGGAGTCTATAACTTGAAGGGCGCCAAGTCAGGCGAAGCCCAGGTTGTTTACAACAGCGGCGACAATGAGAATGCGGCCCCATGGATTGCTGTGACGTATACAAACTACTCTGACGATGGCTTGAGCACTCTCGGCGGCTATGAAAACGCGACATTGACGACTACTGGTGTTACCTCAATTCTGGTGGACTGGTATTCCAACATCACCCAAACTGGTGAGGTTAAGGGCACCAAGGTGACTAGCCACGACGGCTTTCATTTGGCTATCGACATTATGACCAACATTTTCAGCACCAATGGTACGCTGACTACAACTATTAATGGCGTATCTTACTACCAGCCTGCTGATGGAACGTGAGAAAATTGGACGAGAAGCAACGGGATGATAAAGAGCGATCTTTACGTATGACTGAATTGTATAATATGGCCACCAGCGTATGACCTTGGCCAGGTATAACGATAGTCGAAACACAACATTCTTCTTTCCATTGGGAGTAAATATAAGGACGTGAGGGTGAGTAAGAGTGATAGAACCACAAAAATAAATATATTCAATATAGGAAGCAAAAGCCTGTCCAATCCAAATCTAAGAGGGAACGCTATAATCCTTATATCGTAGTTCCTTCGTAGCGTGGGCTAGGCGTAGCCGTTGCTAATTGCCTAAAGCGGTAATCCCGAGGACCCCCACGGCCTCCCTTTATAAGGTTTTAACACTAAATTAAATATTACGATCCTAGTTTGCCTCGAGGACGAGCTTAGCTAAATATGTTTATATTCTAATAAAAGCGACGCTTAATCAAGGTTTATATAAAGGTATTTAATCTTTAATGTTGCACGGATGTTAATACAGCATCGTATAGTGCATAAAATTAGCTTTATAACGCATATTATATCGTTATAACAGCTATAAAACCCATCGAGATATCGTTAAATAACGATATATGGGAAATCAGTGGAACTTACCCTGTACTGACTTACAGTCAGTACAGCACCACTTACAGCCACTATTCACAGTGCTATACAATCAACAAGTCATTACAGTTGACTGTTGTGGCCACTATGACCACTGGAACCCACTGGAATCCAGTGGAACGTTCCACTGGATCCAGCCCCACTAAGTGTGGCCAGTGCACCTGGCCACAGTGGCCCTGGGTTACAGGGTAACCCACACCATAGAAATCCATAGATTTCGATAGTTTCTTCGATTATAAATCAACCTTATTACTAATTAACTTAATTATAAATCCAGTTTATTAGTAATATATTCCAGAATGTTCTTATTGGTTGATTTTATGGGTATAAAAGGTAGTTATTCCTCCGTAGTTAGTTATTCTTTCCTTAAGCTTTAATAAATCAGTTATACAGCCCTATAATTACTCCTACGGCCTGATTTTACGAATCATACGAACGCTTCCCTGTGCCTAAGTTTATGATCCACCAATCATACCTTAGAACATTTAATATTACGCGCTTAAATCCTTCGTTTTAAAGTTTCACCGAATAAATTAAACCACTTTTTTATAATTATTAAATCTTTAATTTAAAAAAAATATCACGATAATTAAATTAATAAATAATTAAATTATTATATTAACGCAATTAATATTTATCGTAAATTATTTGCGTATATATATAATCGCTTTTTAATATTTTTTTATAAATAAAAAATTAATTTAAATAATTTTTAATGCTTCCTCGATTATTTTATTTTTAATTTTCTTTTATATATTAATTTAAATTAAAGTTATAAACCCGGTTTATATGTAATTATATGGATTAAATATTTTTTATTTAATCGATTTTATAAATTATTATTTTTTATCACCTTTTTTAATTATTTTAATTATTATTATTACATTTTATTATAAAGAATTATAATTTTATTCTAAGGTATAATTAATGGATTATAAACTTAAATATAGGGAAGCGTTTATATAATTCGTAGAATTAGGCCGTAATAATAATTATAAGGCTATATAATTAATTTATTAAAGCTTAAGGAAAAAATAATTAATTACGAAGGAATAATTACCTTTTATACTTATAAAATTAATTATAAAAGAATATTTTAAAATATATCATTAATAATTAAATTATAAATTAAGTTAATTAGTAATAAGGTTGATTTATAATCGAAAAAACTATAAAAATTTATAAATTTTTATAGTGTGGGTTACTTTATAACCCTGGGACCACTATGGCTAAGTGCATTAGCCACATTTAATGGGGCTTAATTTAATGGAACGTTTTACTAAATTTTAATAGGTTTTAATAACCATAATAGCCATAATAATTAATTATAATAACTTATTAATTATACAGCATTATAAATAATAATTATAAGTGGTGTTATATTAATTATAAGTTAATATAAGGTAAACTCCACTAATTTCTTATATATCGTTATTTAACGATATTTCGATGGGTTTTATAATTATTATAACGATATAATATGTATTATAAAGCTAATTTTATGCATTATACGATATTATATTAACATCCGTGCAATATATTATATAATAATTTATTAATTATATAACATTATAAATAATAGCTATAAATAATGCTATATTAATTATAAGTTAATATAAGGTAAATTTTATTAATTTTTTATATATCGTTATTTAACGATATTTCGATGGGTTTTATAGCTATTATAACGATATAATATGCGTTATAAAGCTAATTTTATGCATTATACGATTCTATATTAACATCCGTGCAATAATTACTAATAATATATTTTAAAATACTTTTTAATAATTAATTTTATAAATATAAAAAATATTTATTTTTTTATAATTAATTATTTTTCTTTAAATTTTAATAAATTAATTATATAACCTTATAATTATTATTACGGTTTAATTCTTCGAATTATATAAACTTTTTTTATAATTAAATTATATAATTCATTAATTATACTTTAAAATATTATATATTTAAATTAATATATATATTAACTTTTATATAATATTATTTTAAATATTTATTATTTTAATAGCAAATTTTTAATATATATATATATAAATCGCATATATTATATTAAAGGCAAAGTATTCATAAAATATTATAAAACTTGCGTGGAATAGCATAAAAACTGTGTAAAATAATATCTTCGGAGTCGATTTTTACCCAAAATAGCAGTCATCCCCACCTATTTGTCAGATAAGTCCGGTCCCTTAGCCCCACCGGAATCTTGGCGAACGGTTACACAGGTCAACGCGACCTCCAATCATCGCGTCGCTGCCTTCCAGCTCAGCATCGACGACCTTGAATCTTCCATCACTATTTCCGCCCTCATCCGTTGTCGCATCAACTACCGTTGGCTCGCGCTGCGTTGGGAAAGTTTGGCTTTGGTTACCATGCAAACCACCTCTCGTTTCGCCCTTTGAACGTTTCAGCGCAACACAATGATGATGGCCGAGGAAGCAAACGGCACCGCCAGCGCCACCAGCGACACTGTCGACGATATTCCCGTTTCCCCTACCACCAAAACTGCTATAGCTGTTGGCTTGCCACAGAGCAGCGCCCTCGAGTCTCTTAGCATGCGCGCCGATCCTGATGCACAAGCAACGGTAACCGATTACCTTGACTTTACCGAATACCTGCCCGCAGACGTTAATCGCAGCCTGACCCTGATCGGCAAGCTCGACCAAGCCTACATCGATGCCTCGGCGCAGGTTCACGAGCTGACTACGACATGGGGCAAGTTGCCATCGCTCCCTGCGAACCAGCGTCCTGCCCCAGCCGAGCTACGTGCCGACATTTCTCGCAACCTCAGCCAAGCTGTCAACTCACGCATCTCCAGCCATGCCGAGGCCCAGCGCATGTCGGAATACGTTAACAGGCATGTCAATAGGGCAAAGACGATATTGGCAAAGCTCCAACACATGCGCGATAACTATCCCACAGAAGAACAGAAAAGTCCAGTGCAAACACGGTCTCCACAGTTGACTAGGACTCCTAAAGTGTCACTGCCTCTCGATAAGGACGGGAACAGGATTCGCAGGCCGCCTAGGATTACGGTCCCTGGTGAGGTTCTAGCTCCGTATGATGTGGACTTTAATGCCTATACCTCATCTAGTGAGGAGAGCTCTGATGAGGAGGAATACATGTCGCCAACCAGGACAACGCCTGCGCCCCGGATCAAACTGGTTAAAGGCTCCAAGGTCTCCAAGCAAAAGGTCCCTAAACCACCCAGGCCATCGAGGCAACTGCCCAACGATGGACTACCCATACCATCTACGAGTTCCGCCCTGGCCAAGCTCAAACCGCCGCCTGATGATGCGGTTCTTGGTGGCCCTGATCTTCCTTGGCTACAGCTTACACCATATGAACTCGCCAAATTAAGGAAACGAATGAAGAAAAATGCTGTATGGAACCCAAGTGATACCATGATTGCTAGGGAGCTCAAGTCTGTGGGTCGAGGGGTTGAGGCTTATAAGGAAGCTCAACAGAAGGCAAAAGACGAGGGAAAACCATTCGATGCCCCACTGCCGACTCTGGTCACCGACGGCTCCGGGGTTCAGCATCCCCCGGTTGGTGCAATATCAACTGAAGCTCTCGGTGCCGAAGAGGTGAAGCTTAGCAACCGTGGCATGAAGCTCAACGAGGCCAAGAAACTCAAGCGAGAGCAAATGGCCAAGCAGGCAGCCGATGAAGCAGAGGAATCAGCTAGAAGAATGAAGGCCCTGGCTGGCAGCATTCTCTGGAACCACGAGGGAAGCCCATCAGTCGGAGCAGGCGTAATTGAGGCGCCCAACCCACAACCTGCCCAAACCCCAGCACCGACACCAGCTCCGGTCCAAAGCACGAGCAAAGCACAAGCTAAGAAGCGAAAGCGCGACTCTGTCACGGAGACTGCTGTTCCCGAGGTCAAGACTGAAAGCCAGGAGAACGGGGACTCGACGCCAGCACAGCCGGTCAAACCGCCTATCAAGCGCACTAAAACGGAGACTCCAGTGCCTCCGCCACAACTCACACCTCGTCCGACTTCAGTCCCGCCTGCTGTTGCAACGCCTGTACCGCCTCCTCAAATTGCACAGTCTGCTACTGTACAGATTACATCCGCGACTCCTGTACCAGTTCCTGTTCCGCCAACGACGCAGACGACTCCTCAAGTTGCATTGCAACCACAACCACCACAGCCACCACCAGCGGCAGCGGCAGCTTCAACTCCCGCTCCAGCTCCAGCTCCAACCTCTGCTCCTACTCCAAGTCCTGCCCCAGCTCCGACCCCAGCCTCAGCTCCGGCTCCAGCTCCGGCTCCGGCCCCGGCCCTGGTGCCAACACAAACCATGTCGCAGGCGGGTTCCCAAGCGACCCAACTAACAACAGTGCTGCCCGAGAGACCGACGGCATCTCCTTCAACCAGCACAAGCCCAGCGCCTCCACCTTCAACAACCGTACCGAATACCACCACCACAACCACGACCACGACTACTACAGTACCAACCAAACCACCGGCGGTGACACCAATACTTCCGCCCAAGACTTCCACTACCCCTATTCTTCCGCCTGCTAATCATCTGACTAAGAGGGAAACGCGGAAGGATGCACAGAAGAACGTACAGCCACTTGCAACTAACACAAAACAGCCGAGTACGCCTCGACAGAACACCCCCGTCACCACACCCGGCCCCGATCAACCATCCATGAACCTTCGCCGGCCATCGTCTCGCGGCCAAGGCAGTAGTGTCGAACCGCCGCCAACCACTCTTGCGGCTGAAAGACCTCGACGCACCAGTACCGCTCGGAATACACCGGCGCCTGAGATTCGCCAACCTAGCAAGAGGATCAAACGGCCCGCGCCGGGCGTCATTAGCACGAGTGCGGGCGGTGCGGGCAGCACGAGCGCTATAGGAAAGCGCACGGCGGCACCACGCAAAAAACAGCGCGTCAAGAAAACCACTCAAGCAGAACAGGAGCCCGAGATTGAGGTTGATGATGAGGGCAACATCATCGATCCCCACGAGCCGCGATATTGTGTTTGCAACGGGGTCAGCTTTGGCACCATGATTCAATGCGATAACGTTGATGTGAGCAAACGAGAAGACTCCTCTGATTCTGAATCCGATTCCGACAATGTCCCCTTAAGCAACGCCCGTTCAAGTCGCTCGGGTTGCAAGTCTGCTGCTACTGCTTCAAAATCGTCCGCCAACAAGAATAGGAAACGTAAGCGTTACGGCTCTATACTAACCAAACACCCTACGCAGAATTGCAAGCAAGAGTGGTTCCATCTAGAATGTGTGGGACTCACCGAGATACCGGCGCGAACAACCAAATGGTACTGTCCTGATTGCCGCGTGCTACTAAACATTGGTGGACGAGGTGAGGTGACAAGTCGGGGTGTCAAACTCTGAGCAGCGAGCTCCAGGCGAGTTTTGGTCATGGCAGACCTTAATTTTTTAATTTTTTTGGTGGCGCTTCGAGACGTTTAATGAACCTGATGGCTCTGACTTTAGAAGAAGCGTTCGAGCAAGTTATCACAAAGGAAAAGGAGCAATTTTGTGTATACCAGCATCAGTATCAAGGCAATTAGCATTAGGCCCCTCATGGTATAAGAAATTCATTCGCGATTTCAAGTCGCTTGAAATAATTGAGCGGCGACGTTGTTATTGCATCACATCACAGCCACTGAGCACTCCGATCATTGAGTTGATTATCTTCTATTCAGCCTGCCACGGTGGCTTTGTTTACTGAAATACTTTGGCAATACCGTGACGCCCTTGTTTCTTGGTCCAAATTCCGAAAACTGAAAACCAATTACCCTTGACGAGCGAGACCCAGTCGGGCCCAATGACTTTAGGTCAAAACTTGTTTAAGTCACCCTCATATCCGCGTTACAAATTTTTTTTTTTGTTTCACCGAGGTGTACACTCATTTGAAAGATGTTTGTTTCTCGCGCCTTTTCTTTAAACATATTGGGGAGGCGGTGTTCCTGGATGCTGTTGTTGCTCATGCTGATGCTGCGGCTGGCCCTCTCCAATAAAAAGGGGGGCAGATTTAACTATATATAGTATAAATCACCCAAAAAACACTATTTTAAGCTTGGACCTTATCGTGGATCAAAAGTTATAATACACTATATAAAAAGTTTTGTAAAAGATTTTGCACGTAACGTATATAGCTATTAAAGAGATATTTTTTTAATTTAAAAAAAAGAGTTTAAATTTAATTTATCGCTAGGTGGATTTGGTATACGAATTTTATATGTAAAGTGCTATTGCTATATTCGTTTTCCAGGACGTTTATTATTATAAATATATATTCGTTATAGGTATACTATTTTAAGAATAAATTTATTATTATATACCACTTTTAATTCAATTTAACCCGGATAGCTAAAATTAGTAGGCTTTACGCTTTTTTAATTATTAGCCTGGGAGCTCTTTTTAATGCCCTCGTCCTTTTTAATGCCCTTGTTTTTTTTAATGCCCTTGTCCTTTTTGATGCCCTCGTCCTTTTTAATGCCCTTTTTTTTATTAGAGTTCGAAGCTGGGATAAACTAATATTAAGCTAAACCGTTATAGCCGATCTATTTAATATTATTGCTCCGGGCAGGGAAATAAAACGGAAAAGATTTCCGTAAAATTTTAACGCGGCTTTAGAAGCCGTCGCCGAGCCTTTTTTATTCGTTTATTACGTAAATAAGGCTGTTATAATCGGTTTTAATATAACCACGGTAGGCCCCGGTAACGTCTTTTATAGTTTAGCCGTTTATACGATTTTTATAAGGAATTAGAATATAAATATTATTTATGTTAAAAAAAGTCTGGTTTAGGGCATTTTTTAGGATAATCCCTATTGGGTAATTATTTAGCCGGGAAAGACTTATAGGGGTTTTAAACGGATAATTTAAAATAGAAGGCAATAGGGAGGGGAATAAAAGATAGATAATTTATATTTGATTTTTACGATTCCTAGCTGGATATTATTTTCGCTTAGGGCTTTTTGCGGAATACCGGTATTGGTAATAATAGTAGTTATAGCGTTTTTTAAAGGGAAATAATTATTTGGAAATTAATATAAATTTGATAAATAGGACGAATTTTAATAATTTTGGTAAGGAAGAAATATAAAAAAAAGTAAGGAAAAAAAGCGGAAGGCGCGATTTGTTATATATTTAATTAATCGTTTTGCTAAATAAAACGTAAAAAAATAATTCCGGTTTTTTGCAAAATAAAATTAAAAGCTATTATAAAAAGGTCGCTAATTATATTTTTAAAGCGTTTAATTTGCGGTTTTCCGAATCGGCCGGCCTAATAATAATATAGCGATTTGGCAAGATTTGCTATTTAAATATATATTTGATTTTATTTTTATTAATTATGAAATAATATTAATAAAAAGCGTTTTATAGAAATTATATATTTTTATATAAATTTTATAAAAAGGCGGTAAAGGCGGCTTTATTTATATTAATTCGCCGTATTTAAATTTCGCATTATAATAAAAATTAACGATAAAAAGGTTTATTATTCGTATAGTCGTATGCGTAGGTATGGAGTACCTTAATATAGGCCTATGATTTTAACGCAATAATAGAAAGTGTTAAATGGGATATAATGGACCGGACGTAGGTAATAGGCGTTCCCGCCTGGCCTTAGGAAGGATTCTATTAAATAAACGAAGGCTATCTCTAGCATTATTTATATTTATATATATGACGATAAGATCGGGTAATTTGCAGAATAATTATTATAAATAAATTTTAGAAAAGTCTCTCGTTTCGGTAATGCTATTTAAAATTTATGGTTTTAATCTTTTTTAAAATCTACTTTATTTGTATCGTCCCTAAGATTATTATTAAGGTTTATTTCGTTTATTTTATTTTTAAGATCCACGTGCCTAAAAGAAAAAAGCTCCTTTTCCATTTCGGCAATATGGCGATAGCACGTCGCTATTTTTTTATACGTAGCTATAAAATTGCGGGTATAGCGGTTTAGGTCGTTTCGGAGGTTGGCAATTTTTTTTTTGGCTAAAAGCCGCTATTTAAATAAATACTCCTTTTTTTTTTATTTATTATTAAATTCCTAAGTATTATTTTATCCTAGCTTTTTTTTTAATAAATATATAGCTTAGCTATAAAGCCGGATTTTATAAACGCTTCGACCCGTTGTAATAAGGTATTAAAATAGATAATCGTTAATAGCTTGGGATTAGGAGCTTTGGTAAAGGTATAAAAATCGTTAAAATCGTTAAAGTCGTCCTAATAGAAAAAAACGCTATTAGTATTGCCAGCTATTCCAAAGAATTGGCGGCAGCTAGCGCTATATTTGGAATTTATTATTAAAGTCGAATAATAGCCGAATAATTTTTTGGTAAAAGGATTAAAAATAAACGGGGAGGCTGCTAAGATAAAATTTACCTTTGTTTTAAGCTCCGCTTTATTTTTATTTTAGGAATGCATTTTGCATTAGTTTTATCCCAGCTATTTAGCGAAATAGCAACTTATTGTTTTTAGATTTTTTGCTGCTTAATTAACTTTTTATAATATTAATAACCTTTTGGTATTTTTATTAGACCTTTTATTATAATTAAATCCTCGCTAGTCTTTTTTATATACTCCATATTAATTTGGGCAATTGCTAAACGCTTTTAAAATATAGTTTTGCTGGTAAGAAAATGCATTTAGATTACTAAGCTGGTGGAAATAAACCGAAAACTAGATATCAGGGGCTAAATATTTTTATCCTAAATAGATAAAATATAATGCCCTTGGGTCGGAAAAATTATCACTAATTAAATCTAGCTATAAAATTTATACTAAAGGTATCGTAAAGGCGTAAACTATATATTAGCTTTTACCGGAATTGCCCGATATATAATACCGGAACCGCTTTAAACATGCGCTAAAAAAAGAATGCCAGGAGTATATATATTTTTAATTATATATAAAATTATAAATAAAATATATTTAAATATTTCCACTTAGATTATACGCTTTCGGATTATTTAGCGCTTTTATTTTTGCTATAATATTAAATATATTTCGAAGCTTAGGCTATTTTATAATAGGCTTTATTTTAATAAAAGTCTATTATAATTAGAGTAATAGCGTTTTAAAATTCTTATAATACCAGCGAGTAGGCAAAATTATAAAAATTATTAAATATAATAGCGCGTTAGCCGATAGAATTTCGGTATTAGGAGCGCCGTAATAACGGGATAATCTGCCGCCTAAAGTTTAAAAGAAAATGGAATTTAAAAAAATATATAGAATCGTAATATTAAATAAAGGCTTTAAATGCTTTTTTTAAATAAGCTAAAATATTTATATATAATGCCTAGGAGCGATAGCGTAGCTTTATAATTGAGAAATTGCCGCGGCGCCCGATGGCGATTATAGAGCCGATAATCTCCCTAAGAGAAAAGCTTTTCTTCACCGGTGCCACATTTAACGGACCTCGTAGGCAGGCTATAAAGCAAATAATATTGCCGCGGCGCCTAATAGCGATTATAGAGCCGATAATCCCCTTAGGAAACGAATTTTTATTTACCGATATTATTTACAAATATTATTAATAAAAGCAGAAGCAGAAACTAAATTAAGTAGCGTATTTTTTACTATAATTGCTAAAATTTTTAATATCGCTATTGTACCTATTACCGTCGGCCTTTTTATTAAAAGAATTCGAGGCCGATCCGAATTATTAGGATTTCTATTTAAGGCGCCGGGAGCTTTTGCCGATTTACGACGTTAAATTATCGAAGTTTTGGGATTAATAAAGGGTATTCGAATAGCAAGGCTAAAACGGTAGGAAGGATTTTAAGATTTAGATCGAAGAGTTTATAGCGCTTTAGGGTATATCGTCGGATATAAGCGATACTAATATTTATATTAGCTATTTTTAAAATTAGTTTTTTTTTAGTCCCGAGTATATTATTAGTATTTTAAATTTTAATAACGTATTAAATTATAAAGTAAATAAGCTAATTCGTTATTTATTTTTTTCGGCTTAGGCAGGCTTATAGCCGATCGTAAAAGCAAATATAAGCCGCTAATAATTTTAGGTATATAAATATTTAGATTATATAATTACGGCGGTTTGCGTAATTGCGTAATTTAATAAATAGCTATATTATAACTATAAATTAGATAATTTTTTATAATACGGCTTATATAAGCGAATGGACGGCTTTTATCGATACTATAATTTTTTTTATATTTTGCCTTTATATATCGTATACGAACCGGCCGACGTAAATTAGGACCGGTATAAATACCGTAAACGCGTACGCTATTTGCGAGCTTATAATCGCTATATCCTTATATTATATAGCGAGTATTAGCTATTTTATTTATTATAGGTTAGTTTTTGGAATATAATCGTTACCTAAATAAGGATTAAATATTTTG